TGAAAAACAGGAATATTACGAGGTTGCATTCGCCCAAACGGTGCCAAGAGATAGTTAACCCAGGACTTGCTTTTAACCATAAAACTGTCACATGACATGCCAATTTGGGAATTTGAACAGCGGTCACACAAAATCACAATATGAAACTTCAGCACAAAGACAACAAAGACCTTGTATCAAAGCGCAAACTTCGATGTCGAAAATGTGCTTTTGAAGGTGTTTACTACTTGTGCTCACAATGTTCAAAACCACATTTCACCTGCACAAGACCCTTTACCATGAAATGGCTCACAAAAATGAAGGATGTTTTCAAACAACACATGTACCAGGATAACATCAATGCATTTGACAACTAAGCAAAAAAAAAAACTGCTCCTTGAACAGAATATGACTCATTTTTATCATCTTGCACACATCTCAAGAAAAAATTTATTGTAAACAAAACACGCTGGGAGCAATACAGTCATACTTCGATTTGATCACGCTGTATTGGCCAATCAATTGAATTCAATGAGAGAAATAAGAAGGTGGCTTTGGCCTTTGAGTTGTCAAGGAAAACACACGGGAGACCGCTTAAAATATTTTTTGGGTATTGTCGCACGTGATCCTGAGCCTGTTTTTTGGGTATTTTCGCACGTGAACCTGAGCCTGTTAGCCAGTGCCACTTCTAGCCATAGCGGCGAGGCTAGAGCACTATTTTTTTGCCAAATGGTGCCACGTAGCATATGATCTCTTTAGAGGTTGGCAGCTGACTAATAACCCCACACATGCTACCTAAAAGCTTAATAAGAGCAGCATTTAGGGCAAGTTGTTAATTCATAATTTCAGTATGACTGGGCAACAATTAAATGTGGACAATGAGGTGTGTCTCATTTTATGTTTTCTATGTTTTTTCGTTGCGCAGTCATACTGAAGTTGCCGAGAGGTATCATGCCTGGTGACATGAGACCCTATGAAAGGACCCCCTTTTTCAGATACACTGACATTCTCTTCAAATTGAAAGTGACCAACTTCATTTCAACGAGATCCGAATCCACTAGTGAAAACTTAGGGCCACTATAGATACTGTTACCTGACCATGACTGGAGCAGCAACGACGACAGGAAGGGGAGAGCAGTGCCATTCTAGAAGGCGGAGAGGGAGGACCACTTGCGCATCGACCGACCCCGGAGTTGTAGGGAAGGCCGTGACTGTTGCTGCCCACGAGGTTGCTGGGAGGCCCAAGACAACGGACTATCCCCAGGAACTTTCCAGTGATCGCTCGGGATTCATGATAAAATAGAATAGTACTAGCTTCAGAAGCAAGTCACGACCAGAAATACTGCCGCGATCGTGACCTACGTGCGAACCCTCCTTCGGCGAAATCAGGGTCCTGGGACCGACGTCCTCCATCCTAGGTTTTCTAACACAAGTGGCATGCCTGCATCTGTAGATGAATAAAATGCAACCACATAAATGTAAGCGCCTGCAGTGTTCAGCTTCCTGGGCTTCAGGTGTCATAAAAGCAATATTTTAGTGATCACGGCTAAATCACGATTTAGTGACTAAATTGATATTGAATTCACAAAGTGCCTACTGCAATGAATACGACTTCATCACAGCAAAATTACAATACATGCAAATAAGTTGAAATGATTATTTGCAATGCATAATACAGAGGCCTGCACTATGACGGCAGTGAGATCATAATTCTGGCTATATCTTTTTACTAAATGCACTACAAACAATAGCATTCTGAGCATAAAAAGGCCTGCAATGACCGAATAAGAATTTGCAATGCCTGCACACCCTTGCATGCAAAGAAACACTTTGCAGGGGATGCACCAACATCATGTGACGCTAACACTAGTGGTTGCTGTGGTATGCATCACATATGAAAGTGAACCAATTGGAGACTTGGGATGCCCACGTGTAATGAAAGAATCCATTTAAACAGTCCAATATTGTAAAGAGAAAACTTTCTGGGTGAATACAAACTGTTTTTAACCAACAAGAAGCTCTGTTAAACAAAACATTTAGAAGTAGCGCCTGTTCATGAAATGACGGAGCAGTCAGGATAAGTTACTTGCCAATGACACAGCCAGTGGAAGTGTTAAGCTGACCAAACGTCTTCTTTTCACTCGAGTGCCACAACCTGCCTTTCCGAGTAGCACTGATCTTCTTAAATACACACTGTTCAAGCTTACACGCTACCTCTTTGCTTTGTCAGACTTGTAATCCGTTGAGATCAGTACTTCACATCTTTTCTCTTTTGTCCCTTCAGCCAGCCAACTAGCAATGGTTTTTCAAGTAACAGAAAAAAAATTGCATTTGAACAATAACCAAATAAATTTGACAGACAATTAGGCCAGTGAAGGCATAGTGGACAATATCTGTTCTTTAAAGGGGCTCTGAAACACTTTTTTGAGTAACCATGGAATTAATTAACTGGAACAGCACCTCACAAAACGCCGCAAAAATTTCAAGAATCCGTCTAATATGAGCGAAGTTACAAAGATTTCTCACACGCTGCAATCACATTCTTTCTTCTCTTGTCAAGACGAAAGCGCTGGAAGCTGAGCAGGGAGGGAGGGGAGGGGCAAACAAAAAACGCCGCTTGCGCCTCGTGACCTTGAGCACTTTTTTCTTTTTTTCTTCGAATACGCAACTTTTTCAGTGCGATCGTGCGCGCACGTGTGGACAAGTGACGGCCTTTCGCGGCGACCTCTGTAACAACCGAGCACGCCATGTTCAAATTAGCCAATGGCTGATAGATGGGCTTACTGGGATTCTTTTCCGTGATTTGTCGAGATAAGGGAAAGCTATTTTTGATGATTTATTGTGAATTCCAGGCCGCATGCTGTGCTATAATATTTTGCTCGCGTGTTGTCAGGAGTCTCTACTACTAATCGGCAGTGTTTTCTGACCATGCTCAAAAAGTGTTGCAGGGCCCCTCTAACTGTAACAACTATGACACAAGTTGAGATATACTAAAGTGGACAAAAAAGCACTCTTCTATTGTTTTAATTTCTTTACAACTGGGGTCTGAACTCACGACCCTCGAATTACGTGTCCGATTCTCCACCAGTTGAGTTGCGACAGACGGCACTTCCCCGACCAATATGTTGCGTATATCTGCGTGAGTAATCCCTGGGAGTTTTAGCCAGTGAAACTCTTTCTGTCATAGCAGTACAGAACCTTTTTATAATCTGCAACTGCACTCGCCCGCATCGCACATGCACCCAACTAATAGCACTGCCTGTCATGCTTCAAGGGAAGCCGAGGTCCTAGATGCTCATGTTGTGGCTTGCCGATTATGTATGGTCATATAAAGATAGCTGAACCTACATTTTCCACAACATAGCATAAGCAAACTGCATTTGAACAGATTGTTTGCAGAAGTGATTTGCTGTCGTTAGTTGGGCTAACTGCATCGCAGAAAAGCTGATTGATTGATATGTGGGGTTTAACATCCCAGAACCACCATATGATTATGAGAGATGCCGTAGAGGAGGAATCCAAAAACTTTGACCACCTGGTGTTCTTTAACGTGCACCCAAGTCTGAGCACACGGGCCTACAGCATTTTTGCCTTCATGGGAAATGCGGCCACCACAGCTTGGATTCGGGATTCAGCAGCTGAGTACCTTAGCCACTAGACTATCGCAGCGGGACATCACAGAAAAGCTCGCTTTATAATTATGAAAAGGGTCTATTGGTAGAACACTGTGTGAGTAATTCGAAGGTTGTGGGTTTAAATCCTAGACAAAAAAAAAGGGCTTTTTTGTTAACCCAAATTCCTCTCAATTTATGCAATAGCTATTACAGTGCAGTTAAAAACAATAAACCTATGCTTAATTATCTCCATTGGCTAAATTGTCTGTGATACACTTAAACCTCATTATAACAAAGTTGCGTCTTACTCAAAAATAGCTGTGTTATATCCAAGATTTGTTATAGAGGTATATTTTCTAACACTATATCTAGTGCAATACCAAATTTCATTTACTTCCCTATAACCAGTATTTCGTTATATATTGGTCGGTTACAGTAAAAGCTCGTTTATCCAGACCTCATTAACTCGGAAATTCGGTTAACTTGGACTCCCGGCGCAGTTCCGGCAAAACTGTGTATATTTCAATGAGGTCAAATGCTCATTGATTCGGAGGGATTTAGTCGCGCACCGGTTATCTCGGACAACTCTGGAGAAAACTATCGGGACTCCAGAGTCGCCTGATCTCGGCGGCTTGGAAGCTCAAGCACCGCTTGCCATAACCGACGGCAGAACCGAAGTTTTGGAGAAACCGAAACCGAGCGAACTGCATCAGAATATGACGATGGCGATAGTGAATGAGGAAGAGTGGCTAGGTGGCGCTAATCACCACCTAGCGGAAGCGCTTGGGCCACTGGTGCATTCAGTGTTTACTAACAGCTGCTCGCTACGCCCATGCTACGCCTACTGGTGTACTTCGTGTCTTGGTTCTTTGTGTTGTGATGTCGCATGTTGCGGCTGTGTTTGTGCGCGCTGTCGCGGCCATCGCGCTTCATGGCGACCGTCACAGGAGTGAAGGGGCCACAGAAGCCAGCAAATGATCTTGAAATAAAGGTTATGATTTTGAAATACGTGATGAGCCGACGCGACATCGCCGCACCATGCAGGAGGCCAGCGAAGCCCTCGCTGACCTCGAGGAGTTCTGCATTCGTTCTCGGGACAGTGAACGTGCGCACCAGCACCTGATGGGATTAAATAAGATCGTTCTGTCAGAAATTCTGACGGCGAGGCTGGCAAAACTAACGCACTTTTTTTAATAAAAAAAAGGTTAGTCTGTGTTGTTTTTATGGTCTGTTCGATAATTCGGAATTCGGTTAACTCGGACATTTTCTCCAGTCCCAAGAGATCCGAGTTAACGAGCCTTTACTGTATATTGAGGTTTGAGTGTATTCTTCTAGTTGTGGCTCACGAAGAAACAAGCCCCTCCAAAAATTTCCCTTCATTAATTCAACAAGCTACCTGTTGTCAACTGTGATGAAGATACATGTGCGTGGATGACTGATGAGAAATGCTCAGATGAACTTGAAACACTTTTGCCTGTCGTGCGGTATGCGAGTCTTGAAGAGAATGGAGTCAAGCCGGAACTGGGTGTACAGCAGAGGCATGTAGCCGTACACCTTGACGAAAAAGTTGAGGCAGGTGTCTCGCTCGTGGAAGTGGGAGTCGTCGGCCGACAGCGACACTGTGCAACCAGGACACCGGAACGTCCATCGTGTTGTAACCTAGTACAGAAAGTAGCGAGGAAAAAAAAACACTTCAAGGGTCTAAGAACACTCTTTTAAAGCATAAAGTTTCAAAATAGTAACATTTAAAATTGACCAAATTCTTTAACAGTATTGACCACTGCAGGTTTTACGGCACATCGCAATGTATGTACTGTCTTAACGAATTAAAATGCAGTACCGTAGGGCAAAATAATGGATGCACTTTCTTTTTCCACCATATATAGTTGGTGTCTACAACAGTTTTAACTAGAACATGCACATTAAAGCCAAGCTTATTTTTAGCTGCCAGTTTCATTACAATGTGATGCTATAATCTCAAGCGATTGCACTTGCCAGTCGTTAAACCCAAAATTTTGATTCTGTGCTTCAATCAATGAGGCCTGTGGGCCATGGGTGCATAAACAAATAATTAGTATGTCATATCTGCACCTAGTTCTAGTCACTACAACATAATCCCATGCGCATTGCCTCCGAGATGTTTCAACCCTGCAGAAGCCACTCTGATAAGCAATGCATTCTAGATTATCCTCTTGTTACGCATCACATCCAGAGAGCAGTATTTTTTTTTTTTCTTTCTTCCAGCCCACTTTTGATATTAAGGACTATGGGATCAAACAAGCTTCTTCTCACAACACCGCTCAATTTTAAACAAAACTTATTTGTATTTCTAATCGCACGAGGGCCATTAAACAAGAATGCTGTACTGAGGCTCCTCTATATATAAATTAAATTAATTTACTTAATACTGCAAACCACGCAACGTTTAAACAGGAGATGACCATGCCTTTTATCTGAACTAAAATTCTGTTGCCTGGCTTTTTTAGGAGATGTGAAATGTCATCTTATACCACTGGGCATCACAACACAGATATTTCGCGAGAACAAAATTTAAAATACTCCTTAGAAATCTGCACTCCTTCCAAAGTTTACCCTTCTGTTCTAATGATGCAGCTACAGAACACAAAAGTGTGCGGATGCACCGCAGCTGGTGCATAAATGAGCTCCAAGTACCTATTGCAACACGCCATCTAATAACTGATCGCAAATGAGATCCGCAGAAAAGCACAAGATGGCAGAGGGGTTACGAAAAGAATGACGGACAACCACGTGACCGTAGCCGAAGCCAAAAGGAAATTCATGTAAATTTTTGAGAAAGAAAAGCTTCAAATTGAGAAAAAATTTGTCCTGGTCCGGGGATCTAAGCCGGGACCGATGTCTCTTCAAGATGGTCGCTCTACCAATTGAGCTGACAGGAGTGATAGCGATTTGCAGCACGAGGGCAAATTAATCCACAAATTGACGAACGCAGACACAGGATATTACAGATGAATAGGGGTGGGCAAATATTCAAAAATTTCAAATAATAGACGAAATAGTGCCATTTGATTTGATACTCGCATCTACGGTAATTGTGAATATTCGAAATACCAAATTTTTGAAAAATAAACAGCAATGCCAAGAAATCCTGGAAAGAACGAGATGTTAAGACAGTGCGGGATAACTTTTCTCGTCTTCATCATTGGTTTACCCAAGCGCATGCAGCCTGTGTATAGTTGCAGAACTATCGACGCTTTATTGATCACACGATGAATCGTTTTTGTTGAAAACTCTAGTGTTACCAAAGCGACAGCATCGTAAATCCGGTATGTTCACCATGACATTTGTGATGTTCACTCATAAAAATTGCTTAATATTCATGGGTCAGTTTTATTTAAAATTTCATAATAAATAACAACCTTGAATACCGTATTTGAGCCTGCAGTTAAAAAATATTTCTCAGGTTCTAGTTGCTCCTGCATAAGAGCTTGCCTCAGTTTAAATAACTGTGGAATTTTTTTGTGGTTTAGAAGTAATTGTAGCATTCTTTTTGTTTTGTTGCAAATAAACCATTACAAAAAGAGTGTAGGATTTCAGGCCTGATTTGAGAATTGTTGCCTTACAACCGTAGGGCTGCTTCGAAAATGGTTGCCTTATAACACGTAAACTATTTGAACAGTATTCTATTTGTATTCGTATTTGACAATGTGTCATCACTTTTCAATTCAATCTTAAATTCACTAATTGCACACTCCTGAAATTCCCTTTCATAGACAACTAATCAAAAACCACAGTCATTTGGTCGACGGTACCTTGAGGGGTGGTTTCCGGGTGATGTGGGAGACTAGGAAGTTCATTGCTATGTCCTCGCAGTTCATGTACTCGTCCACCTTGTCACGGATGGCTTGGGGCATCACGTAGGTGTACACGTACGAGTAGTACTGCACAGGTAGGCACAAGGGGGACACTTTGCGAAAAATGCCACAGCTTTCGTCGTTCGAAACATACATGTACCTTTGGCAATTAATTCAAGTGACCATGCGACCTCACACAGCCACTACGTAGTTTTGAAATCCACCTTTCAAAGGGGAAATCCCTGCCCTTTAGAGTAGGTACGGTAATAGTAGAGCACACGATTCCTCTCCGCTTAGAATGTGGATGTGACTCTTACCACTGCACCGGCCTTAACTTGCACCCCACCATTGACTAAGGCTGTAATAGTGGATTTGCAAAAGGCTTTCAAAATAATACTTTTTGATATTGAAGGCTCTTTTCAAAGGGTTTCAATGACCACTGTGAAACTTTTATGCATTTAGGTTGCATACTATTTCTCCTTTGCTTTTATTTTCGCTAGTGGCAGGCATAAATTACCTTAACATATCAAATTTGCCTTACTGACAGACGCATCCTTACCAAAACACATTTTGCATAGATTTCTTTACATAAGACACCAACTAAAACACCTCATTAGCAAAGACACCAGGATGGGTGTCGAGAGACGGAGTACATATGTATGCACAGTCATGACATTTTTAAACCTGAAAGAAATTGGTAAGCACAGCAAGAAAGTGCAGTGGTGTACTTATTTAAGAGACAACCCAAACTTATCACAGAGTGATGTGGGACATTTATAGGTGCGGTGCTCCGTAAAGCAATGAATATGATGGTTGTTTAAAATGTTTAGGCGTCCGTACTAGCCTCCATCACATTTCATGTTTATCAGCCAAGGAAAGCTCCAAGTTTAACCAGAAGATACATTCACACCTGCCTTCCTTTGATATGCAGTCCACTTGACAAAAGACTGCAAGCAAAGTGAATCACAACTCCCAGAACATCCAGTAGACAAACAAGACGCTATGCTTACTTTGTGAAAGAAAGCAGCCCCCATCAGCACCATGGACAGTTCACAGGAGTAATTGCTGTTGTAGTACCACGACTTGTGGTTGATGTCCCATGCATGGTAGCGGCCGGGAAAGCCCACAATGCGGTCCCGAGCTTCACGCCAAACCCTGGGCCCAAGAGTAGCAGAATTTGTGTTGGCATAAACCTGGCAACTTTCAATGGCAACACAGCTCCGCCGATTACTGCCAAAGATCAAGTAGCAACAGCCACAGCATTGGAGCCGATCGGGACATGGGATGTGATACACCTATACTGTGCTAGTATATTTTTCTGCAAGCAGTTACATGGCCACAAGTACTATGACATGACAATGTGCTCTTTGTCTCCTTGATATGAAAATGTGCTTTGGTGGGCGACCAAAGGCGTCAGTGATTGGTTACCATTACGCAGAGCACAGCAAAACATGGCACAGCACAAAAAAATGTAGACTGGAAGTTAGCATCAAATAAAGGCTTTCCTGGGCGCCCGCAGTCTAAACTCCGCTATAACAAATTGCTCATGAATAATAAACATTTCTACTACAACTTTGAACTTAATCGCGTTGAAGAAATACACTCGCGTGGCAACCAATCAAGTCGCGGAGACTCCACTGGGCGAAATGCCTCATTGTAGGGAGAAAGGAGCGGTAGTGGCATATCGTCACATTGTCAATCGCATCCAGTATCTGTACTCTTTGGTAATGCCAGAAGTGTTCTCTGTAAACGTTGTGCCCTCTCATTCATTATAGATACATGCGATGTGAAAATAGTAGCTTTAACTGAAATGTGGCTTTCCGCGCAAACAACAGACTCAAATATTTCACGAGGCAAACAACTTTATGGTTTATTACTGCGACCGCACCGAGCATAGAGGAGGAGGCATACTACTTGTGGTCTCGAAGGACATACCATCATTACCAATCCAAGTGAACAGTTTGCTATAAATAACCTGGGCTTTACTAACTTTAGGTAACTGTAAGCTGGTTCTGGGTACCTGCTACAGATTACCTTCCTCACCATCCACATCTGTTAACGAACTGCATGACTCCATCAACACAGTAAGCTCTTGTTTCCCTTCTTTACCTATGTTTTTACGCGGAGATTTTAACTTCCCAAACATAACGTGGAACGCAATGCCGATATGTATTTCCCCTTTTTCACAGCAGAGTGAGGATTTTTCGAATACATGCTCTGTTTATTGCTTGACTCAGTAACTCAAGCCACCAGAATTGAAATTAATGCAGCAAGCACTCTCGACTTAATACTGGCAACACATCCTGACATCGTCTCCAACATTACATACTTACCAGGAATCAGCGACCACATCTCGCTAAACTTTGTCATCAATATTAGCCCTAGTAAAAAGACTAAACAGCACAAATGCATACGATACTACCGGAAAGCTAACTTCGAAGCAATAAATAATGAGCTAACTCACTTTTACGATGATTTTGTTAGAGATTTTGAATCTCGTTTCCTTCAATCTAACTCGGACCTGTTCGCATGCACAGTCCATAAATTGATCGAGAAGTACATCCCTAGTCGCTGTTGCGAAAGACGGACCGATCCCGCCGAAGCCACCACTCTTGCGAAAGACGGGGACGCCAACACGGTCCCGAAGGCGCCACTGCTTTCAACTCCGCCGGGAAGGTCACCAGCCGTTTGGTAGCGTATGTTTCTCAGCTCGCGACTGCTTCTGCGCAGAGCTGATAAGACGAGCGGACGAGACGACGGTGAGTTAAACAAGGTTTATGTACAGCATATATACAGAGGCGTTACAATTTCGGCACAGGGGCCGACAGAGACTCGAAGAACCAAGCTCTCCTCTCTAACACATAGGTCAACTTTTCGCCTAAGACCGCCGACTCACACACATGTCGGCTCTCCGACATGGGGACTCCTCTCTCATAGGACCGCCGATCGCGACGCACCGCAGGGCTTCTTTTATAGGCACCGGGTCCAACCAAAAATGTCCAATTAGAAGCGCCGCTGGTCGTCAGGGCAGATTCCTCCAATGGGGTCGCCGCGCAATGCGTCAGACCACCAGACACGAGGACGCCGGCTCGCTGTCACGTGTGCTGCTGACTCAATGCACGGGGGCCAGAGAGGCGCCGCGCGTGTTCACGCCGTTGAGTTGTTCGCGTCAGGCGGACTGCGGGCTGGCCTTGACCCAGATTGCCTTTTTCAGAGGCACGGACGTTTGACGAGGTCTCGCTGGCATAACAGCACCCCCGCCGCCAGACAATGCACCGGAAAGACGAGCTGCTTCCACGGGGCTCGGATGTCAGGTGCGCTCGTTCGCCAGGTCCCTCCAGGTTCGCCTCCAGGGCCATCGGGAGAATACAGCTCCAGACTGTTCCGGGAACACATCCCATTTTTGACGACGAATCCCAGCTCCACTGGCTTGTCGCCACAACTTGTCGACCAGCTTCACTCGTCTCTTCTGACCACCTTCGGTTTCAGCACTTGTCGATGGTTCTGCAACTTGCTAAGAACGGTTCGACAACAAACAACACACGACACAAGCAAGTGCCCTCGGTCACCCGACAGAACACCAGACAAAGTATAGTACAACATATACCTATCTACGTGTCTATCGGAATTTTGTTCCCTCTACATCAAGAGGCACATGTGGGACACAAGACTCCTAAAGTAAGAACTTGAATTTTTCACAATTACAACAACGCAACGAATTAGAATACCACATAAAGTTGGCCCCTTGAGATCACTCTGAACGAGAGCGCTCAGCCCAGGTCGTGATGAGGTCAAAATTTTGCCCCGAATCGCCAGCCAGAAACCGAAAGGTTGAGAAGGTACTAGCTAGAACGCACTGCTCAATGCACCTGCATTAGCGTTTAGCTTCCCTCCTTTTTTTTTTTTTTTTTTTTGATAGCGAACGTCCAAGTTGCGCTGTGAAGCAACATGCTCCATCTCAGTAACCGGCCACTTTTAGACGACGATACCTATGCGGCACCAAGAGCGGCTCACACTTGCAACGTTGCACAGGGGAACAACGATACGGCTTGCTACGGATTGACTCCTCACCGCTTTGCTCGATATCGTGTTCGATCACCTTCGTGTTTCCGGGACGGTCCGAAAACACGTCTTCAAACACCAAAACAATCTTTCTCAGGTCCTCCTTCCGGACTTCTCTTAACCTAGGCTCTAGGTTTATCTGCTCCCGGATTACTTTCGATCCCCCTTCGATTACCTCACTAGAACTCAAATTTTCTGCTTCCTCTTCCTCTGAAGCATTCAACAACAGATTTACGACCGCTTGATGTTGAACGTATGGTTTCATCAAGTTGTAAATTTTGTCCGGCCGCCTTCCTAATTTCACTTCATAATTTGAATCGCAAGGCTTCGATAATACTGTGGCGGGCCCTTCCCAATCAACCTCAAGCTTGTTCCTTTTGGACGGCTGCAGCAGCATTACCTGATTATCAACTTCAAAAGCGCGCTTCTTCCCCGATTTCTCGTAGTGCTCCTTCGACAGCACTTGTGCCGCGTTTTTCTGGCTTTCCACTAGCGCTTCAATTTGGCTTTCCACTAGCGCTTCAATCGAGAGATCCTCACGCTACTCTCGAATGAGCGTCTCTCGATCAACTCTCGGCAGCTCGCTCAAACTTTCCGCTACAGGCGAGAGCGTTGCAACCCCCTCGCTCTGACTCAATGGCGCCATGTCGTCTCCCCTTTCTACGGAAACCGCGCCGGTCGGTTCGGCGACGGGCCGCTCGCGTGACTGCTCACATGACTCATGCGGAAACTTTCCTTTCTGGGGTTCCGTCGACCCGCCGACAAGGTCACTTGAGAGTTCACCGCATGGAACCAGATCAAGCTGCCGCGATAGCTTCCGCGCTTGCGATCGCGTGAGGGCCATGCACGCTAAGTTGGGGAAGAACGATTTGCCCCGCTCTTTGAGAAGCTGCTCCGAGTTGTTGGAGAAAAGATAAGGAAAACGATCGTTTAGCGCGGCAGACACAGCCGCTTCGGTGCGAAGCTTACCGAACGGGCCTTCAATGACAACGGTGGCGATTGGTAAGCGAACACTCTGCTCCTCGGCGACTTGCCTGATCCACGCGCATTCTCCTGTAAAGTCATCCGGAGACACCAATGAAGGATGGACAACGTCCATGGTTGCCGCTGAGTCTCTAAGTGCTCGGCACGTTTTCTCATTCACCCTAATTTTTTGGAGATACGGCTCCAACAACCGAATGTTTTTTTCCGATTCTCGGATCGTTGCGAAAGCAAACTTTTCCTGACAGTTTCTCGCGATGTGCTCTTCCTTTTTGCAGTTGTAGCAGATTAGCGGCTTCCGTTTGTTTTCCGATTCAAATGCCTGTGTGGTAGAAACCTCACTCGATTTCTCCGCTTCTGTTTGCCCTTCCCCTACACTGTCCTTCGTAAGAGACGGGTCCTTCTTGAAATTACGGTGCGGATCGGGTCTCCGTTGATCAGGTTTCTTTGAAAAGCCCTCTTTCCTTTCATCCTTTTCAATGCGCACTGCCCTGCTATGCAACTTTCGGCGAGTATAATACTCCTCAGCTAACTCAGCTGCCTTGTTTAACTGTACGTCCCCAAGTCTGTCCTGCAGCCAAAGTTTGACATCCTCCTCGATGCAGCGGTAGAATTGCTCCAATGCAACGCATTCCACCACTTTATCGCGGTCGTCATAAACACCTTCGCCCTTGAGCCATTCAATCAAATCGGCTTTAAGACGAAACGCGAAGTCAACGTGTGACTCATTCCCCTTTTTAGCATACCGGAACCTTTGCCTGAAAGCCTCGGGTGACAACTTATAACGTCTCAAGAGCACTTCCTTAACCTCGTCATAGCTCTCAAACGCTTCCCTCGACAAGCAAGTTATCGCGTCGGACACTTCGCCGGGAAGAAGAGCTAGCAGGTTCCGCGCCCAAAGAGGCCGCTCCAAAGCGTTTCGCTCACAGACGTGTTCAAACTTGACGAGATACTTCGCCATGTCCTCGCCTACTACGAACGGTGGCAGTTGGTCCCGAATTCTAAAACCGCTGACCTGAACTGTTGGAGAAGCTACGCTAGGCGCCTGCGAACACTGTAGGATTGCCAATTCTAGTCGTTTCAACTCGAGACGCTCCTGTCTCTCGGCTTCCTCGCGACGTTCGCGCCTTTCAGCTTCTTCGCGAGCTTCGCGCCTTTCAGCTTCTTCGCGAGCTTCTACTTCTCGCCTTTCAGCCTCCTCACGGCGTGCTTTAATATCCACCCAGGCCTCATCGACTTCCTCAGCCGACACTCCCTCATCCTTCATGATCTCAAGGATCGCTTGCTTTCGTTTCGCACGGCCCAAAGTAATGCCGAGTTCCTCACAAATTTCGATGAGTTCCTTCACTTTAAGGTTCTCCATCGTTCACACTAGCCTCTTGCTGTTTGCCCCTGTTAACAATTTACTTGCCGTACCCACTATAAGTCAACTAGCAAGACGCGCAAGCAATTTTTCACTCTCCCGTGTTTACCCCCTCTGCATTAACTTTGGTTTCAAAGCGCTTCGACTTGGCTTGAAACGATCAAAGCTCACTTCAATGCTTCACACAGCCCTTCTCTAAACTACTACAACCTGAGCTAGAGTAGTCTGGTGAACTGAGGGGAAAACATCAGGCACTCACCGCATCGATGTCGCTGACGCCGGTCGATCCCGCAGCTGCCAACCACTGTTGCGAAAGACGGACCGATCCCGCCGAAGCCACCACTGTTGCGGTAGACGGGGACGCCAACACGGTCCCGAAGGCGCCACTGCTTTCAACTCCGCCGGGAAGGTCACCAGCCGTTTGGTAGCGTATGTTTCTCAGCTCGCGACTGCTTCTGCGCAGAGCTGATAAGACGAGCGGACGAGACGATGGTGAGTTAAACAAGGTTTATGTACAGCATATATACAGAGGCGTTACAATTTCGGCACTGGGGCCGACAGAGACTCGAAGAACCAAGCTCTCCTCTCTAACACATAGGTCAACTTTTCGCCTAAGACCGCCGACTCACACACATGTCGGCTCTCCGACATGGGGACTCCTCTCTCATAGGACCGCCGATCGCGACGCACCGCAGGGCTTCTTTTATAGGCACCGGGTCCAACCAAAAATGTCCAATTAGAAGCGCCGCTGGTCGTCAGGGCAGATTCCTCCAATGGGGTCGCCGCGCAATGCGTCAGACCACCAGACACGAGGACGCCGGCTCGCTGTCACGTGCGCTGCTGACTCAATGCACGGGGGCCAGAGAGGCGCCGCGCGTGTTCACGCCGTTGAGTTGTTCGCGTCAGGCGGACTGCGGGCTGGCCTTGACCCAGATTGCCTTTTTCAGAGGCACGGACGTTTGACGAGGACTCGCTGGCATAACATCGCACACTCATTTCCAATCCTCAAGCACAGTGATATTCCAGTCATCTAAAACGCCTATCCAATCGAAAAAAGTAATTATTTCGTTTAGCTTAAAACTCGCCTTCACCTTCGCGCTGGAGAACTTACAAATCTGCTGCAAACACTTACTTATGAGCTCTAAAAACTGCAAAAAACAACTACCTAACTAGAACACTACCTGAAAATGAAACAATGAAAAATAACACTAAAAAGTTTTGGCAAATGATTAACCCAACTACTAACAACACTATATCACTAGAAAATTCATCTGGAAATAATATTCTCGATAACATGTGCCCATCAGTAATTAATAATTCATTTTCAAGCCAGTACTCTAATTCTGGTAACATCATACTCCCTCAAGCGCACCAATATATTTACATGCCCATGGATCCAATAATTATCGAGGTACCTTGAATATTGAAGCTAATAGATAAGTTACCATTCCACTCCGCTCCTGGCTATGATGGCATTAATAGCAAATTCCTTAAAAACACTAACGTAGTTAGTTCTATGATACTAAGTAAAATATTCGGACAATCATTGAGTACTTGTCAACGTCCAAAGGAATGGAAAATAGGGAAGGTGGTTCCAATCTACAAATCTGGCCCCAAAAATTCACCCCTTAATTACCGACCCATATCATTAACAACTAATTGTTGCAAATGATTAGAACATGTAATCTTCTCGAATCTTGCTAACTTTCTAAAGTCTAACTCATACTTTGCTAAAACGCAACTGTACTCCTGCGAAACACGGCTTGCTTCGTTTACTCATCATCTGCATCAAATACTGGAACGATCATCTTGCGTTGACAGTATTTTTTTAGATTTTAGCGAAGCATTTGACAAGGTTTGCCACAAATTACTGCTCTTAAATCTAAGCTTGCTAAATATCGACACTAACCTTCTTAAATGAATAGAACATTTTCTCTCTAATTGCTTGCAATTCGTAACTGCTAACGACCATCATTCATCACTCACTGAAGTACAGTTAGGTGTGCCTCAAGGTTCAGTATTGGGCCCTTTATTATTTCTTGTATATATTAATCATCTAACTTTTTCAATAACTTCTAACATACATCTGTTCGCAGATGACTGTGTTATTTACCGTGAAATTACCAATGTTGATAATACTAAAACACTTTAAGGTGACCTAAATAATATAGCTAATCGGTGCAATAACAGGTTAATAAAACTTAATATTTAAAAAAGTAATAATGGGCGTATCAAGAACTAACACGAGTCATAACAACTACCATCTAAACAACATTCCCTTAGATACCATCTTGCCTTATAAATATCTTGGCGTGCACATCACAAATAACTTAAGTTGGACAACTCATGTAGAGTACGTAATTAACAATACTAATCGCATGCTCGGCTACTTACGACGTAACTTCTCCAAAGCACCCTCCTCCTTAAAACTAAGACTCTGTAAGTCTCTCATACGCTCTAAACTTGAGTATGCATCTGCCATGTGGGATCACAGTCATGCTAATCTCACCACCTCTCTTGAACTAGTACAAAATAACTCTGGTAGGTTCATCCTCTCTAACTACAACCGCACTGCAAGTATGACTTCAATGAAAAATAACTTATCACTTATTCCATTGACTCACCGACGAAAAATCGCCTGTCTTTCGCTATTTCATAACATTTTCTATCACCCAACATTTCATAATGACCTGATACTCCGGCCTCTGTACATCTCAAACCGTGTTGATCATAACCGTGTTGATCATCGCAATAAGGTAGGAATCCCATCACGTCACACTAAGTCTTTGTTTCAGTCATTTATTTCCCGCACATGTCATTGCAACCACCTTCCCACGAATGTCGCAATCACCACTGACTTCAAACTTTTTCACGAAACATTAGCTAACATTGTATAACCAGGAAAATCTATTACCCATACTTATTGCTTTAGTTTTTTTTTTAATTTTGGAAATGACTATTTTTGTATATTCTGCAGAAATGTTGATATTATCTGTCTATTATTGTTTTATTTGTATTTTTCATGTATTTACCCACTCCCCTCTTCAATGGCTTTTGGCTCTGAGGGTATTATAAATAAATAAATAAATATTGAATACTGTTGGACCCATGTATAGTTAAAAAGCAACTGTGACCTTTATATTATGCCATAGCTAAATCATGGGGCATAACGGGTATCCTGCCATTAGTTCGCACTATGAAAGGGTTGCGATTTCTCTTAGTAAATCTTTTACTCTTGTTCTTAATAACAACTCTGGTTTTGTTAGTATGTATTCTTTGTTCGTACTATTCTTGTAAGAAGGTTCTCTAAAGTATGCACACTCCTTGGGCTGCTATACGCACTCAAACCTCACTATAACGAAGTTGCATCTCACACGAAAATAAGTTCGTTTTATCCCAAACTTGGTTATAGAGGTATATTCCTAGCACAATATCTACTGCAAGACTATTCCTCACTCCGTTAAAACCAATATTTCGGCATATCCAGGTTTGTTATATTGAGTTCTGAGTGTATATCTCTCAAGACTAGTGAAGCTGTTTAGCGTAGGCCACTGTTTCTAGTATAGAAAAGAGGAAAAAGTCAAGTAAATGTCACGAAGCAAAAAGGAACAAACACTTAAAACTTGGTAAAAAACCCAACAAGAGCACACACCTGAATCCGAACACTATTTCATCGTGGCGGAGATGCGTGTCGTCATCGACCGAGAGCACCGCTTCTGTCTCGATAGCTGAGAAGGGTAGGAAGCGATTGTTGAGGCTGTTCTTTTTTGCACGCACCACCTGGGACAAAAGAAAAAAAGAAGAAACTTGAAAAAAGAATGGTGCCACACACACACACAAAAAAAAAAAAACAGGCAACGGCATGGTAGAAGAGCCGTTTCGACTATGAATCATGTGCGAAACCATGGAGACGATACAAATTTACCTGATACGGTGGACTGTGTAATTTACAAGTAGTGCAAGTTAACAATTTTTCTGAATTTATTATAACTGACATGAAAAATATCTGGGCATTACAGGACTCGGAAAATCTACCTCTATCACTCTTATTTGTTTGCGTAAAAATTTAAACATGAAAGAAATCAAACAACAGATGGAATTCACCACCCAAATGCTACAGTTTTGTTTACTGACTATTTTAAATAGGTTACACAAAGGAAATAATCTTGACGTATCCATTCTGTTGCTGAAAAGCCTACGTGACATATTCATATGATTGCCTGCGTTGGCGTAGGTTCACCTGTTGTTTTCTTTTTGTTTATTGCTGTCTTCATCACTACGGATATTTTTCCCTCTGTTTTCAAAATGTTTACACAATACCTTTGTTCATTATTTCTTACCGTGTTTAGTTACTGTTTCTGCTGTTTTGTTCATGCATTAGATATAGGGCACGCCTTGAACTGCTGTAACCCCTCAGTGCGTGAGGTGGGCAGGTTCTCCTCAAGCTGCTCAGCGCAGCTTTTTCGCCTGGTCTCCTCTTAACCTTGTTGCTCAATAAACTTAATTCAATTCAATTCAAAACTAAATATGTAGTAATATTTTTGTTCCCCTAAATCTACAAACCCACCATAAACAAAGCACGGTTTGACCACAGGGCATAATGATGTCTAGATGCCACAGCTATCGCATATTCTGGATGAACAATGGCCCAACTTGCCTCAATGGGAACACCAATGTCAGGCCATCGCAGATCAGGAGATGGCGGCTTCAAGCTGTTCCACACGACGATGACCTTGTTCAGGTGCGGAAGGCTGTGCAGCCGCTGAAGCGAGTCGATCAGCACCGCCTCTCGCTCATATGTTAGCATCACCACTGCATTTACACAAGGACGGGTTGGCATTACGGCTGTGCTAGTTGAGGCGAGGAGAACTCATTTCTGTACTGTATGTGCACCGAGCTAATTTCATGATGTATTGTCACATAAAATAGGCCCTAAATACTACCGCAATAAAATCACACTACACTCTCAATAAACGAAACCTGGAGGGGCTGGAAATATACTGCTAGTCTCTCGGACAATCCGCATGCGTGCCTGACGAAGAGAACGAAGCGCTGCCTCCGCTCGATCTGCACAGAGGTCAACAAGAACAACAGCGACAACCACAGCAGCTGAAATGGTCAGCGCTGCCACTGCTTCTATAAATAAATCTCGTATATAGTCTACACCGCAAACGATTCGTAACATTTAGATGGAGATGCAGGGAACCGATCCCCATCCTTCACCCTGCACCAATTAACAAAAGTTCTATTTAATAATAGGAGAACAAGGGTGCACATTAAACTATTATAACCGATCACAGTTAAGGCAGTTGTTCCTGTGAAGCAGTAATTCTGTTTTCAAGACATTTGTTTTAACTCAGAGTTTACTATAAAAATATTTTCTAGTGCCTGAAATTGCGTCAACGAAGCAAAAGAACATACTTCGAAGCAAGCAGACCCCAATAACTGAATTTAGGCTCATGTGCAGTGTATTACATGTGAAATAGTGATCTTCAGAGTAATATTGGGTGCTTGTATGGGTAAGAGCAGGTACACCATTGCAATCTGGTTATTTCAATAAAAACACCACAAAACACAGCATCAACACATAAGTGGACTCTGCATTCAGCAGCAATGCTCATTTTGAAATTCATAAGACACTAAGAATCTTTCACGTAAGAACACTAACCAAATGAAAAAAACATTCCAGTAAAGACAGCCCACCAAAAGGTAAAGGTCATTATGGGGTTAGCAGCTTTTTAAACTTTTCTAAGGCTCAGCATTTCAGTCTTCTCCCCAAATTTGAAAAGCATACTGATACCGAAATTTTCAGTAGTTGTTACATTGTTTTCTTACATAAAACGAAAGACCAAATGCTCAAGAGCCTGGAAAATGTGCTGGTATGCACAAGTGCACCCTGAAAAATTATCACGTGTACACTGATAGAAGTGACATTTACCTTTTAGAGCATACTTTGGAGCAGGAAAAGTACTGCTTTTGAGCAGCCATAAGCGTTTTCGTAGCGGAGAAAATGCTACTTCGGAGCACCTATTGGTGTTTCAGGAGCAGATACAAAATTTGCCGTACAGTAATTGGAGTTCAAAGCATTGTCAAAGCATCTTGTAAATATAAATATTTATGATAGAATATATTTAGCAGAGAACAATTATGTAAATTTCCAGAAGCAAACAATCAAAAATATGGCTGGTTGTCAAAAATTTGCAATGAATTGAGCTATATATTTGAAATTGTAGTATTCGTGGCAGAAATAAAATCATTCCGGAAAAGCTGAGCACCACAATTTAGAAGTAACCACAGTACCATATAACTGTTGACAAATAAGCAGTAAATACTTGGTACGAGATAAAAACAATCCTGCTCATTTTCACACTTCACCATACTTGCCTGCCCATCTAGCTGAAAAAACAAAAACAGCCAAAAGAGCTACATGCTTGATATGCCAATTGCTGTTGCATAAATGAGATCAGAGCTAGGAGTGTGTGAATATTCTAATGCTTCGAACGAATAATGCAGTGTTCAGATTCACTTTGAATCAAATTTAAATAATTGAAAATTTCAAATTATTCGGGACGAGCGAACAGATGCATATTAGTCCAGATATCACACCCTGCACAGGTGGTTTCACTGCGATAAAGAGATGCTAAGCCGTGAAAGCACCTATTCAAAAGAAACCTGCACTGCCGCAAAGCCCCACTTCAAGGTGAGGATAGTACCCTAACATCAATTCATTTCTTCTCATTTAAAAGCTTGTTATACCAACTTATATGCTTTAAGAATATCAAACATAAAAAATTGAAATGTTTTACAGGCTATCACTAGCATTCTACCAAAAGTCAAATCCTGCTACTATGCTACTTCCATCAAAGAAAAAAAAAAGGCATTTGCAGAGGCCTTGTTTTAATACTTGAAAAATATTGTGCAGGTTAGTTTGGTCATGACAAATATGTCCCCTTTTCTGTATAATATGTGATATATGTATGTACTATTGGAATTCGATTCGAAATTATTCGACCAAAACCACTATTTGCTTCGAACCTTAAATTCCCTATTCGCACAAGCCTAATCAGAGCCGATAACCCTGTACACTGGGATGACTTACGAGTCAGTCAAACAGTAAACGTTTGTCACTTCAATTCTCTAAGTGAGATTCCGAAGCAGGTTTGGAGCGATTACTAACAAAAATTGCGGTTTGGAGCCGCATTTTTCTTTTGGAGTGATTGGAGCAGCACTTCCATCCCTGCATTTCTTTAATCTTTAAAAGCCTGTTACGGTTTCATGTGTACCCTGACATCACAACATGGCATGATGACCACGTTACGCACTCACACAAGACCTTGAGACATTTTCGTGGCAGCTTCGCTGGTGATGCAGAAGCAGCCATTTTCAATGTTCTTTGGGTGATGTGCAAGCGGCCATATTTTATGTCTTGCTACATGACGTCATCACAACCAGCCCCACTGGTGTGTGAAGTCGCCAGAATTCACACTGCAGCCCAATGTCACGCGAGTGCTGGTGTGACTAGGTGCACAATGCGAAAAATCACCTTCAATGTCAAAATAATGCATAATATTGGCTTTTACAGACGTTTACACTTGCCCAGAGCGGTCCCTGTATACAAGAGATTTGCATGGCGGAGTAGACTCTGCTTAGAAAATCGACGTCAGTGCACCTTCAACACTAAGTTGTTTGTGTCCTGACAGCAAAAAAATGTCTGGTACCCAAAAGTGTTCTGCGACACCAACTTTACTGAACTAAGCTGGTGGCAACAAGTTTCCAGCTGTGAAAGCAGCCCTCACCTGTGAATTGCTCCCTGGGAACATTTCCACCGAGAACTTCACCAAACTCCTTTCCAGAGCCACCGGCACCTTGAGCAACTGGCCTGAAGCCAAAACTAGAGCCTGAAAATGTAAACAAAGTAAAACCTTGTTGATTCGGATTTCACGGGACAGCGAAAAAATGTCCGAAATAAGCAAATGCATAATTATCGAAAGTCTCAAGGAAAAAGTAGCCAAATATGCATTACATCAATGCACTTTTATTTTCCCAGCAATTATGTAAATCTAGTAATTCTGTTGCATATGAGCAATTTAATAACTGTGATTTTCACCATTTGCGACTTCACTCACAATGTGAACGCAGCTCAGAACCTGATGTCTTTACCGAAAACGGTCTGAACTCATACTTTATTATGTACTAACAACACCACGGTGGGTGGGTGACCACGCATTTCTGAAAGCCCACAGCCATTCTGGCTGTCCGCAAATGTCATTTTTGTTTCTTCATTTTGCACACTTATGGTACTTCACAATCCGCATGCTGCTAATCACTGCCAAAATTAATCACCATACAGCCAAATGTGACTAAATTAACGAGTTTGATGCCATTAAATAATCTACGAGCTTGCTGGGTCAAGTGAACACATCCGAAGTATCCAACTTTCTACATTAACAAGTCAGATTAATGAGCTTTCACTGTATCAATAGTTCCAAAAGTATAGCTCGGAGAGAGAAAATATTGGGAACTGTTAAACCTATTAGATGTACATTTCAAAAGTCTACTGGAGCTTTGAAATTTCACAGTTGTGAAAGAATGGCACCACTTTATGTGCCTTACATGGCTGGAACATGCAGATGTCTTTTGTCCATTTTCTTTGTAGAATATAATCATTTCTTTACAGAGTGGCTATGAGGACAGAACGATCCGTGGCTATGCTTCACTGGATCATCTCTGTAATTTTGTTTGTCTGGGACGATTCTTTGTTAAAAAGCTAAAGTTGGCTTTTACAACTATGCCCATGCTGTCTTTGTCAGACCAAGAACCCAAAATTGTCATTCCAATATCTTGTTAGTATATTTTTCATTAGTCCCTTGCAAATGGATTTCGTGAAACTCTGTAAAGCGGCCCACGAGTTATGAAAGCAATAACTGAGAACTAGCTGTTAATAGCACAAAGCCACAAGACCAACCACAAGAATTTTTCAGAAAGGAAAGTTCCTGGTTAAAAAAAATTTGTTCTGGTTCGTGGATATAACTTGAGACCGAAGCTTTTTCACTCAATTAGAATGCTAGCAATTAGCAGCAAATAGGTGAATTAGTTAATGCGAAGCACAAGAACACTTATTGCAAATGAGTTCTGTGGAATCTCACAAGGCAGCAGAAGGGTTCAGCATCTTTGTGTACTACAATGCTTCAACAAAGAGAAAATAAAGTTATTAGATGCAAAGCAGCTTGGGGTCGAGCTTAATCGGGTGTGCGGCGTAACTACCCTTACAGCGCATGCACGTCCCCTACCCCTCCCTCTCGCGCCTCACAACGCGATGCAGGCAGCGTCTGATAGCCAACGCTCACTCCCCTCTCTCTCCTCTTTTACGCTCACTTACTCTCTCGCCTTGCAACGCCGACGCAGGAAGTGTCTGCTTGCGAGTTTTTTTATTGAAAAAACCGACTGCTCGCGCTGCACGACCGTTCACAGGCCACCCCATATATATATAGGTACTAGATCTTGGCCTCCAACGTAGTGCCAGTGGGAGATTTCTTCTGTGCGTTATTGAACAATAAATGTTTGTCGCGCGCATCAACTAAAAATGAACTGCGGGTCTCTGTGACCAATCGGAGTCTTCTTTCTCTCATGACCCATTAGCAGTCATTGGCATGTTCCAGTAGGAAACACCGATTCATCACGGCGTGCTTTGCGCCTCTCCAGGTCTCTCCTGTGCAACACCGCAATAAGCGCCAGCGTCAACGCCACAGTCATGTAAGCATTAGCGCCCACCGCGTCACATCTACACAAGGTTCTTTTTAGTGGGAGCTGGCGCAATCTTTTTCTTTTTTCTTCTCTCTTTTTTTTGTATAGTTAGAGAAGATTTAGAAGCTAACCAGCTATGCTGAAAGTGTCTCCACTACAAACCGCACATTTCTAAACAGATGTGAAGGAAATGTAATCACTTCAGCTTTATTTACAAGCTGTATAATTTCAGCATCGCATCCCAATAACTACCCCATCCATACATCCTATCCCCACCACCCAATCAATACATCAGCTTTCATAAAACCATATCTATTATAATAGACAATGTTATCAGTCACTAATTCATTGATATTTATGACACATGGACAGAAAATTTATCAAGGCCTTTTATACTGTCCACATGCCAAGTTAATGTCATATGCCTTGATACTACACAGCACCACATTACTACTAGTACTACACAGCACAGCACAAAACATACCATAAGTAATTTATGACTTGACACTGAGTCTTTTTCCCACCATATCATTTTTCTAGATGTAAACAAAATGAAATTAAACATCCTATCAAAACTCACCCATGAACTTTGCCTCGGAAGGGAGTATAGGCTCTTGAACCCTGTATGGGTACATAGTGTGTGGGTCGAAATCTTCATTCCACACCTTTGCCTGATCATTCAGGGTGACGCTGAAGTTCCTCTGGTACGTCAATGAAGGAAATGGTGGCTCAATGGGGCCTAGCATCTCGTCCATCTCTGTGTTGGGTGCAGCTTCAATGGTGACTGGGCGAAAAGTGGCATTGAACACACTCGGCGACGGCTCCTCATGTGCGGGCGGAGCAGGTATCCCCAGTCGCGTGCGGACGAGGGAAAGCACAGCGTTGATCATGCGGGACGTCGTCGACAGGTAGCTCTCCCAGAGAAGACGGCCACGACGACGCAGCTCCACTATGTCAGCATCCAGGTAGGTGCGCAGGATAAAGTGGACCTCGGTCACCCGAGCCAGTGGCAGCAGAAGTGCTGCGCGTGACCAGTCGACAAACTCGGAGAATGGAAGCTCTACGGCGTCACCACCTAGAATAACAGGGATGGCCCCGTTTTGCATGCTTTCGCGGATGCGCACTAGGAACGTGGCTGTCGACACAAAGCCAGCTGGAGGTGCGAAGACAATCGAAAATGTTGACTCTCGCAGAAGCTGGGCGCGACTAGAGGGGTCACCGCACAGGAGCCAGTCATTTGGCGCAGAAGACACATTTTCAGCCGCCAAGCAACTGAAACTGAAGTTCAACTCATTGTCAAAGCCCCGAGACATTTTACCAAGAATGTTCACAATCATTTCATTCGCACGGGCCTCAATGGTAATGTTGGCGTCCTGTGCAAGCCTTCCCTGAAAGCTCAAAAGGTACCGCCGTCGTGCAGGCAATATCACTGGTGCCGATTCCCACGGTTGGGCCAGTTCCTTGCCCGAAGGAGCCGGCGTCAATGTGATGTCGAATTTCCGCCTGAAAGCCACGGCCTCCGCAGATGATTGCGCGATGATGGCTTGCTGCACGTGTTTTTCGGTGAGAATCGTGGTTCCACTTAGGTTGATTATGATATGATTGCGCCCACTTCCATTCCAATGAGTCAGCTGGCGAAGGTAACTCGCCACTGACCACGATGGCAAGTGACCACCGAGGATTACTACGTGGACGCATGCTGTGCTTGGATCAAACGTGGTGTGAACATTAGTGTCCAGTATCTGGGCGAGAGACGCACGCACATTTAACTCCGGGACTGAGTCGTCAGTGGGATAAAAATAAACAGGAAAGCCGGAAGTGAGGGAGCAGCGTGAGTAGTCAAAGCACGAATGCATCCGGCACTCTGGTGGTGCTGGTCTTGGCAGGTACAGTTGCCGCGCATCTTCACCCGTTAGAAGCTTCAGAGGCGGTCGGAGAAGAGGTATGTTTCGGTTCTCCAGCTCCTCTCGAGCATAGGCTGCCTGTTTTAGGGAAAGCTTGATGCGGTCCAGTTCAAGACGGTTTTTCGTGTAGCCACGTTTTGATTCTTCGACACTCTGGGTCAACGTGAAAATTTCGGCCTGCCAAAAAAAAAGCACAAGAAAACACATATTTCATGCTTAACAGCAAGCAGTTACTAATAACAAGAGTTTAAGATGATTTTATGTGCAAAAGTTGGGTTAGCAAGTGTGGTACAAGCAAAATGAGGAGTTATTTTTGACAAAATAAGACGCACCCCCAAATGCAGACACTAGAGAAAAAACGGAAACAAAACAAGTGCTGAACAGATACCAGCTAGCCCAATTATCCATGCTGTGGAGGAGAATTATGATTGAGAAATTAAATTAAACAACGAATATTTCTGCACTCATGAACAACGTGGCAAAGAACTGAGGAGATCAACTCTCTCTGTTACAGTCGTAATAAAACAAACAATGAGAACTGAACAATGCACAGAGTAACTTACTTATTTAATAAAGAAGTGATAAAGCAAAGAGACGAAAGTTGGCATGAAAGTAAATGGTCACAGGTTGAACAAGAGGAACTGGCATCTTAGTATTTCACATGTCAGCTCTTCCGAATTGGCTACCAGACCACTGAGGCAGCATCGTATGTTCGAGATATTGCCATAATGTCGCATTCAGGGCATGCTGATTGGCTAGTTGAGGAAAAGTGGGCAAGCAGTAGTTGCCTCAGAATGTGGTCTCTGTCTCCCATCCATTTTCTGCCCAGTGCTACCCCTCACAGCCATAATCGTGGATATGGGAATCTCATCTACACCAAGCATCGCGTGAACTTGAACATTGAAGGTGCGTGACAAATAAACTTTTATATGCTGCCTGATAGTGTCAAGGCGGCCGAAGATGAGACGTTCGCTTTGTTCATTACGTAGCTCGCAACCAGCTGGTTTTTTTCACCGACTTCCTTTTTCTTTATCGTTTCTTTATTTCAGTTAAGTAGTTTATCTTATGCTGTGATTGCTTCCCATTGTTTGTTCATTAAATTTTATTTCACAGCTGCAGCCTGTGTTACATCCTGTCAGTAAATGCGTGAATATGAACGTTAACATACCTGCAGTCTTTGTCGCTTCTTTTCCAGGTCTCGAAGCTCGCTGCTGACGGACAATTTGATCCGAAGGAATTCTTCTATTCTCAGCTTTAGGTCCTCTAAGACATGAATGTCGTCAAGTTGGATGCGCCTCTGCAGGTCTGTCGCCGAATCCACTGTGCCCGCAAACTGCAACAAAATCCGAAATGAATTCCCTACAGCTACTGCGAAAAAGCAACCAGTCACCAGCACGGCACCAAAACACCGTACATCTTTTTTAAAGAAAAGAGAGAGAGAGAAAAAAAAACAGATCAATGCGCGACTACACAAGCACTTTCGCTTTCAAGAAAGGGTAATAACTCCAATTGGATGTCTGGGTTCCGTTTTCATTAGCACTGCGCTCAAACTGTGCGGAGGAGCGATGTAAACGCCAGTTTCGCGTTATAATTAGAGGGCATCTCACAGCAGCGGAGTAATGTTAAAATACGATCAATCAATAGCAGCAAATTACCTTTGAAATGTAGTAATGCATAAATAGCGACATGATGATCAAGGCGAAAAGAGCAAGCAGTATGAATCTTGTCGTGCCGACTCCGACAAACCACGCCCGCATAGGTTTGTAATTGAGACATTTTTGTAGCCAGCGTCCGTGATGGGCCATTCCTCAGGTCTTCGGTGCGATACCCTGAATTTTTCGGGGCGAGGAAGAACTCGCGAAAAGCGTTTCGAACGACATCGGTTCCCGATAAGAATCGCACCGCATCTACACGGACATGGGCGCCGCCATGTTTGTACTCTCGCCAAATCACGTGAGGCCGCAGTGGGCCAAGTGGGGGAGAGCCTGGCCTGTCATATGATGGTTAGGTGTGCGGACGGTTTGTGCTGATGGTAATGTTCGCTCCTGTGCCGTTTCTTTCTTGTTCATCACATATGGGAACGTTGTGGTCGACTGGGAGCCGTAGTTCATTTCCCATGCGTGCCGTGTCTTCGATCGCTCGCTGCTTGACTGTGCCCGAGCGTTTACGGCGTCGGTGACGGCGGTACCCGCTTCGAGTGAGCGGAGGGGCTGTCCGTAGCCGTCCTGCGTGTAGCCGCTGGTTACAAACGCCGAAGACGCCTAGTTTTTGCAGTGCCACTCTGTTTCGGCGCCGGTCCCGGCTTCTTTCTTTCCGTTTCTTTACGCGGCATCCAGCCGTGCGCAGCTGCCGTACTAGCCAGCTGAACCACGAGGACTCCGCTCGTGACCGGGGCGGGCGAGCGAGTCGGGAGGGAAAAGAAAAAGAGAGGCGTTATTGCAGTTTGAAACATTGTTTGCCCACCCCCGGAAGAGTGTCTCGTTGCATCTAGCGATCGCTTTAATTTTGAACTTGTCCATTGACGGCCGCGCTTTGGCAATGTCGTTTCAGTCTTTCGCTGAGGACGAAGACGGCTACGCGTCGAACTACCACGTCGGGTCTTTGCCGCGTGATTATGCTTATGGACCCGACGACGTTGAGGGCGACACGACACATGCCACTCAATGTGCGAGGAAAAGAAAAATTCTCCTCATGGGGTCCAAAGGGTGAGCGTTACAGAATTCGCCTGTTCAATCCTTCCTTGTCACCCTCGTCTCTGTGGCGGCATTTGTGCATTTTGTACGGTTGTCACAGAACGCGCTCAGTTGGCGTGCGTGAGATCACACTTTGCCATTTATTTGTGTATTTCAGGAGCGGGAAATCGTCCATCGAGAAGGTGGTTTTTCACAAAATGTCACCGAATGAAACACTGTTCTTGGAGAGCACCAACAAGATTGTGCGGAATGGTATGACTCTGCTTATCACATCACCTGTTGTCTTTAATTCAGTGCGTGCAGTGCTCAGAATACAGTAGCACAACAGCTGGTGGGCACATATGACCTGATCAGAACATTGCACTTACAGCATTGTTGAATGAGCACTGCTGACACCTCAAAGAAAGCTACAGTTAGTGTAAACTATGAGCTGAGCCAATTTTTTTCTCATAGGATGGAAAACAGCTTGCCAAACTTGAAATAAAGTGTCTGAGACATGACATTGCACACAAATACTAACAACGAACTCGTAACACTTTAATATGGCTGATCATGTGAAAGACCTTAGGTATCAAAAATAATTGGGAGGTCTGCTGCTAGTGGATCTACTGCTTCAGAAGTGTTGAGTGTTGAATCCATTTCTTCTTTGTTTTATGCTTTATAAAATTTAGTGGGATAGCATCAAATGTGCTTGAAGCCTATGTATATTGTGCACAAATATGAAGCATCAAAACATTTTTCTATATGTCCCGCCATGCGGTACATTATTGGAATGTATAGCTTTGGTACATGGTCAGTACTAGGCGAACCGTTTTTTTTGTCACTCACAGTTGTGTGCAGCGATGTCCACTACCAAGTAGCACTCTTATGAAAATGCTTTCAGTCAAATAGGGTTCTTCTGGCATTGCGTGCTTAAAGCACCTTGATAAAAGTTTGGTTTCACATAGCGATTGGATTTTAGAAACTCCTCTTGCAACATAGTGGCACAACGAGGGGTAATCAATCCTGCATTGAAAGCACTATCTCATTTTTTTAGGCTTGACCGAAACTGTGCCGTCTAGGTGGTGTTCTCTTAAGCTAAGTAAAGTGAATAATCAAGCAGTTAATTCACTAGACTTGTTACCACTAGGGCCAACTTGAATTGATGGCATCACGCTGTCAAGCATTAGGGTAAATGCCAATTGGCCATGTTGGTAAAAGTTTATGCAAGTTACGTTTTTTTTTTCTGTCGTGAAGTATTTTTGGGGGGAAGTGGGGGGTGTTAACGTGCCAAAACCACCATATGAAGTATTACGGCACAAATTCAATTGCTTAATATGTATTGTATCTTATTTTCAGAAAACTAGGGCTGAAAACGGAAGCAGCTTGCATAATGAAAAAATGCTCGTGTACCTTGATTTAGATCACATCAAAGAATCTCTTGGGGGTTGATTTCAAGCTAGAGCCCTCAATATAGTGCACTTCATGTTCATATCATGGTAATGTTGCATAACGCATCCGACATTTATATTTTTTGATGTGCAGACATAGAAAGTGTGTTTGCATGTGCGATTGAGCGTGTTTGTTCAGTTTCTCAAACACCTGTTACTTTGCAGGTGCATGCTGCTATACATGCTTGTAACAAACTGTTGTTCTTTTCAGACATATCGAACAGTTCATTCGTCAAGCTGGACATCTGGGATATCCCTGGTCAGGTTGACTTTGTTGACCAGGTGTCCGACTTCAAGAACGTCTTCGATGGCTGGGGAGCCCTTGTATTCGTAATCGATGCTCAGGTACCCTTGCCTTTACACAACAGACATGTGTCGCTAATTGCACTTGGCCACTTTGGACAAGGGGGTGTTTAAGCCTTGTGAAGAATGGAGCACTAAACGCAATATTTAATCGGTCTAGTATGTCGGACAACTATTCTTAATAACCCTGAAAGCTTTTCTTCCATGTTATGAAGTGACTTGCAGGGAAAGCTATGATTGAACTGGCAATGCTTTGTCAATAAATGAAGCAACATTTAGGAGGTTTTACGTAACGGTGCCGGCAGTTTTTGAAGTCATCCTCAGCTCGAAGCTATATAACAGTGAATCTGAGGTCTGCTTGAAGAGAGCGAAATGATCATAGAAAAAGAAGGAATCTAACAGGATTGTGGGAATTAGATCCTTAATATTGAAATGCAAAATAAAGAGCATATTAATTGTCAAAGGTTTATTGCAACTTACCCATCACAAACTAGATATAATGCTGGCTCTCTGTTTTCACAGTGTGGGTGAGCCATCTGTGATTCCACTTGTGCACCAACTGTGCCAAATCAAATTTACTGCACCATCCTTATAATATCAACCGAATTGCGCCAAAGTCTGATTTGGGAGCGTTTATCACCAGCGATAGCCGTGCTGGCATGTCAAAACGTGCACCCTGCTTTCGGGGCCGCCAAGGTCACAATCACGTACCTAGAATTATTCCGCTGAATAAACGGTGGTCACACGTGCGTCCTAAATAATACACGATGCTATATGCTATGTTTAATGCCGACGCAACTTCAGTTGTGCAAGTCCGCTTAACGGCAAAAGGCGCTCTCCACTGGGGCTCGTGACGTTTAGTCCAATCGGTAGCATGAAAGTGGCTGTGATTCATCGGCGGACGTAATCCGTTGAAGGAATCCTGGTGATAGCTAGTTCGAAGAGTTGCACAGCACGTAATTAAAGCAATTTTCACTAATAACTGCACGCGTGCCGCCAGAATATCTGTTGCGTCGACTTCTGGGCATTTTCGATCTAATTTTCTGTGCTTCGAGTCCTCAGAAGAACACGTGAACAGTGGAAATGTGTTGGCACTGTTTCTTTAATATACTTAATTCATGGATCTTCATTCAGAATTGCTTTTTCATAATTCCTTCCACTAGCACATCCACAATTGTAATCGCTGTTGCAGTGAAAGACCCTTCTGTTTCGAACTCGAGATTACTCTGGTCGCATTCAAAATTTTCGTGTGCTTAAAAAAAAAAGTGTCATCTCATGAATAAAAGCATGCCTCCTGGTCGGAGCCGCCGCAATTAGATTTTAATACGTGTAGCTTTCAGTAGGGAGGCCATCGCTGGCAGCACTGGAGTCGAAAGACCCACTGTGAAGCTGCTGCACCTTTCTACACGCCCATTTCTGCCTTTCCATGGTCAATAGCTGACAGCTAAAAAAAAAGACAGAAAAAAAAAGAAATTAATATCACGACATTGCATTCGTTGCTTCATTTTGGGGGGAGGCGTCGTCGCTTGAAGGGCACAGTCGCTGGTGCGTGAAATCTCGAGTTATAATGAGACTGCTCATGAACTTTCTGTGCTACTAGTAAACCTCTGCTTCGTGTTTAGATAACTAACAGCACGAAAAATTTTTTGGCAACTGGAGTGATCATTGTCCCTTTAGGCAGAGTTCTTTTGAGTTACGCGATGCTGGGTCCAAAAGATACAATTTTTTAGTTTCACTTAAGCTAAGATCTTACTCAGCGGTGAATGCGATACCAAATCGTTATACCAAATAACAAGGCCTGATGTCATCCACGGGGAGCGCTAGTGGTGGAGTCACCATTTCGACAGTCCGTGCACTCGGTACACTCGCAAAAACTTATTGCACGCGCGGTGTTCAATATTCGTACAGCTACTTGGATAACTAGAGACCCCCGGAACGACTCGTGCACGCTGATGCACGTACAGGTGGAATCAGACTTGTCTAGAGCGCCCAGCCGGCTGCTCCAGCTGCTGTTTTCTTAAGAAATATGTAAAGAGAGACGCCAAAATGATATCAAACATGGTCATACTTTATGTTAGGCTCTTGACTAAGCATAAACAGAAGCTTGCAGCTAACATGAGATAGAAGCCGGGGCCAACAACAGTGTCAACAGGCACGCGCTCTGCTGCTCTAGATAAGTGTATGTGATTCTATCTGTACAGCAGGAACGGTGCCACTGGACGTTCAAAATGGTGCGATGATGGTGTGGCTGCCTTGCGATAAAGGCTCAGTGCATGCCCTTATATGGCCACTCTAGAAAGCGAAGCACTTTTCGCACAGTCTGTTCGCATTGAGTGCAAGCTAGAAGGGTGGACCCCTTGTATACTAGAGGCCCTTAATGCCTGCCGAAGTGGCAGCGCACGCTGCAGTTATCACAAGCTCATAATAACGCCCCCCTTGCGTTCCTAGTTCACTCCTGCTGTTTAGACACGAGCGGCACGTTTTATTTGGCTTGAGTAACAATCGATGGCAGGCCTGGCACGTGGCGGGATGTTGTCGCATCCAGCCACCGTGCAAAGAAGATAGGTTGCTTTGTATCTCTGCTTTAGCCGTGTTCATCGCCCTCGCTCGCGCTTTTACCTGCTTGTAAACACACAGTGCGGGGGGGGGGGGGTGTTACCGATTGGGACATTACACAAAACATGACAGCGACGACCATTGGCGTAGCCGGAGGGGGCATTTGAAACAGGGGCACGTCTCGATTTTTTTTTTTTTTTTTTTTGCCATGTCATAGTGCAAAATGGCCTTTTGCCTGCTAGGCCCCCTTCACACCTTCACATCAAGGTGTGCACCCCCCCCCCCCCCCCCACTGCCCAGAACAAAAAGAAGTTTATAAAAAATTTCTGCCTACGCCCCTGGCAACAGCAAAAACCAGTCGAGAATGTTCATGTAATAGCTATCACAATCAAAGCAAGGTGACCTTCAAGTCAAGATTTTTTTCTTTATGCACTGCTTTCCTGGGAACAATACTATAGAGGGTTTTTGGAGTATAGACAAAATGCCCTGGCCATATAAGACATCACTGCGAAAGGAAAACAAAGTTTGTTAGATCGTGTAGTTTCAGCTCAAAGACATGAGTGCCAGAGGAGGTTGGCTTTACGAGACTAGCTAAATGCTGTCATGTTATGCCCAGCAGCAATAATCGGTTGTGAATAAAAATAACCTGTCTTTATCCCTCAAGTCATCTTGGGGAAATGCAGTTGGGACTGTGTGTGTCTAGCGTTGTATGTCACAGCGTTTGTCCACCATATCTGCTGATGACCACATACGTGTATTTAGAATGTTATTTCATGAAGTACAACTCTATTCAACCGGTATTCTGTTTATTTGATACAAAAGTAATCACTGAACAAGTTTTTCCAGAATGCTCAACATCATGACGCCATAATTCATGCATCGTCAACTGAAATAGGGAATGCTCCTAAGCTCCATGATATTGAATCGACATATTTCTAGCTCAACACAAGAGCCCAAAAATAATAATCCATGTCCTTGAATGTAAATGCAACTTGAATCTCCTCCTGGATGTGAAGTTAGCTGCTCCAGTTTGCTCCAAAATAGAAAATGTCACTGCTCCAAAGAGCTCCAAAATGAAAGCTTACTGCCCCCGAAATTGCTCTAAGTTAGAAGATTTTTGTAGCATCACTGCTGCCATTTACTTACATTAATCCCTCACTGATTAAAATGACACCCATACCAACTTGCCCAGCTTTCAATGCTTGTTATGTTGGAAATATTGGAATACTGATTCACTACTTTACCTCTAATGCCTCCAAAACATGCATGTCAGCAACTCCAACTCTCTTGCTAGCCGTGCAACTCTTTGCCTTGCCAGTTTTTTCTGTTCTAATTTTCAGGGACAGTTCACTTTAGCGTTTCAATGCATAAGACAGCACTCCGTTTGAAAAATAGCCAAAATGATGATGTATTGCTGCAAGTTAGATGGCCCACATTTTAAAACCTGGTCCTTGGACTTCATTTCGAGGGGTCATGCCTCAATCACAACATCACTGCTGGGGCATCGCCCCAGCAGCGATGCTGTGATAAGGACATAGCACAAAAATGCTCCAGTACCATGCGCTGGGGGCACATAAAGGAACTTCAAATGGTAAAAGCAAATCTCGAGTCTTTTACTAGGCCTTTCCTCATAATTTGATCTTGTAATATAAAGCTCCAGAATTTGCTTCCAAATTGCGTTGTGATACTGGTGCTGGCGCGTGGTACTGCCATCTGTACTTGCTGTGCTAACTAATGGGGCACCTTCTTGATTAGATCATCAGAGAAGCTTACGAAGGAAGTAAAGAGCACACAACACATTAGTGAAAAATGTTGGGGGTGCTGTTAAGACTGCAATGTAGGTTAGTGAGCAGGCAAGGGTAGCCGATCTTCAGTTGATTAAAGTACCCCTGAAACACTTTTTCAAGTAACCATGGAATGAATTTACTGGAACAGCTTATTGCCTCACGAATTCAACACCACAAAAATTTTAAGAATCCGTCCAGTGTGAGTGGAGTTACAAAGGTTTGTTGCATGTCGCAATTTCATTCTCTCGTCCTGGCGAAAGCACTGGAAGCTAAGCAGAGAGGGATGGCAGGGCCACAGAAAAAACGTCACGTGTGCTTCGTGACCTTGAGCACTTTTTTTTTCTTCGAATGCGTGGATTTTTCAGTGTGATCGCGCGCACACGTGTGAACAAGTAGCAGCCTCCCGCGGCGATCTCTGTAACGAGCGAGCACCCCATGTTGAAATCAGCCAATGGCTGATAGATGGGTCGTTGATGTGTGATTTTTGGGCATATAACATGATTTGTCGAAAGAAGAGAAAGCAATTTTTAGCTGACTGATTATTCATTGTGAATTCAAGGCCATGTGCTGCGCTATAATATTTGGCTCGCGTGTTGTCGGGAGCCTCCACTACCAATCGGCAGCGTTTTCTGACCATCCTCAAAAAGTATTGCAGGGCCCCGTGAAGACGAGAAAAAAAATGAAGCTATGAAGACAGTGCAATTCATAAGGTAGATTACCAATGGACTAATGGAGTTAATGCTTAAGTGCCGTATGAAGGTTACATGCGGTCAACCATTAGATGGTTAGAAGAAATTTTGAAATTAGTAGGCATAAGAAGGAGTTGACTGGTGAAATTGCTAAAGAAATAAAAGGCCTTTTTTCTGCCAATGTCCCCAGCAATAAGATGTAAGCACAGTAAAGAAGCGACATTTAGTCATGGTAATTGGAAATTAGTCTAATTTCGCTCGCACATACAGTAAAACCTTGTTTATTCGAACTCGGTTATTTCGAAATCCTGCTCAATTCTAAGGATTTCCGCGGTCCCGTAATTTGCAATGCAAGTTTGAGTGGATAATTTGAAGCGGCGGCTGGCACCAGTCCGGTTAATTAGAAAACTTCGGGTGCAGTACACCAGTTTCTGATCACGATTTCGCCGCAAACCGCTGAAACGACGGCTCTCAATAGCCACAAGGCAACGCAACGTAGCGATACTAATTAGTGGTAGCTGAAGCACCCCAGCCTAGCTACTTCCAGTGCAAAAAAGAAGAAGAAAACGGTCTCGTGGTCAACCAAAACATGTGCCTGCAGAAAACCAAAGGTGCTTCACTGCAACACATCGGTGACGCGCGGGCAGGATATTGCATGTTTCTAGGAATGTCAGCGGGTGATGGTTCACTCATTCTTTCTGGGATCGTAAAGAAATTAATAAAGGACAGTTTGGAGGAATTCGCGATGTACGCGAACCTCCGATTGCCGGTTGCTCCAGCAATTCGCACCTTTGCACTGCTGGCGGAGTTCATGCCAGCAACACCTATTTCCAAAACTATGTTTGAAAGTTTAAAGGATCATTTTTCCAGCCAGAGCACATCTCGAGTTTCGTCATACTGGTTGTTGCTACATTCCTAATCATACCAGAAAGAATGTGTCAATGGTCGCATCATGACGTGCTGACGCAGCGAGGTGCAGGCGACAGGCTGCTCGCGTGTCACTACTGTTTTGCAGTGAAGATGTCGTGTTTTTCGCAAGCGCACATTTCAGTTGATCACGATAGCAGACTTCTTTTTTTTTCAGTGGCAGCAGTGAGGCCCACCGTTTCCCTGCGTTTGCAGCAAAATTAAGACCAGGTATTGCTGGAAAACATATCCCTTGGAGCCGCAAGCTAATCGGCACAGCAAACAATGAGCACTGATTACTTTGTACAGTTCTAAGCTCCTTGCATCCCACATTTTGAATGTTTTGTTAATTCGAAAACCCGCTTACTTCCAAAATTTCTCGGGGCCCCAGTGACTTCGAATTAACGAGGTTTTAGTGTATTTCTGTTTAGATGTGCCATGCTTGCTGAGCTCACTGAACAGCCAAAGGTGCTAACACGACCCCCAGAACCTACAAGAGCAAAACGTTTGAATGAGTTGATACAGATACACGATGGTTCGACAACCGAAATTTGCAGGATGACTATATGGAGGCACTGCAGAAGCTGAACAAGACTGTAGTGATGGCAACCAAAGCAAACCCAGACTTGAAGATCGAGGTCTTCATTCACAAAGTGGATGGCCTATCGGACGACCACAAGATTGAGATCCAGAGGGACATCCACCAGAGGGCAACGGACGACCTTGCCGACAGAGGCCTCGACGTTGTCCAACTCAGGTGAGCCGGGTGCCTTCTTTGCTGTGCAGCCATTGTGGACTAAACAACCCACACAAAGAAGCAGAGGCAGGAGAACAGCTGATTAGTTGATGTAGAGTAGGACAGATGCATTAGTAAAGTAACATCATGCTAGCCCAGCGACCGGACCCTAGAATTTGTTCTAGAGTATGTATACTTAGGTCTTTTACATATCACATGAAGGAAATTCACTCAAGAATAACAATGGAATATTCCACATATGGTAGACAGTCCCTACTTGTGACAGGCAACTGCCGTTGTGCCTAAAGCAGGAAATGTGCAATCATTGCATATTGCCAGTGTGACAGCATATGAGGCAGAAAACTAAAGAATAACGAAGGAACTGTAAAAGTTGGAAACCACACAGCGTGAGATGGAATGGAAATTGATAACTGTAACTCTAGAAGATAGAAAGACAGCATCGTCGACCAGAGGACAAACGTGGGTAGACTATATCCAGATTGACATTCAAAAAAAAAGAAAGCGGAGCTCTGCAGGGCATGTAATGCAAAAAACAAGTGACCATTTATCAGTTAAGTGATGGTAGGTATATCGAGAGATCGGAAACGGTCCGCTGCGGTGGTGTAGCGGTTAGGGTGCTCGGCTGCTGACCCGAAAGTCGCGCGTTCGATCCTGGCTGTGGCGCTCGCATTTTGATGGAGACGAAATGGTAAAGGCCCTTGTACTGTGTGATGTCAATGCATCTTAAAGAACACCAGATGGTCAAATTTTCCAGAGCCCTGCATTATAGTGTCTCTCATAACCATACCGTGGTTTTGGAATGTAAAATCTCAAATATTATTAGAGATCAAACACAGGCAAGCAGGATAGAAGGTTAAATGGACTGTCTACCGTATTTTGCATTTCTGCTTTGTGTCGAAACAATAAGAATATTGTCTTTAGTGCCCAACCATGCAGTGGTTTCTCTGGAAAGCGCTACAAAATTTTAAACGGAAATTTTCTATCTACGTTCAGTCATCTTCTATTGGTAGGAAAACGCCTGCGACTCCGGTTACTGCATGCGATGGCAATAGTTGTGGCAGTGAAAGTCTATAAATAGCACCACAAGCAGCATTTGCAGTCTGAATTGAATAGTCGTTTTTGTGTAAGCATATTTTACTTTGTGTATTTTTCCCCTGCAATAATGCCCTTGGGTGCTGCAGGTATCTTTTAATAAATAATAATAATAATTAGGTTTTGTTCATTAATGAGGTAAATACCATAATGGTAGTTAGAGCTCCTAAACTGCCAAATAAAGTATTTTAACCGCATTCTATCAAGCTTTGTTTAGTCGGCCTGAAAAAGCACCGCAATCAAGTGGCAAGCTTAATGTGCTCCAGAACTGGTACATTGGTGTTATGAAACAACCTGTAGTGATTCCACTCGTGCCAAACGTGCAACTGAAATGACCCTGAGCAATGCTTTAGAAAAGAGAAGGTATTTGCTGTTATGTTAAGATATTTTTCATGTTTCTTCGTGGTAGGCGAAGACAATGCTGGCAGCACCGCCAAGTGCCTCTTTTGCCAAGGTTCTATGAAGTGCTGCATTGTTAAGGGATTCCAGAGCCCTAACAGCGCGGAACTCTTATGAATTCGTACCCTCTGAAGGTAGCGCTTATGAATTCGTACCCAGGTGAAGGTAGCGCTGCCAAGTTACCTATAGTATGCTCTAACTAGCCCCCACACAAGCTTTCCTGAATGTAGCCTGTTAAGGCCTTTGAAAACCATCAGCGAACTTGTCGAATCAATGTTCTTTGTAGTATAGTTTTTGTGCCATGCACAATCCCACTCATGTGGTTTGGCATTATCGCTACAAGTGACGCAGTGGTGAGATAAAGTGTTCTTATTGGAGTCGGCTGCATTGTGTGTACATTGTTGTCTCCTTTGCCTGCTCGTTTCTGATGATTACCACTGCCTTCAGATGCCGATTTCAATTATGTAATTAGTTTTACAGTAAGTTGCACCGCTTTTGTTTTATGCCGCGTGAAGGACCAAATAAAGTTCATTCATCCTTCCATGAGAATGTGCAAAGTATAGCTCTTTATGGGCAAGCTTTTTCTGCCACTGAACCTTTTTGGTTCTGAGCCATCATTGCCTCGCATTGCTTTACATTAAATGCGGGCAAAATTTTATCGTGATCGAGCTATCGGAAGTAAAAAAAAACATGATTTTCAAACTCAGGAAGTTGCCCAAAAATGGATCTTGAAAAAAATACATTTTAAGGTCAAAAAAGAAAGCTCATCTACGTGGAAAAGATATATTTTTTAAGGTGATTTCTTCCGTCATGGGAACTTGGCCATCGTGATTATTTTGAGCATGTGGCTTTAGCGAAGTCCTTTTGTGAAGTGCAGTGGCAAGCAGCCAGGTGACAATGTCCAGGGGACTCTAGACTATGAGCTCTTCTTGAACCGGCTTCAAGATTAATTACAATATTCAGTTTTTTTTATAAACTAAGAAAAGCTAAACTTGTGAAAGCAAACAAAAACAAAAATACATTACATTGGGGAAAAAACTTCCTTTTTCGGCTCTCATTTCTCTTTAAGTGATTAACTAAAGCGAGGTCAGACGTAGGGCAAACTCTGTCATGTTCATTGCTAGAAAATGGTGCTGCTCGTGATGCGAGACGGGAGGCGGGGAGGGGGGGATTAATTTTTTACCACATCTGTTCCACTTCACAACTGTGAAAGCTGTCAGTCAAGCAGATACACTATTGTGCAAATCTCGGCTTCCGAGATAGACTGCACTCCCAAAAGAAGCACAACAGTTAGTTTGTCTGGCATATCTTATCGGGCAGGCTGAATCATTTTCCAGCGGCTCGATGCTGCGGGATGTGTAAATTTTTCCAGGTCTAATCTTGGTGTCTCCTCACGTGACGACAAGCTCAGCCTGTCGCGTGAGCTTGCCGTCATACAAGCCGCTCTATTGATAGCGAGCAGTGTCCTGCTCTGCAGACAAAGGAAAGTAAACAAAAAAGAAACTAACCTGTACGTAGACATGGTCGGGCTTCGTGTTGTTGAAATGGTGATGCACAACTGATTATTTACCCGGCAAATCGAACGTAATAAGCTAAACAGCTCTAGCACAGTTCTCAGCAGCTGTATGTGTATGGACAACTTTATGTGAGCACCGTTGGTAATATGATTACCAGTAAGCAATGAAATTAGGTTCATTATTCTTTAGTATATTTACTAGTAATTATGTTTTACTTTTCCATCTGTTGAAGAAGTCGCTGTTTAATGTAGGTTATTCTGGATTTTTCACTCTGTTGAACTTTACAACTGCTTTGCAGTGCGTAAAAAGACAGCAAAAAAAAAAAGTTATGTACACTTTTCAGGGGTGCAAACCTTAACAGTTTAACATAAGATTTCGATCTCAATATTTGAAAATAAATTGTTGCTTTATTTATTCAAAATCTGCTTCTACCTTACACCTACGAAATGCTTGAAAAGGTTTAGCAATATGCAAAACACTGCACATAAAATAGTCGCTATCTGCCACTTAATCAGAAGCTTGTCTCTAGCAGTTACTCCCATTATTAGAATACAGTCGAACACGAATATATCGAACTCGAAGGTGATCGCGAATTAGTTGATATTGATATATAAAAAAATTCCATATAAAAAAATACAGGCCCCGAGAGCTTACCTGTAGTGGACCATCACCTGCTATAGGCGCATTAAAGAATGACACCTAATTCCGCACACACACCGCAACAGAATTATTTTATTTGTGTGAAAAAAAAAACGCTTATCTTGGCTTGCTTTTTCGTTTTTGAAATGAAGTTAAAGATGCTAGTCTCAATTTTATCAAGGCAGTCGAGGTGCGACAGTCCGGTTCACTCCACATGGCCGATACAACGGCGAATGACACCGAATGCTGCCGCCACTTCGGCGGCGGAGTACACTAATGTAGCCAGCAGCTCGTCCGGAAAATACTCCTCGTTACATGAGCTGCCAGCCTGGGCATCCTGGGTCCCTGCGATTGCAACTACACTCAAACCTCGTTATAATGTAGCAAGATAAAACGAAATAGTGGATGTAACGAAGTAAATGGAATTCCCCTTAAAAGCTCCATTGAGAACCATGCAGTTTAAACTTCGTTGTAACAGAGTAATATTGACCGGTAAATTGATATAACAAACCAAATTAGTCTGTCAAATAGTCTATCAAAAAGAAAAAAAATGACCTTAGTGTGTTAGGTACATCGTTTTCTGCGGAGTTTGATGCTCATTTGGCGTGTCTCTTCAAAACTCCCGCACCGACCTTACAACCATGCCACATGCGGCCGAGAGAGTCGTTTTCTTAACACAGCCAGTGGAAAGGATTGAGGAAGCGCTGAGAGGGTCACGTGACCGAGAAGCGGCACTGCGGTGCAAAGTGATTTCCCTCTCACATAAGAACACACAATGGGGAAGCTTCAGAAGACTCACATTTTATTCACAAATCAGAGGACATCCGTCATTAACTAAAGTAATTGGCGATGCGCATCTGCACACATTTGCCTTGCAGCGAGTCAATCAATTTCGCATGCTGTTTGCAAAGCATAATAGCGCTTGGCTAAGTCGATGGCAACGACTGTCTCCACTGCTACCCTCTGCACCAAGAAAGGAGGAGCGTCTCCACGCGGAGAAAAGCAGATTGGCATTAGATAGAGAGCCAACTCTCTGCAACAGCATTTTTTTTTTCCTCTCTCTCCGCGTGCGGCCTTGAAAGGAGAAGGGTCTCTACGTGCAGAGACGAAAAAGAGAAAAGCGTGGCACAGATCGCCACTTGAGAGAGAGCAAACAATCCACCACCGTCTTTTCTTTCCTTTCTTTCTTTTCCTTCCTTGCGCGCAGCATTGAGAGGTGCTGCTGCAGGATTGGGCATGGTGCTGAGAGCATTTTCGGAGAATGGTATGTTCGAATTGACCGTCGCAAGTGCTTGCGCGTTCGAATTACAGGGCATTTTTGCCCATTGGATTACACATAGCTTTGACGAGACCACAGCGTGAGTTTTAATTAACCGGAAAGAAATTCAAATTAAGAGTGTTCGAATTAATGCGATTCGACTGTGTTTATTTTCCGTCGCATAGTGGTACATCGGGCCGCGAGGCATTTTCCTTCTTTGCATGCTTATAGGTGTGCGCCCATCTGAGCATACAATGCCACAAAATGTTATAATAAATTAACGAAATAATGGATATAACGAAATAATTGTGGATCTCCTTCAACTTTGTTTTAACGAGGTATGAGTGTACTATGTCCTCGTCAGTGAGGCTCGTAACGGCCTGGACATTGCAGTCCACTTCTATGAAATTGTCCGGAAACCTTTGTGTGGAATCGCTGCCAAGAATAGAGACGACATCTCGCGAAACGTGTCGTCTATGAGCTCTTCGTTGCCGTCTTCACTGGTTTCCGCAAGTTCTGCCGTCTTGAATCCTGCCATGTGGAAAAAGTTGGCCACTGTGTCCGTCTTCATGTTTTGCTAGGCGTTGAAGATCTTTGTGGGAGAAAACTTCCCGGATATTTCCGACCACTTCTTCGTCATCCACTGCTGGATGTCCTCGCTGCTAACAGCTTCGCTTTCGCCAGAAATGGTTTTGCCAACGATGGTGCAGCGCTGCTTAAATCGGTGAAGCCACCCAGTGTTGTCGGGGAAATTGTTTCAATGAGTGCAGCGGCAAACAGTTTGGCCTTGGCCATCAGCATCGAATACCACGGAGCACTCTGAGAACCTTGTTCTTCAACAAGGTTCCCAGAGTGACAAATTATATTCAGATACGTCCCACTTCTAGCTAGGCCATTGAACAGAGAAACCCCAAGAGGTAAAACCGCAAGATATGTGATGTACACGGGCGAACTTTGCAACAGTCAACTCGCGTCTATTGTAGACATAGTAAAGTTATTTAACTCACCCTTTTGAAATAGGGTAAAAGAAGGTTGCCTTTGGTGCTACTGGAGAACATCTGCACGTCTTCGATTGATGCCGATGCTCATCACTTGTCGTACGGCAACGTTCACTTGGGTGCAGGCACAAGCTGTGCATGAATCAAGGAACTGTGCTTTGAAGAATGTGTAATGCGACGCACCAATACATATGTCCCACAGTAGCCCGCACCTGTGCCACTTCTGCCAGTCTTTATTCACCTGGTCGATCTTGAAGCCCTTAGATAGTTAACTTTACCGCTGCCAAACACCTCCTGTTTCGCTTCAGCGGCTGCTCTGTGTTGCACAGAGCACAATCTGAAAGTTTTTGCAAACTTCATGTGTTAATTCAATGATTTCACCACTGGCACCTACAGTTGTATAAGCTTATTGCTTTGACCTTCCTTCGCAGCAGCTGAAGATACACATGCACTTCAATATGAAGATGCAGACATGCATATAATCATCGTGACCTCAAATAATGCTGTATAAAGTAGCGATAGCTATCTGATTTTACCAGAAAACGGAAGAAAAAAAAGCAGCCACGTGTGGTCATTCATTGGATGCTGCATATCCACCGACCCTAGAGTATTCACTCAATGCTCCGAGATTATTAAAGTAAGGTGTAACTATCATCAGAACTAATTTTTCACTATGCTTTACATTGAAGCATTTTCTGGCAGAACAAGTTCTTTACTTGCCAAGTGAAAACTGCGCGTTTACTCTGCACACTGTTTGCGAGCAGGAATAAAATGACGCGCGTTCATGAAGTGAGTAGAATCACAAGCTTGCTAATGGCAACATTCATGCAGCGTTGTTGTAGGCAGTTTACATATAATCTTGGTTCATACGGGTCTAAGTACTAAACGCTTAGAAAAACCCTTTAAGTTACGGAACTGCCATTTCCTCTGGCCTTGTAATTTAGGTTTAGACTGAGACTAGTAGATTTTTGATGCTATATATGAGCCTCTAAAATTTGCTTTTGTTAGTGTTGATAATACACACTGAATACAATTTTCTGTATAAATTATTCTTGATTGAATGCCCTGCACGTCTCTCTTTTGCTCTTTTCTGCAGTTTCTATCTCACTAGCATATACGATCACTCTATTTTCGAGGCGTTCAGCAAGGTCCTCCAGAAGCTAATCCCTGAGCTGCCAACGTTAGAAAACCTCCTCAACATTTTCATTTCGGTGAGTGTTCACTTGTCAGTAGATCATACACGGGTCAATTATGTGCTTATTGTAAACATGGGGCTTTATTTTTCAAAAGCTGTTTTTAAATAATATAAATTCACAGATACACGTAATGGTTCAAAGCATTTAGTTTATATGGTTAATGTTCAGACCTTGTGTTTTCCACATAGAGCAGTTGAGGTAAAAGATTGTGTGCTTTATTTGGGCAAGATGAGCTTGTTGGAGGCTAACCTGCCACGATGTTTTTGTTATGGCGCTCGAGTGACGACCCAAAGGCCGCAGGATCGAATTCTGGCCGCAGCAACCACATTTTTGATCAGGGCGAAATCCTTGAGGCTCATGTGTTCTTAGATGTATGTGCACGTTAACCCTAAGTGGTCAACATTTCTGGAGCCCTTCACTAGGGCACCAGATTGTGGTTGTGAAGTGTTCAATCCCAACAACAAATAATAATAATAATTATTATTATTATTATTATTGTAAGCTTGTTGGGAATGTTATGCTCTTCTGCAAAAATAAATGACGGTTCCTGTTGTTACATCTTTTTTCTCTTACTTTTCTTCAGAATTCGGGGATTGACAAGGCATTCCTGTTTGATGTTGTGACCAAAATGTACATTGCAACTGATAACTCACCTGTGGACATGCAGTCGTACGAGCTATGCTGTGACATGATCGATGTCATTATTGACATCTCGTCTATCTACGGGTGCGTATTACAAAATAATATATGTGCTGAACATAAAATTTTGTGTGTTAGGTGCTGTGTTCTGAGCCATTGCTGTGCAGCATATCTGTGCTGTGTGATACCTACGCAATAAAGCCTGTTGGGAAAATGTGGGCGCAGGCTAGCCAGACAAGAACAGAGATCACTAAAGGACAAAAAGAGATCACTTAATGTACACATCAACAGGCACGACACTGCACACCTTATGAACACACACCGCCTTCACTTCCCTCTAGCATAATACCGCGCATGCGGTCTTATGCTAGAGGGAAACCTTAACTAACCTTATGCGAGAGGGGAGTTACGGTTAAGGTCCGCCCACTCATACCGCACTGTCTTGGAGCATCAGTGTTACAGTTGACCAGTATTCTCTCAATGTCAGGGGGCGGGGCACGTCATGCTTCCCCGAGTTGGTGCCGGTGCACTGCCCGGCCTGACAGATAACTCCCACAGATCATCCCAGAACGACAGTGGATGCCTGGAGCAGTGACAAAACAGCGCAACGAAAGGCACCACAAACAAAACCGGGACAGCTCCCTGGACAGCATCTCGCACCACGACGGGAACAGCAGCCAGCTGTAACAACGTTACTCCCCACCGAATCCCGAGACAGGTGGGGCAATGCCGAGTCCAGAACAAACCCAGGGTCATCGAAGCCGCTACGAAGCGTCGGGGCGTGGCTAGGTGTTCAATCTGCAACTCTTCTCTGTGGTTGAACAAGTTGTCCCCGTCGCTCCAACACTTTCCTCGAGGCCGGCGCACGAACACGCGCATAGTCGTGCTTGTTCACAATCACTATCACGGCGATTCCCGAGCACTTCAAATCGGCCTTTCACACCGATAATAATAAACGTCGAAGCCGACGCATATATCCCATGTCAATGTTTTACCACACTGATGCAATCAAGCCACTGATGTAGATGCAGATGAAACTTGATTATGCGTCTTCTTGTTTTTGTGATGACCTAGATTTTAAGATAAATCAGTTTGGTCTTGGAAAAGCTGCTATAAAAATAATAGATTAAAAACCATGGCCACACAATGAAAATTCGTGCTGATCCCGCTGTATGACAACTCTCTGATACCATCTGAGAAGAAAAAGTTCTCTATTTGACTCAAATCTAATGCTGACCAAATATTCGCAGTTGCACAATAAAAACTTGTGTGTTCCGAGGTTGAAAATTACAAAAATAGATACGGTATGCCTTCCTATAATGGAAAGCTTATTCTCCTGGCAGTTCATGTGCTTCTGTGATCGAGTTTTTCTGGCTTTAATGTCACTCTCACTTTACATGTATTAACTTCAGATAGCCGACAAGCCCGTTGTCGAGATCCACATATTTTTACATTTTAGGCCTGTGGAAACATTTGTTTGACATGCATCTGAAAATCTCCTATGTTCGTGGAACACGCAGTCAAGCCTTGAGCACATATAAAGAAGGCAATGCAGCTATCTTCAGCATGTAAAATGATTCTCCCTTTATGCGACTGTTCATAATTTTGTACACTCCTGTGAAGCGAAACCTGAAGGGACCAGGAAAATGTGTTCCCTTTAAGAGGTGTTTCGTTTATTGAGAGATAAAGAGGTTTACAGAGATCAAGTACGAAACCGATCATATTAGAGGCTGTAGTTCTATTTAAGCAGCAATGTTGTTCAAGAAGGATTCAGTTAATGGGTTCTATTGTAACAGTAGTACATCATTTATTGCACTTCACAGTAGAACAAATAAGGTGTGCACACATGACCCATACTTGAAATCGTCCTATTCAAACTTGCAGCATTCTTGTCATGTGATGGCGATCAGACTGTGTTCAACATCTGACTGTTCTGCTGTTGTTTCCTCAGCTTGCAAGCCGATGGCGATGGGAGCACCTTTGACAGCGAGTCTGCCAGCATCATAAAGCTGAACAATGGGACAGTGCTGTACCTGCAGGAGGTCAATCGGTTCCTCGCCCTCGTCTGCATACTTAGGGACGAGAATTTCGACAAGCAAGGTGAGCACGTCTCTGGCGGCACCAATGTGTTGTCTGCTGTGAGTTGCATGAAAATTTGTAGCTTGTTAGCTATACTAAGCTGTTTTTGTCAGTTGTACTTTAAAAAGGTGTGCATTTTGCAGGGATTCCGAAGTAAAATAATTTAATTAGATTAATATTTTATCGAAAACACCTGTTATTGACAGTAATGCTCCAATATGTGATTAGTGTACAGTACAATCTTGTTATAAGACAACCTGAAGGAATCAGCAGAATACTGTAAATACCCACATGCAATAGAAAACCCAACATAATACAAGGTGAAATTTTAGAGACCGGAAATCAATAAAAAAAAAGTTTTACTCATATATAATACCAGTGAGAAAAATCTCAGAGAAGATGCTTATTGAACTCGGATTCGCCACTTCAACCGCTTCAATCGCTAACAGCACTTTCTTCGAAAATTCCTCTGTCAGACAACTGATCCCACAGGTACTCATCATCTTTGCCGTCGAATGTGTTTGAGATGCCACACTTACTAAAATAACGATGCACAAGGTCCTCGGCGATGCTTGCCTCAAGTGTCCACAATCCATTTTCACAGTGTGGATGGCGATGCCCCAATTGAGCCACCCCGTCAGCATAATCGCAGGCTCACCCGAGCGCGTCCACTCCGCAGAGCAAGGCGTAACCACTTCCTTGAACGATTTGTTCACACAAATATTGAGAGGCTGCTGTGGAGACATCATCCCACCCGGGATCACGACGGGTTCTGTACCGCAGTCGCACAACAGCCTCGGTGCCTCATCACTAAGTCAGCCTAACGGTAACGAAATGTGCCCAACATGATGATGAATGGGAAAGATGACAGTGCACTGGACTGCCTACACCACACGGACTCTATCCAGTGAAGGACAAGGTCCTCACTTACCTATCCTTTATTATAGTGGCACGGGCACTAACTTGTTTCAAGTTCTCTCATGAACAGTGAGGAGTAGTGGCATGTCCAGGTGAACTGGTGTTTGGCTGGAGTTAACAATTTGCTCCAGCTGAAAGTTCTTCGACCTGTGCAACGAAATAATGTGATGCTGGAAAAACACAAGAAGCTCTATGAAGAATTCAGGGAGCTTTTGAGAAACTGAGGCTCGCCAGTGAAGCGAAAATCTAATGCAGCACAAGCAACGGTAAATCTAGCGCTTGCTTGCTTTGACATCTGATATCCTTTTCTCTTGCCAACTTTCTCGTTTCTTCGTGCACCAGTTCCATACTCACTGCTATAGAAGCCATAGTTCCCTTTGTTGGGTAGCAGAGGCTAATGACGGCAGGTTATTCTCTTCGTGAAGAAGAACGGCGATATGGGCAAGCTTATTAATAGACATTTTTACGATTTCTTTGCATTCGACACTTACATGCTTGCATTGCAAGCTCTCTAAAATTAACAGGCATCTTGGCCAGAAGTATACTTGAAAAGAATCTCTTCTTCTTGGCCTAGTTGGTATTGCTGACTGTATGACGTTCTCCTGCCCATGTCATCGTGTTCCCGTCTCTCTTGTGTGTGTGTGTGTGTTTTTTACTAGCGACAATGTCATACAGTCTCAACCAGCACGGCAACTATCTAGAGAAGCAGCTGAAAAGTGTCTCGAAAGTGCAGTATGTGAATGTTCCAAATAAAACATTTTTGATTTTCCCTGCAGTTTTGATTGCATGACCATTTGGACCTTGCATGTGCACCTGTTGTACCATTTTACTGTTTTTGACAGTACAAATAACCTTGATTCGTATTGCGGTTGCGGGCACCCTCTTTATGCATGTAAATATCCCTTTCTTCCTCAGAAACCTGTGCTGGTCATCATTGCACTTTCACGCTACAAAATTGTTATATTGGACAAAAAAATTTGTCTACACATGCTCCATGTTGACAAAATTTCTATCCCTGCAGGCTTCAGTCTTCCCCCGAACTTTTATCAGAATATTTGAAGGATAGCCCATCTCAAAGTTTCCGCTGTGTTGCGGTCTTCCGTAGAACTGATAATCGGTGTTCAGCGCTCTACATTCCCGCAACTGACACTTGCGCTCGACTCGCAGGGCTCATCGACTACAACTTCCAATGCTTCCGTCAGGCCATCCACGAGGTATTCGAAGTCCAGTGTCGGGCGTCGCAATCGGCCACAACGCCGGGTTTCACCAACTCCGTGGACCTCAACCTCAGTAACGGCTACCCGGAAGCGTGATTGAGCCCATCCTTGTGCGAGCGTCTTGCCTTCCTACTACGTGTCTCCGTCACCTTTCTCTCGTGTACATAATCCCCTTCGCTGTGTGAAAGTTTACGGATGACGACGATGATTAGGATGCAGAGACTCAGAAAAACCTCCATGAGATGACCTGCCTGTTCTTCGGTATTGAGACCTTGTGTGCCGCTGTCGAGCACCTACTAAAAAAAAAAAAGCTTTAAGAAGACACGTTTTTAATGTTAACCCAAGCGATTCTCCCCTGTTCCCCCTTGTTTGTTTTTTGTTTTATTTGTGTTTTGTCACATTAAATTATGGGATTTTCGTTAGATGAATAAAAAAATGCTATGTTTCATTATAATGTGTGACTGGTTATGTCATCATGAAGTGGATTGATATTATGGGCCAAGTGGCTGATTTAAGTGATGCTGACAGTGCATGGGTGCTTTCCTTCAGCACTGCCTGCTACAAAAATGAGAAGTTTCTTCCTGCAATGTGGGCTTCGTGGGAGAACTGCATTGAACATAAAATGAGCTTCATTTGTTAGTTTCCTTACAGGACGCTATACAATACCATATTTAGTGGGAATACAGTGATGAGACGTACTTCTTGAAAAATTTTTCTCAACACTCAACTTTCATTTACCACTTTTCATCCATGCACAAATTCCACATTCGTAGCAAGTGCATCATGGCAGGCGTACCACAAAGCCCCAAACAGGCGCGCACCCCTTCCCATTTTCGGGAGCTCTGAAATATGAGATATTGATCGAGCAGCCTGACCTCCCTTCCTCTATCGCCGTTTTTTTAACCCAATAGCATTGAAGAGCTTGTTTCGCAGAAATTCTAGCATCGGTGTCATTAGTTGTGGGCAAAAAATCTTGTCCACTACAGAAAAATGGCAAATAAAAGAAAATAATATGCAAGAGATATGCAAATAAAATAAGTCTTCTCAGTTATTCTATTAGAAACCCACAGTACGGCTTGAAAATGCTTTGTTAAAAATAGTATGAAAGTGACGTAGTGGAAGGAGGCTTGCTCAAGATTTGACTGTAGTGCTCAAGGATTTAAACGAGACTCAAACTTTTGGTATGAGGACTAGCATACGCAAATGCTCGAGATAAGTGGACCTGCCGTGGTTGTCTAGTGGCTAAGGTACTCGCCTGCTGACCCGCAGGTCGCGGGATCGAATTCTGGCTGGGACGGCTGCATTTTAGATGGAGGCAAAAATTCCGTAGGCCCATGTGCCCAGATTTAGGTGCATGTTAAAGAACCCCAGGTGGTCGAAATTTCTGGAGCCCTTCACTAGGCGTCTTTCATAATAGTATGGTGGCTTTGGGACATTAAACCCCACATATCAATCAATAGAGATAGCTGCATCATGCCACTAGCAAGCTTACAGCTAAAGGTCATGTTGGGTCTGATGTAAGCGTTAGAGCCGAAATTGCATCGATGCAACATAAACTGAAGAAGATGGGAACAAAAGTGCACGCGCTTAGCCCTTAAATATTTGCATTTGAATCCGTGAGCACTGTGCATTACAGTGAAGGCAAGGGGCCTTGGTGTCAGGTGGGTGTTGTCTTGCATAGTTTTCATGCTAGATGTCTTGTGTGGTGGGCAGTTTTAGGCATGGCACTTACCCCGTGTGTAACGCGTGCTACGAATTAAACAGTTGCAGTGTTCAAGCTGTAGCCTACAGCAATATCAATGGGAAACTATGGCTTTGATAACCTTGGCCCTGCTGAAGCTGTCTGTGAGCTTGTTGAACACACTGGTGATCGACTTCTTCGATCTCCGTGCTTGGGGCTATCAGCCGCAACAGTGAACAATGTTTCCTCCCCCTCATAGATTGCTTGACACAAAAGGAAACTCGTAGGGCCTAGGAAGTGACTCCTGCTGTTATCACACCGCACTCAAGCAAGTGTTTGTTTCTCCGTGCGCTAAATATGCAACTGGAGATAAGTGTCCATTCTCTAACGCTGCACTCCCGTCGGCATGTTTGCTTGCCCATTGGTTGCCTTTGAGTGAGTGGAAAAATTTCAAAAAAGTGAAGATGTTCTAGGTTTTCTAATAGCTTGTCGCAGAGTGAGTAATAGTGCACCACACATGTTGTTTACGTAGCCAAATATTTGTAGATACGTTTGCTGACATGTTAATCAGTAGTTGGTGCTCTGGGTTCTTTCTTATTTTTCATTTCTTATGATTATTTTGTTTATATTACGTTGTCACGCCTGTACAGAACTTTTTAAAGCAGCCTCATATGTTTTTTATTATTATTATTCTGTTGCGCTCAGTTACTTAGTACAAATCGCTTGTGCCAAAATTTATTTGGTAGATAAGTAACAACGTTAAAATAAACTCAGTTTTTTTTTCCCCGAAACTACAATCGGTTCTGAGTTAGTGTAAGTAAGTAGGAAAAGTAAGTGTATTTGTAAGTAGTAAGTGTATTAGTAAGTTAGTAAGTGTATTACTATTATTTATTGCAAATATAAGTGTTTTACTTTTGTTTTGTTTCATACATCTTAATCTTGTAACGAAGGGAGCAGACTAATGGAGTACAGGTAAATTTTCCTCCAAGTAAATGCCTCATAATGGACAAATACGTGGAAGAAAATTTGCAGCTGTTATGTTCCCATAAACTTGCCACCACAACAATAATAATAATGAGCAGGATTAAAGAAAAGCATTCTCGTAACGTAAATCTTGAAATGTCTTGAACACATGGAAGACACACATTGCTGCTCTTCAACCTAATGTTATCTTGTGTACAACGTTTATTTATCCTGCCGTGTGTTGGGGAATTGGCGCTTTTTTTGCGGATAGTATCACAAATGCAGAGTCGTACAACCGTATCACGCAATTGCACTATCACATTGGACTAAGCTGAGACATTTGTTGCCTTTATGCTTTGAAAACAGCTGCTTCAGATGAACATTCAGACATTCAAAGATGTGTACGTAATAACATGTCTTACCCCAGCATTTTACGTGCATATTTGTGGCTCTTGTTCGTATAGGCACAAAGACTTGAAGTACACTAGTACGAGCAGTCTTCTAAGCCAGCACATTGTTATGCAAGAACTATCGCGACGGTAGTATACCTATCATAATGACTACACTCCGCTTGCTATGCAGTACACCCTTCAGAAGAGCATTGTGAATGGCATTTTGCCAAACTGTGAGTATCATTGCCAGCCACCTTGGTCTTTTATCTTACCAGGGACAAAGTTTGAACCCAGCAACATCTTTTTTGACATAGGAGCACAAAACTAGCTTCAGTAACTGGGTTAGCACACTAATTACTTAAACCGCCATGCAACAAAATATGATATGTGAGGGCAGCAATTCGGGACATTGTGTCATCCTTGTTTCAATTTGTCCACATATTTAATGTAAGAAGGCATAGTTTGAAATGCAAGCACTTGCACAATGGCACAGGCACAAGCTCCTATCACGTATCGGTAATATATGTGAACGTATATATGTTTATATAAGATATGTAACTGCACCAGCCAGAATAAGTTTGGAGGTGCTGTTAGTGACGTGAAGTGTTAAAATAAATTATATAGACAGTTAGAATACAGCATATGATTTACAAACACTTTCAAGGCATTGAAAGGAATGCAACAATATGAAACAATCGGTGGGGCAACGAAACATATGCTGCCCTTATCGGTAGCTCAGCGCCGCAGTTGGCGCAAACGCAAGAGGAAGTTGTACAATGCTTGGTGCCACAGCTTGGGATCGTCAAGGTATGCTGGGTGCCTCCCGTTGGGTATTTCAACGGCCACACTGTTGGGCAAGAGGTTCAGTATGGCTGAACTCGAACCCCGATCGTGCTCGCCGAACACCACCATTGTGGGCACCTGCATGCCATCCAGAGTGGTGATGGCGTCAATCTCGCTAATGTAAGGAAGTCACATTCAACGCAAAAGTAACTCGCACATTTCATTAGAACTAACCTCGAATTGAACGTCGCGGTGTTTTGACACTCGCATACGTTGTAGTGGATGTGAAAAATCGAAACATGACACCGTGAAATAGCAGTGAAGCACAAATGGGTATATTTCTTAATAGAAGGAATGCTTTGGCACTGCTGACTGTGTTGTATAATTTAGTAAACTAGAATGTTGTGGATTTGGTGGACTGTATGCTTAGATGCCTTTAATTCAAACTTTTAATAAGAAACAGCTGACTGAAGTACCATGTATTCACTCCATGTTTTGCGAACTATCAGCGAATTCAAGGCTTCTTCTTGGAAACATATATATATATTTTTTCATTCCTCATTAGTCATCTCTGTGCACAGTGCAAAAGTTTTCTGTGGTTGCGTGCCCCCGCCGCGGTGGTCTAGTGGCTAAGGTACTCGGCTGCTGACCCGAAGGTCGCGCGTTCGAGTTCCGGCTGCGGCGGGTGCATTTCCAATGGAGACGGAAATGTTGTAGGCCCGTGTGCTCAGATTTGGGTGCACATTAAAGAACCCCAGGTGGTCGAAATTATCGGAGCCCTCCACTACGGCGTCTCTCATAATCATATGGTGGTTTAGGGATGCTAAAACCCCACATATCAATCAAAGCTGTGGTCGCGAGCTCAAACAGTGCTTTCATATGCAGTTGAGACTAGTGAAGAAGCTTTTACTTGCACGAGTTATGAGGTTGAAGAGAGGAGGAGGAGTCTTGTCAGGATGGCCGAGCGGTCCAAGGTTAAAGAGATTCAAAAATATTTTTCTGCAAGCAACCTTGCATTAACGTGCGTGAAATCTAGTCATCATCATCATCATCATCATCAGCCTGACTACGTCCACTGCAGGACAAAGGCCTCTCCCATGTTCCGCCAGTTAACCCGGTCCTGTGCTTGCTGCTGCCAATTTATACCCGCAAACTTCTTAATCTCATCTGCCCACCTAACCTTCTGTCTCCCCCTAACCCGCTTCCCTTCTCTGGGAATCCAGTCAGTTACCCTTAATGACCAGCGGTTATCCTGTCTACGCGCTACATGCCCTGCCCATGTCCATTTCTTCTTCTTGATTTCAGCTATGATATCCTTAACCCCCGTTTGTTCTCTAATCCACTCTGCTCTCTTCTTGTCTCTTAAGGTTACACCTACCATTTTTCTTTCCATTGCTCGCTGCGTCGTCCTCAATTTAACCTGAACCCTCTTTGTAAGTCTCCAGGTTTCTGCTCCGTAGCTAAGTCCCGGCAAGGTACAGCTGTTATATACTTTCCTCTTGAGGGATAGTGGCAATCTACCTGTCATAATTTGAGAGTGCTTGCCGAATGTGCTCCACTTCATTCTTATTCTTCTAGTTACTTCAATCTCGTGGTTCGGCTCTGCGGTTATTACCTGCCCTAAGTAGACATAGTCTTTTACAACTTCAAGTGCACTATTACCTATCTCGAAGCGCTGTTCCTTGCCGAGGTTGTTGTACATTACTTTCGTTTTCTGCAGATTAACTTTAAGACCCACCTTTCTGCTGTCCTTGTCTAACTCCGTAATCATGAGTTGCAATTCGTCCCCCAAGTTACTCAGCAATGCAATGTCATCGGCGAAGCGCAGGTTACTAAGGTATTCTTCATTGACTCTTATCCCTAACTGTTCCCATTCTAGGCTTCTGAAAACCTCCTGTAAGCACGCGGTAAATAGCATTGGGGAAATTGTGTCCCCCTGCCTTACACCCTTCTTGATTGGTATTCTGTTGCTTTCTTTATGAAGCACTATGGTAGCAGTTGATCCCCTGTAGATTTCTTCCAGAATAAAAGCTAGTATGTTACCATTACTCTGTCACGTGAAACTGCTTGAAAATTGTTCACGCACAATGATGGAAAGGTAAATTGCAGGACGCTTTGCAAATTCCAAAGTGTGTTCAGCAAAAGCTTGTGGCCATTAGACATATTATGCCATATCTTTTCTCTTATGTTATTTCTACACTCTCAGAATTCAGGTGATTGATGAGAGAGTGTAAGGAGAAAGGCGACTGCTGCCACTGTTACATGGCACGGACAGACGGACGTGAGTATGATGTGGTTATCAAAATTATAAGTATTTTTACATTATTCTCATAATGAGATAAAGTAGACAAAAAATATTTTAGGGTAGCCATAGAAATGTTCTAATACTTAAAAGAATGTTGCTGGCTTTGCATATAGCTTAAAGAAATACTAACGGAAGTTTTCAATGTTTTGGGGTTGCTTTAATTAAGAACACTTGTGTCGAGAAACTTAAAGAAGTGCTGTGGTGCCTAGGAATACACTGCACATATTTTTAATACCGCTACCTTTAGAAGACACTTTCTGTTCTTATATTGAGTGAGCGGGTTCTCCTTGACATGTCATAGCATTGGTAATGTGACCTGGAGAAAGCAATTTGCGACATACTAATGGCAGATGTGTAGATGTGTCGTCTGCTCGTGATGCATGAAAACAACGAGGAGTGCACTATATCCAGTGACCCTGAGAGTGATCACTGTAGGCTGTGTGCGGAACGCAGAGTTCACGAACTCTGAAATCGTGTTGACTTGGGATAATGTCTATTTCAGTGAAGCTGGCTTGCTAATGCTCGCGGAGGAAAGCGTTAAAATCAAAGAAAATATTTTACACGTGTTGACCGACTCTGGTATGTGGATAGCGTTTACACTGCTTACCACAAAAACATGAAATGCCCTTTTTGCCATGTAGAAAAATAGTGTCAGTATACCTTCGAACCGCTCACCTTGATGCAGCTCAGATTGGGAACCGGGTTGGGCACATAGGCACGAAGTTCTGCATACACTTGCGACACGTCCACCGGGGCATCAGCAGTGTCGCACTGCACTTGCAATAGGGCATTTGTACCCACTGGGGCCACTGGAACATATCCGGCCATCTTTTGCCAATGCTTGATCAAGAATGGCAGGCTCAGTCCACCGCTCATGCTTGGGCTCACAATCACCGGATCCTTGAGGCGAAGGGCAGCCAAGAGGTGCTGCATGAATGCTGCCTTGTCGGTGATCGTCCCAGAGGGAGAGTTGCCATATCCTGTTTTGAACAGCACACTGTAGCAGCATCAAATATATAATGCGACATCCGAACAAACTCTACGCTTATGTAATGCACCTTTAGAAATCAAACACATTATCAAGTTGTACATGTATCAGCACACACTGCAGAGCCACCACAGCAGTAAAAAGCCCAATTGAGGGAAAGCCATTATGTGATGATGACACAAGAAATAACAAAAGAAAATTTGTGAAACTATGGTGCACCTAATGGTTTACCCACCGGGTACATCGATGGCCACAACTCGGTAGCCCATCAAACCCAGGTTTCCCAAGGTTCCGAGGTCGTACCATGTCTGAGACTTGAAAGCAGCACCGTGCAGCATCAAGACTGAAATGTTGGCATATGCTCCCTGGGGATTCACTTCCCGATAAAACACGGTAAGGCCCTGCAAGAATAAGATCAACCTAAGTTTCCTTCAATATCGTTGTTAAATATTGTGTGAAAGACAAAGATAGTCGCTATCATCGTTAGGAGATTATTGCCAGCATTCGGAATAAAGAAGATGTGAACGGGTGGGTGGGCGTCGCCATGAAGACAGCGGCTTGTCCTTTTCTCTACAGCATTTTGGTGCCATGAGAGACGGGAGACAGGACCTTTAGAAGTGAGACCAAGCGGACTTTATGATTTTTCGACCGCATTTGGAGCCTAGGGGACTGTCGTGACGCCGCCGTTGGTTGAAGCTCATGTGCGAAGCCAAACTGTTCCCGAGAACCAGATTAAGAAGCATGACATCTCGACATTGCTTGAGACTTCGTGCTGCAAAGTGTTTGTGACGTCTGCAGGCTCGCGAAACGAGAGCCCTCGTGTCTTATTCTGCTCAGTACTGACTCGCCCTTCAAAACGATGACCCAATGTTCACAAGTAAAGGCTTTGGTTCATTCTCGAGCTTTAGCACCAAAATGTTGAGGAAAGGAATGAGCCGCAGTGCCCATGGCGAAGCCCACCTGATGACCTCTTTATTATTCCGAATGCTGGTCCTCCCTAATGATGATAGTGACTATATTCATCGTTCACACAATATTTAACAATTGTCACATTCAATTCTTTTCACAAACACACAATCTTGTACTGTCCTATTCTGAAACAGAATGTTACACTAAAAAAAACTGGGTGATGTAAAACATTTATTATTTCTCAAAAAACCATTAAGGGCATTCGAAAGCAAGGCTAGATTTGTTTAGACTTACAAAGAATTCTTTCAAGACCCCACATTCTCACATTGTGCCATCGAGGCCATCTTTGTATCTTGTGCACACGTGCATAAAGATCACCAGATGTGCTCACCTAACATGTTCTTTTTGCGATAATGGTTTTGCACACAAACTTAGAGAACAGGAAAAACTCAACTATGTAGTCACTATTAGCACTCATATTTACAATAAGTTAATCTTCCTCAACACATCACCGACGCTACTCACATCGACGACAACGGTTGCCTCCGATGGCGTCACTTGGCGGGCTTCAGTGCTGATGCTTGCTGGTACATCAAGCTCTTTGTAGTTGAATGAGTGCCAGGGTGTTTTCCAGTCCACGGAAGACGGCGGGTCTGTGTTCCCACTTGGAGTGATGGTCTGCCCTTTTGCAGTGGAGCCAACAGTGCTCTGCCCTTTTGCAGTGGAGCCGACAGTGCTCTGCCCGTCGGGCAAGTAAACGAAAATCCCGTAAAGAACCATGCCGAACACAAGTACCACAGCCACCACAAGGATCAGAAGGCCTACGGCAGGAGCAGGAAAGGGGCAGGCAACATAAACGTGAAGAATATAGCTTGTTGCATGCAGACTTCACGTTAGTCTACAGATAAATTATAGGAGTTGACAAAACGAAATAAGAGGTCATTGGCACTTTATTGAAACACAGATGATATTTTCGAAAGGATTAGTGTAAGACAAAGCTCCATGAATGCTTTGAATCCTTTCAGTCTTATCTTGTCCCCAAAAATATTCATCTATACACTCAAACAATTGCTATCACAAAATCACATATTATACAAAAATAAATTTGTTATAAAGGTTCATTTTTAACGCTATACTGCAAGACTATTTTTTATTTACTTCAATATAACCAATATTTGGTTATATCCGGTTTCTTTATAATCAAGGTTTGGGTGCATTTTCTTTCCACAACATTGTAGACTTTGTATGTACTTCAGGTCACGAACAGCTTGTGGATGTCTTTGTGCCATGGCTTTCTCAACAGGAACACGTAGTTAAGGAAATGCTTGCAAGCAAGACATGTGGTGATAGTTGCTTGGGGGCAATATATGCACCAAATTTTTTCAGCTTCCTTTACAGAGAAGCACTGAAGGAACACTATAAAGGCAAATAAAACAGATTGGATTACCGCTATATGGGCAATATTGGCTAAGCCAATATTTTTGTCATGTCAGATCATTTACATTAAAAGGGATGCACAGGACACCACCACAGCGTTAGGGAGGGGTCAAAGACTTTACAGTGTTTGCCCAGTGCCCTCTTTCTCCCCCTGAATTTCTTCTTGGCTGTGTTACCGTATTTGCTCGGTACAAACCGGCTGCAAAGCCTCTGGTTCTCTGAAACAGCCGCTGAACTGCTCGATCGAATGTGAATAAAAGCAACCTTCACTGATATATATATATATTGTGCACCGAAATTCATCGAAGCTTTTGATGTCATTCCAAATCAATGACAGCTGAAAAAATGTGTTATTCTGCATGATGGCTGCAGTGGCATCCAAATAAGGCAGGCATTCAAGGGGAAAGGGAAGCTTAAAGAGTAGAAAAGTACTTGAAGATAGGGTACCACCGCGACAAATTTTTCGATAAGCAGAAGAAAAGAACTTGGAGAAGACAAGACTGCTTGTTGAAACGTTGGCTCCAGCAATGCCCTGTCTTCCAGAATTTTTCAAATTGCCATTTATAAAAGATTATGGTGTTGGGCCTGCTGTTACACGGCTTGTAATCGAGGAACCCAGCCTTTAAAAAGCATGTGCACCTGACGAGAAGTATGATGATCACACACTCTAGGGACTAACAACAGTTTAACGAGAAAACATGCACTCGAAAAGGATGCACCCTATGTGAAACGATGGGCATGTGAGAAACGACAAAATGCATGGGTGGTCTTCTTTGTGTTTCGTCATTTGTCGCATGCCCACCATTCTCTCCCCTAAAATATCATGAAGGGCACAACCTTTTTGAGTAGATGTTTTCTCATTAAACTCCTGTTAGTCCACAGCATGTGTGGTCATCATACTTTTCGTCTTGTCTACATGTGATTTGAAGCCTCGTTTCCTCGATTCTATGCCGTGTATGGTTTCTGTGCTACTGACCCACATAGTTCGGCAGCATGATGGAGACATGAGAAATGGGTGGTCGGGTAGGAGGCTGCACATGCTAACACTGAGTTTAACTGGGTCGAGAAGGCGTAGAAATTATAGTATCGCCGTGCAGACCTACTGTCTTTGAGAGTGACGTTTTGTTAACATGCAGCCTCTCCAAATTTTTCCTCAACGCGAATGTGCCGCATGTAACACAGCACAAATGCTTGTCCAAGCCGTGGGGTATGGACAAGCGTTGCAGTGTCAATGCCATAGTTTGTGCTGCCACTTGTGTCTCTAGTAAATTGGCACATATATTCTGTGAATTAGTTAATAATTTTGAGTGGTGTTTTACATGCAAAAATCAAACATGATTAGGAGGCATGCCGTGGAGGAGGGCTCCAAAAATTTTGATCACCTAGGTTTCTGCAACATGCACGTAATTTATACTCAACACCCCAGCCCTATTTGGGAGGCAAATAAGGGTGCGTCAATATACGTTTAACCACTGTAATTATTTTAATCCTATTAAATCAACACAAAACCCTTTTCTGAAAGCGCTCTGTGAGATTCTAAGTAGCAGAGAAAGCTTATCGATTGTAAGGTTTCTTGGAAAATAGGTGCAGTCCTCAGTGCAGGGCTCCATTTGCCTTTGAAGCTTGCTGGGCTTTGTCAAGCAGAGCCAGCTGGCTTCTCAAATCTTTGTTAGCAAATGTGTCCAGGCAAAGTTGTTCGGGGGACCATACAGGTCGTCACCATCGGTTACAGATAATGGCATAGGCAGGTCTTCTTTTCACCTCCCTGTGTCAATTTGAGGTCGCTATTTACCAGTTGCTCAGAACCACAATCTTCTCTACAGAGGAGGTGTTAGAATGCATGAGCGGCAGATGCCCACTTACTTTTGGCATGTTCGAAGCACCACCCTCGTGACTCTCCTGCCTGCCCCTCAACCAAGTTACGCGTTGATGATGCTGCGACTCCACCGTCACCCTGTGTACTTTGCAGCACATTCGTGTTAGGGGGAGATGGCATTCTTAGGGTCTTCAACTGTGACCTGCTACTCCTTTGCAAGGTTGGCTTGTTGGTGTCTGATGATGTGGCCTAGATCACTAGGAAGGATAGGCCACCAGTTGGCAAATCTTGTTTTTGTTGACCTTCTCTTGTGGCTAATACCCACTGTGGGGGATTGGCCAATAATTGTGTGGTCTTATAAAATATTATACTATTTTAGAGTAAAGGAAGTTAAGCGGCCTCGAAGACAAAGATGAGGAAGGAGTAACCCCACAGCATTAGGTCGTTGTCACCGGATCTCTGTTTCACCAAAGAAATATTCCTAATTGAATCAGGGTGGTTTTGATCGTCAATCACTAAACTAGTGTGATTAATTTCTTTTAACTGTTCTATAATTCATTATATAAACTATTCATATGAGATCACATCAGTCTAATTATTCATTTCTTGGCCAATCCCCCAGTGTGGGTGTGAGCCATACATATAGGCCATCATCATCATCGTCATCCCACACCATGGGAATTGAAGAAAACATGGTTTATGAAGCACTCTGCCACACACACGTACAGTGCAAGTTTCCTCCATACTCTCATATAAATATTATTGTGCTTGTTTTGCTATTATTACTTCTTTTGTAATTTCATTCAGCTTCCGGCCTATCCCCCAGAGTGGGTTCATGCCATTAGAAAAAAAAAAAAAGATACCAATCAAGAATCTTTTTTTTTTCATCTACCATACCTAAAAGAACATTCAAAAGTCTCAACGTCGATTCTTAGACAATCACCAAAATTGGTTATGTGCCATTTATCAAAAAAAAGCAAAACAAAGCAAACAGTCTACTCTACTACGAACAATATCACTCAGTCAGTCTTAGCTGGCTAAACAACCACTAGGTGTTCCCATACTTCAACATAAAATAGAAGCCTGTAGAGGCTAGCAAGATGTCTTGTAGTAGATGCATTTGGGTCATAAAAACTAGTTCCGCATTTTAACAGCCATAACAAGTATCTTGCTCTAATCAGGCAAACTAACTTCTATTTCTATTTCACAAATAAGCAAGATATTGCAATATTGCAATTACTATTTCACAAGTAAGCAAGATATTTCAATATAATTGTAACTAGATTGTTCCAAATCACTTACTGTTTCATCGTTTTCATTTTATGTTGTGCAGCGTTCAACCCATTGTGGTACCTTACAAAGTGTCATGTGCTCAGTTTACACAAGCATTCACAATCACTAAATCCAATCACAAAACACATCGAGTTGTACATTGTAAGCGACAAACCTTTTGCCTAGCTTCCATAAAATGTGGAATAGCTTTTTTTTGCCGGTCAGTCAGTAAAATATGCAAACATATATGTTTTTTACTGACTGACTCCTTCTTTAAGAGTTGAATGCTACAGTGATATTCTGTCCCTAGGGTGTACTTCAAACACCGAGTTAATAAAGTATTTTTGAAACTGCCATGCACCCATTATGCACAGTAATGTGTGTGCCTTTTATAGTGGTTATCGGGCTGCTTTAAACCATGAAGTCATTATGATAAACACATGTTTCAAAGCCCAATGGCAATGTACGCTTGTACCATAGATTATTACTGCAATATTACGTCTTGCATTGTGAAGCATATATACAGGACACATGTGTTTGTAAAGCATAAAAGTTACTTTTGTTGCATTTCCAAGTAGAAGAAGTTATTTTCATTGTATTTACTAGCAGATATGCACAGCTGTGTGGTAGAACACCCACTTGCCACGCAAACGACCCACGTTTGATTCCCGCTTGGATCCAGAATTTCCATTTACTTTATTTGCATCTTTCTCGATTTTTTAATCACGCACGAGAAGATGGTTTTTCACTCACAACCAAACACCTACACTGACGCCAACACCGACATTTCTGCGAAACGAGCTGTCTAACGCTATCGCGTTGACATGCAAACATTTCTGTTCTGTATTAAATGCTATTGTTCCAGCATAACATTCATTTTTCAATAGTAGTAGTATTCGAGCATGCTGGTTTTTCCTTCCATGTGTGCACGAGGCAGAAATGCTAAAATAAACATAAGAATGATGTATAAAGCTCTACAAAGTTTAAGAGGACCGAAATGCAGCCTTACAAACTAGGATGTCAAGGAAATGCACATATTATTCGCAGAGAGGCAAAAACGAGTAGCCTGCAGCACGAAGCTTCGCAAGGCTCGAGAAGATGTTTCTCCCCCACGTGATCAAGTCCTCTTAGCGTTGACACAGACGGGTGTCGTGATTCCTTTTTGCAGCTATAGGTCCACCTAGTAGACGGTTTCGCTGCTTGGCTCTGTTGCGCAGCACTTTCTCTCTCTCCCATATTTTTCTATCCGCCCAACCTCCCTCCCTCTTACAGTGCTTATGATGTGGCCTAATTTAAAGAAACAGTTATGGCACTGCACTTATCTCTTTTTTCATAAAAGACACCTAAGCTGCTGCCTTAAGATCTTGAACAGTATCTTGGTCAGAGCATAAGACAAGGTCGCTATCAACTACCATCATTTTCAAGGAAGGGAAGACTCGAGCTTGTGGCGCAGTCTCATCAGTTGACTACTTATGTTGCACTGTGCAGTGGTAATAGGTCTTAGACGAAAGAAGAGTGTTTCTACACTTGTGGCATCACCAACAAATCGCACCAGTGCACGGTTTCGTCCGACCAAATGTAGCACCGGGTGCCTCGGTGCAACTAACTCAAGGTTCCACTAGGCTATGCCTTCTTTTGCATATTTTCTTTAGGAGTTGATAACCCATACAAGAAACTGCAAAACGACAGTAGTTATAGAGTGAGAACAGAACGACGACAAAGGGACAAGAAGGAGATGTTCTGTTCCCGCCCTATAACTACCGTCATGTCATACAAATTAGCCCAAACCGCACACTTCTAAACTGCAAAAGTCTGATTGGATGACGTCATGATACAACTTATACTACTACAGTGCTTCTCAAGCAGCAACAGATGGGGAGCATGGAATTCATATTTAGTTTAGATGCAACTGTTCCGTTGCTCAAATTTTGCTAAAACACAGAGTAGGTCAACTGGCACAGTGCTCAGACTTTTTTCAACACACTAACGTAAACATAGACGTCCCGTGCTATGAATGGCATGTTGATGGTCTTTCTTAAACTTGGCAATATTGCTGTCAGGATTTATAAATTATGCCTGCATACACACTGCCATGTTCAGGTATTTATGGCTTCCCTGCTATGCATTGGATGGAAGCCACTAACTTGTAAAACTACCAAAATGGTCCTCTCTGGATTTTTTCTAGTGCCGTCTTCCCATACTGACAGCCTACAAGTGCGATGTCACCAGTGTAAAAGTAGGTATTTGATTGGTCAGTTCATGTGGAATGTAACTGTAGCTCGCAATATCCACTCTTCATTTTCACACAACACTTGCATGTTGAACAAAATCAAGTGATTTCATCATGGGTAGTGTGTTTTTCACTGCACAGACATGAAAAACAATGCAGTCCTTGTGAAATGGCAGCTGGTGGAATTTTTAGCATTAAAATAGCACCAGCCTGGGGTTAGATGTGTTTTGTTTGTTTACAACACTATATTCACATACTTTCTAGAGAAAAATACAGTAAACGGAACAGTACTTAAGAGCTCCTAATAAGCTCCTTATGAACTGCAGTTTGCTAACAGATTAACAGATTATGATTGCTAACAGAGTAAAGAAAACATTAGAATTCAATCAACCAAACGAACAAGCAGGATTTCGGACAGGCTACTCAACAATCGACCACATTCATACTATCAATCAGGTAATAGAGAAATGCTCAGAATATAACCAACCACTATACATAGCCTTCATAGATTACGAGAAGGCGTTTGATTCAGTAGAAATATCAGCCGTCATGCAGACACTGCGGAATCAGGGCGTCAATGAAGTATATATAAACATCCTGGAAGAAATTTACAGGGGATCAACTGCTACCATAGTGCTTCATAAAGAAAGCAACAGAATACCAATCAAGAAGGGTGTAAGGCAGGGGGACACAATCTCCCCAATGCTATTTACCGCGTGCTTACAGGAGGTTTTCAGAAGCCTAGAATGGGAACAGTCAGGGATAAGAGTTAATGGAGAGTACCTCAGTAACCTGCGCTTCGCCGATGACATTGCATTGCTGAGTAACTCAGGGGACGAACTGCAACTCATGATTACGGAGTTAGACAAGGAGAGCAGAAAGGTAAGTCTTAAAATGAATCTGCAGAAAACGAAATTAATGTACAACAACCTTGGAAAAGAGCAGCGCTTCGAGATAGGTAATAGTGCACTTCAAGTTGTAAAAGACTATGTCTACTAAGGGCAGGTAATAACCGTGGAGCCGAACCACGAGATTGAAGTAACTAGAAGAATAAGAATGGGGTGGAGCACATTTGGCAAGCACTCTCAAATTATGACAGGTAAATTGCCACTATCCCTCAAGAGAACGGTATATAACAGCTGTATCTTGCCGGTACTTAGCTACGGAGCAGAAACCTGGAGACTTACAAAGAGGGTTCAGCTTAAATTGAGGACAACGCAGCGAGCAATGGAAAGAAAAATGGTAGGTGTAACGTTAAGAGACAAGAAGAGAGCAGAGTGGATTAGGGAACAAACGGGGGTTAAGGATATCATAGCTGAAATCAAGAAGAAGAAATGGACATGGGCCGGGCATGTAGCGCGTAGACAGGATAACCGCTGGTCGTTAAGGGTAGCTAACTGGATTCCCAGAGAAGGAAAGCGGGTTAGGGGGAGACAGAAGGTTAGGTGGGCAGATGAGATTAGGAATTTTGCGGGTATAAATTGGCAGCAGCAAGCACAGGACCGGGTTAACTGGCGGAACATGGGAGAGGCCTTTGTCCTGCAGTGGACGTCGTCAGGCTGATGATGATGATGATGAACTGCAGTTATGACAGTCCTTGCTGCTAACTTTATGAATCCCATAAGAATACATAACACTGATTCATGGTAAATCTGGAAAATATGAAATATTTGATTTACATTATAGGTAATTGGAATCGTATTTCATTCATTCTTAAAAAAAGCAAGGGATAGCTTGCGCTAATGGCACAAGGCTAAATACACAAAGGAGCTTATCAGTTCCTAGCTGGTCATGACCATATGAAGTAATGCCAAGTTATACGAATAGATGCCTAGTGAGCCTGACCATACCCACTTCAGGGCAAAGGCCTCTCCGTTGTTCCGCCAATATCCCAGTCCTGTGCTCTCGCTGCCACGTTATACCTGCAAACTTCTTAACGTCATCAGCCCACCTAATTTTCTGTCTCCCTTTCACCCATTTAAATTCTATTGGAATCTAGTCAGTTACCCTAAATGACCAGCACTTATTCTGCCCACGTGCTACGTACCCGGCCCATGTCTTCCTACTATTGTGGAATGTTTTAAACGAGTAGAGTCCAGCAGTCTTGAAAAGTGCGCTGCTACTCCCGATAAGTGGCTTTCTCATTGGCAGCATGAACCTTCTTCGGTCTCCCCACACCCGCGTCTGGCATCACTGCCACCTGTCGAATTTAAGCAGAACAAAGAAGTGTATGTGCAGTTGGCCAAGACGTCGCATCTGGCACGACCGAGCGTTTGCATACAATATTCTGTAGGCGGGCTGGTAGAGGAGCAATGTATGAACTATTAAAAGAAGTGAACGGCTGTGCAACTCCTTGGTAGGCAATGTGCAGTGATGCCATCGTGGCGTGGATATTTTTTCTTACATTGGACAGATTGCAGCAGAGGTAAACATCTGCATTGTTTACCTCAAACGCAAATGTTTAATCATTTGTGTAACCCCCTAAAATCACAGCACTACGAGTTCATACTGGTCTAGGAGACATTTATTGTTACTAAATCTCACAGCAATGAGTTAATCCTGAATGCCAAGTACATGACAATAACTTAGTTCTTACAATCTGGCATTTGATTCAGGCTGCGCGTAGGCAGCTTTAGTGAAAATGTTTTTTTCCCATGACACTTTCATGGCCTGCAAACAATTCTACTTCAGTAACACTACCGTACACGCTAACTGTATGAGTCTTTGCAATTTTGGAGGGATGAAGCAACGGTACATGACATCAAGTGATGTATGCTCAAACTTTTATTTGCAACACACAGACGATACAAAAATAACACCAAGACTCACCACTTTGATATGGCAACAAAAAACAACTCTGGAATTGGATGTTTGTACATGTGAGCCATTGTAGGTGCCAAGTGCATAAAAACAAACATATTATTATTCAACAAAAATAGAAGAGGCCTCTGTTATCTCTCACTGCAAATGCCTAACGGCGTTGGACTGTGTGTGACAAATTCGTCGACTTTTGCTCCGACGACGGTGCTCGTAGAAACATCAAAGATACTCGTGCGGTCTGTTTGATTTGAAAATATCACATTAACGTTCGCAGAACACCTTGCGAAAAATAAGGAGAATTACGGCAGAGTTATAGTCACCAATGATTTGAGTGTGACGACTGATAGGACTAGCATACCAACACCCTAATATACGAGACGTGTCTTCAATGTGCCTGCTCATAACAAACAACATTATAATGTGTGATGCGCACATATTGCAACAATCCAGAGTAGGTTGGTGGACCAAGTGCTCAACTCTGCAACGATCATAACAGCAACCACGAGGTTCACAGTTTCTGAACACCAACCTCGGTTAAACAAAAATACATCAATGATGCACAGAAAGCAAAGTTTTACAAAACACTCTGCTAAAATATTGTATGGCTGCCTTTGTTTAGCCGTGCTCAAATACTCGAAACTACTATGTGGTGGCCTCTTTGGCAATTGAGAGCTCGACTCGTTATGATACAAACACTCACACACAAAGAAACGAAATTTTACAGCAAATCAAAGCACCCTAAAGGTATAATGACATACAAAAATGTAGGAACATTTTTTTTTTCTCTCTCCAGTTGTGCGTGCAAGCGTTCTCTTTGCACACAGTGTTAACACAGCAAAACCTGGGGCAGTGACGAGAGGTTAAAGCAAACATTACGCATATACCAACGTGTACTGCACGTAATTGTGCGCGTCGTGAAATCCGGACAATGTCGTCACTTGAAACAGTGAGCTGTGCAAGACAACTGGAATGCGCGTTTTCTTCACTTCATTTTCCAATTAGTAAAGCCAGGTAACTATCTGACAGGTGAAACAGCAAGAATAGTAACTTTGAATGCCTAAATGAATTCTCTCACAACACGTAAAAGCTTTGTCAACGCGCTGTTTCCACAAAGAATGAAGTCAGGCAGACTGCTTAACAGAAAATGGTGAGTGAGTCCTGTGATGTGTGTGTGTGTTTTTAAACAATACTGGTTGTAACAACATCGATGTACAAGTAGCATGTGTATCAACACTGTGTTCGTGTGCACAAATAATGTTTGACGTGTGCATGTGAAACGCAACTTTTGTATTATTGGGCTACATGGAAGAACTCTCCCAACATAAGAGTAAATAACGATAACTTCTGTAACAACACATAATGTAGGAGATGCTGAAATTTAAGCCCTAGATGCCTCGCCAGTGGAAACAAACAAGCAATATACAAGAATAAAAGCTTCCTAAACTATTACAACTTGCACAAGAAACACAGCAACAAGTGCTGTGTCAAGAGATAACAATATGACACGCAATGCGATTCAGCGCTTGGACAAGAGCTGCAAACATTTCAGCAAATGATAAATGCCGTTCCAACAATCAAAACAACTAACACCAATCGAGATACGAGGAATGAAGCTTCATGTGGGCAGAATCACTCGACAATGCGATGACAACTGGCCTGATTGAATCAAGTGTCAAGTTTAGACCAAGAACAGCACAGCAGGTCGTACATTTTGTGAACTCTTATAACCTCCTCGATTTTAGTACATGCGACATATCGCCAAAAAAAATGCTCGTTTAAGAGCACAGGTGTTTCTGTGATCTCAAAAAATCAAGGTTACACAATGTAACAGAAATGTTAGATTTGTGGGGTTTAACGTCCCAAAAGTAACAGAAATGTTAAAGGATTCAAACGGCTTTGTGGCTTTTCAGTTGGCAGGGACCTATTTGAAAATGTTGATGGTGGTGCAAAACAAACACAAGCGCTGCTGTGCAACAAAGCTCCTTTAATAGGATGGTAAAAAAATATTTGGTTACATAAAGTGGACATATTGCACTTTCTGCACTGCAAGTACGTCGTTAGAACAAATGCGAAACGGAAAAGACAGTTGCGCGATAAGAGTGACACCATCTGGAAAGTGAGTGGCTCCAAGATGTCGCGAATTCCGCTAGAGTTCAGTCTATGATAACGAAACAGTTCAACAGCAACTAGCCTGATCATGCTCCAAGGAGAACAAACCAAGAATTGTACCTTAGCAAATTTTGCCACCGGTTACATGGCAAAAAATTCTGCAAAATAACTGCAAAAAGTGTAGCGGAAACAAAGGCAATGAATCCATCTAATCAGCGAGAGACCACAATTTGGGAAAGCAATTTTTCGCCTTTGTTCTTTACGGTGACACTGCCAGGCTGACATTTGAACCAATAATCAACTACTAGTTTGAGCCAGTTAGACGTTGCTACTGCTGAAACTCGCTATGATGGAACACCGTATAACACCAGGTGTAACAAAGTAAATGATAGCAGTGCCTCATTGTTACTTTAATGTAATAGATAATAGGTACTTAGTTGTAACAAATGTGTATAAAGAAGCTACTGTTGTGTCATACACCACTTTCCTACAACAACGTTTAGCGGTATGTACTTGGTGGCCCTATTAATGAACAGACCAACAGTAGCACACCTATACCATTTCTTTATATCAAACAAACAACTTCAAAGAACGTTCCAACTCCAGCGACCGCGCAAAGGCTAGGAAATAACATAGGAAACAATCGAGAGGCAATAGGACATTCGAACGGCACCGACTCATGAGCTGCTTTTGGTGGTCTGCTGCTGCAGTCCGTAGCGCAAACGGAGCAGGAAGTTGTACAGTGCCTGATGCCAGAGAATGGGGTTGTCCAGGTAAGCCGGGTGCCTGCCGTGGGGCACCTCGACAGCCACGCTGTTAGGCAGGAGGTTGAGCAGCGCCGAGCTCGTGCTCCGGTCGTGCTCTCCAAACACCACCATTGTGGGCACCTGCACGCCACAGGGAGGATGTACCGCACTTACTTGATCGGATTCTGATGCACACTTCTATGTGATGTTAGACAGCACAAACAACAAGAAGCTTACTGAGAAGGAAACGAGACAGGCACCAACTTACAATTAAATTTTGTTACGTACGATCATAAAATATATGCAGTGATGCAAAATACAACAATGCAAATGATGAGAAAAATATGATGCATAATACACATTATTACTTTGTTTTGATCATTCTAACGTGCCATCAATATATGCAAATTTTCTCTCAGATAAGCAGTTCCTCATTTGCACTGTTTAATATCCCGATTCCCTACAAAGCTACCCAACATTGCATTTCTTTGTGCACAGTTCTTGGTGGAGAAAGAAAGGTACAACAAACAATGCACAGTCGTGCTCAATACGACTTGGAGCACGGGTACGCTTATATCTATGGGTTCCATTAGCCCTTACTTCCACAACTGAATTCATGTGACACGATTGCAGTATCTTGATTTGTTCACTTGATTTTGCACTTGTTACTCCAACTCCTGCTTACAGCGTTATGTAGAGGCTAGCAGTACTGCATAAATAAATAATAATAAATAAATGCCAGGAAAGAATGACATGCGAAACGTGCCGACTTGCATCACCAGCTCGCCTAAGATGCAGTTTTATTGCAGCCTCAATCTAAGCACACAGCTGCTGTAACAATGTAGTTACTGGGACCAGAAATCAAATCTACACCTTTGTGTCAAGCAGAGCTACACTAGCGCTGACAAGCTGGCAAGGCAGATAACTAACTACAAAAAAAAGAGAGAAAGAAAAAAAAACAAGCCACAAGCACACCCTGCCAATCACAGCCACTCACCTTGATGCAGCTCAGATTGGGAACCTGCTTCGGCAAGTGGACTTGGAGCGGCGGGTAAACCTGGGACACGTCCACCGGGACATCACGAGTGTCGCACTGCACCTGCTCCAGCACATTCCAACCAACGGGGGCTACCGGAACGTATCCAGCCATCTGCTGCCAATGCTTAACCAGGAACGGCAGGCTCAGCTGACCACTCAGGCTGGGGCTAACTATCACTGGGTTGTTAAGATGAAGAGCCGCCAAGAGGTGCTGCAGGAATGCTGTCTTGTCGGTAATTGTGCCAGCCGGTGAGTTGCCAAACCCTGCAAAGAACACAGCACGGCATGACTGCGTCTAAAAGGTAATGCAACATTTAGCAAAGCTCAATGCTTACGAAGCATTTGTTTCACTTTTTTGCAGCCTATGGTTCTGAATGTGCACTCCGTGATTTTTGTTTCCCTTAACTGGGGACATATGACACGAGGATCTGTGTAAAAACTTAGTGTTCAAATGCATCTGATTTACACCTTGTCATATAAAATTTACACGTATGGTCACATTATTAGCGGATTGGCAGTGCTACTATAAAAGCACTACGACGTGGGCACTCTCTCACCCTTGCACAGTTTCATGATACCACAGCTACTTAGCTTCCACAGTGCAAAAGAAAGAGGTGTGGACCAGAAAGTCAACACCACAAATTGACTTCAATCCGTAGTAGCTCAGCTATGGCTAGGCATTTCTTTTTAATACGAATCCACTTCAGGTGAATCTACTGAACTGATAAATACAACAAATATAGTAGCATTCTGCACATCCCCGCAGTGTCTGAAGCTCCATACAGTAACACGAGAAAAAAAGACGTACAGTGAAACCTCGTTAAACCGTACCCGCATAAACAGTAATAAATGTAGTGAAGTCAAATCCCCGACTTGGCGGCCATTGAACGTAATGCATTTTGTATCCGCATTAGCCGTACCAGCTTATCGCGTATGTATCGGTTAATAAGTAGTTTTTCCAATTTTCGTTGCGCACTCGCCGCGGCATGTCGTCCCCCACTGGGCGTCCCGACAGAACAGCAAGCCCCAGAGATCGAAACACGCCTCGCTTCTTTGTGTTGATGATGATGGCTGGATGGATGGATGGATATGGCTGTACCCTTTAGACCGGGCGGTGGCTAGCGCCACCAAGCCGTAATACTTAATGAACCAAAAACTAGATTTGTATTTTTTTTTCTTTAAATAGTGAGATTGGGGACTCGTACCTTGCAGTGAAGGGTTTAATTTTCACTCGTGCCTTGACTTTAGCCACCAATAAGATAACCTCCTTCTAGTTAATTCTACCTGCTTAACGTCTATTTTGCCCTCCCTGTTCCTAAACCCCAGTGCTTTGAAACACTCTGCACCATCATCCTGAACAATAGGGTGAAGCCCTTTACAGAACATTATCAAGTGTTCGGCAGTTTCTTCTTCCTCTCCACACGCACTGCATACCGTGCCTACTATTTTGTATTTGGCCCGATATCTCTTGGTTTGCAATACTGCCGTCCTAGCCCCAAACAGTAGAGAACTACACCGAGTATTATAATAGATCCTTTCCTTGGCAATTTCCTGCTTAAAAGTTCGATAAATCTCTAGTATGGACTTCTTAATCATGCCAATTCTCCACATATCGATCTCAGTTTCCTTCACTTTCTTCTTAACCGATAGTTCTTTTTGGTTTGGCCACCTGCTGTTTTCTAAGTATTTACCAGTCAACTTCCTGGTTCGCTTCCTCCATTTTGTATCGACATTCTTCATGTACAAGTAGCTGAATACCTTCCTAGCCCAACGCTCCTCCCCCATTTCTCTCAATGGCTTCTCAAATTTTATCTTACTGCTAGCTTCCCTGCCCTCAAATGATGTCCATCCCATATCACCTTATACTCCCTGATTTGGTGTATTCCCGTGAGCTCCTAAAGCAAGCCTACCCATTCCACGTTGCTTAATTTCTAATCTTGCTTGAACTTCTGATCTCATGCACAAGACCGCATTGCCGAACGTCAGACCAGGAACCATGACCCCTTTCCATATTCCTCTCACAAAATCATACCTATTGTAATTCCACAGTGCCCTGTTTTTCATTACCGCTGCATTCCTGTTACCTTTAGTCGTCACGTATGTTTCGTCTTCCCTTAGGTACTCGGCCCCATTGCTTATCCATACGCCCAGATGTTTGTATTTATCTGTTATCTCTAGCGTGACCTCCTGTATTCTAAGCTCACTACCTTCATTGTCATTAAAAATCATGACTGCTGATTTTTCCTTACTGAATCTGAAATCTAACCTATCTCCCTCATTACAACAGATGTCCATCAATCTCTGCAAATCTTCTTTGTTGTCGGTCCATTAGCACTATATCATCTGCGTACATCAATGCTGGTAGTGCCTGTTCAATGAGCTTTCCTTGTTTGACGAAAGAGAGGTTGAAGCCAAGTTCACTTCCCTCTAATTTGGCTTCTAATCCTTGTAGGCACATCATGAATAAGAAGGGTGGCAAAGGACACCTCTGCCTAAGCCCCCGTTTTACCTCTGCGGACTTGAATACCATTTTTATCACTTTATAACTGCCTTGTTACCTTTATAGATATCCTTTGAAAGATTAGTGATTCCATCTTCCACACCTAGTGTGTCCAGTATTCCCCACAAGTACTCTTCAACCACGCTATCGTACGCCCCCTTGATATCCAAAAATGCTAGCCACAGGGGCCTGTGTTCCTTCTCTACTATCTATTTATTCTACGCGACGGCCCGTGTTCCTTTTCTACTATCTATTTATTCTACGCGGCAAGGCGCCACCTCACGTCGAAAAGAAAAAGCTGAAATAAACAAACGTAACTGTTGTATTTCCTGACTCATTTCCTGACAAGAAGCACTCGGCCGGCTAGGCTTCTGGTGTTGTCCACGCGATGGCGCTTTGCACAAACATGAAACACGGTGTGCGCGCTTGCTTTGCTTTCTTTGTTCCTTTGGCGCCGTGCATAGTTGTTCTCTGGTTGATCCGTGCCGTACAGCTCTCGCGTCGTTTTTCACGTGTTGTGTATGTCTGCTTGTGCTGCTTCGTACTTGCGTCATGCCGAAGCTGGGACAAAAGCATCGAGTGCTGAAAATAGAGAAGAAATCGGGCATAATTCGTGCTATTGAAAGTGGCACAAAAAAATCAGTGCTGGCACGGGAAAATGACCTGCCGTTAACCACGGTGTGTGAAATTTGGAATTCCAGAGAGAAGTTGCTCGGCAGTGCTGCTGCAACGGCGAAAAGGTGCCGGCTGCGCGGTTCGGCGTTTTCGGATGTAGAGGAGGCCCTGGTGAAGTGGCTAAAAGCTGCACGGTCAAAAAATCTGCCTATCAGCGGACCCCTGCTCGTGAAGAAGGCCCTGGTTTTTGCCTCGCAGCTCAACCATGACAACTTTGTGTGCAGCAATGGCTGGCCAGATTTAAGGCGAGGCACGGCATTACCACGAGGACTGTTTCGGGAGAAGGTGCTGCTGGTGACGTGGATGGCACGAAGTAGTGGCAAAATGGTCAGCTGAAGAACATCTTGGAAGACTACGCAACTGATGACATCTTTAATATGAATGAATCGGCACTATTCTTTAAGCTGCTACCAGACAAAACGCTCGCGTTCGAAGGCGAGACGTGCACCGGCGGCAAGCATGCAAAAGACAGAATATCAGTGGCGTTTTGCATAAACATGACTGGAACCGACAAAACTCCCCTCCTCGTGATTGGAAAGTCGGCGAAGCCTAGATGTTTCAAAGGCACCCAGTTGCCATCAGGGGTCATCTATCGCAGCAACACCAAAGCATGGATGACGGCAAAACTCTTTGAGGAGTACGTGCGCCTCATCGATCGGCGTTTTGCGGCTAAGAACAGAAGAGTTGTTATTATTTTAGAGAACGCTTCGGCGCACGTCGCCCTGGACAACCTGACGGCTGTGAAGTTGGCGTTTCTGCCACCAAACACAACAGCGATGGCCCAGCCCTTAGACCAAGGCATCGTTCGAGCTGTAAAACAGCTCTACAAGAAGAATCTGCTGCGCAGATTTCTTCTCGCCATTAAATGTGGCAAATTATTCTCCATCGACCTGATTGGCGCGATTCACCTGCTCGAATACTCGTGGCGGCAGGTTGAAGCAACGACCGTTCAAAATTGCTTAAAGTGTGCTGGATTCAGTGTGTGTGCGGGCGACGCAGATTACGCCAGTGACACCATCGACAAGACTTCGGACATCGTAGACGAAGCTTGCAAAACTCTGCTAGCTGAAGTGCTGGAGCGGCAGGGCGTTACGGAAGGCATTTCCTTCCCCGACTTCAGAGACGCAGACAGCGATGTGCAGACATCTCCAGATGTGCCCGACGAAGCCATTGTTGCCTCGGTTGTCGAAGTGTCGCCAAATGATAGTGATGAGGACGACATGGAAAGCGACAACACGGGTGATCGAGGTCCGACAGTGGCCGAAGCTGCGCATTGTGTCAGCGTCATGCGGGTATTTGCCGAGAAGAGGGGGCTGGTGGAAAAGCTGGCTCACAGCATAAGTGAGTTTGAGGCCGCTGTCGTTGCTGCTAGGCCGCCGCGTCGTCAAATGAAGATTACAGACTTTGTCACGCGAAGTTAATCAATTACTGCACGTTTTTTGTTCTTTCATCGCACACCCTGAAGGTTTCTTTTTTTGACAGGTAAGTGAGCGACCTCACGCTATTTAGATTAAGCAGTACTACTGTTTAGTACGTACTTTTTCCGAGCTACGGCCAACTACGGTTTAACGAGGTTTTACTGTATATATATGCATGTGTTATATATGACATCACACGCTTGACTCACCAGGCATATCGATGGCCACAACTCGGTAGCCCATCAGACTCAAATTGCCCAAGGTTCCGAGGTTGTACCAAGTTTCGGATTTGAAGGCTGCCCCGTGCAGCATCAGCACCGATATGTTGGTATGTGCTCCCTGGGGATTCACTTCCCGGTAAAAAACTGTGAGGCCCTGCAAGAATGCAACCAATATTTCAATTAACATCACGACCATACCATTTTTTACAAAAACATGCTGAGTTTTATAACTGTCCATTACACTAAGAGAAGAAAAAAAAAAACACACAATGACTAACATCCATTTATTGCTCTCTTAAAGTATCATTAGGCACCCTACACAGCAAACACCGGACCAGTCTACACTTGAGGAAGTATTCCTCCATAGCTCCAATTTCATTCATTTGGTTGGAAAAGGTTGAGTACTGTGCAATAATGAGAAAATTAATGTGCTATTTTTTTTTTCTCCATGGCTTGAAGCACCCTAGACTTGCAGATGAGTTTCACCAACAGTACATGTCCCTGACACCCACTATCCTTTAATTCGTATTTTATAGAACCCCGTATTCAGTGTCCATCATGCATCTCTACTAGAGAAACATGGTCTTCTTTTTGCAAGCCCAGATTCCCCATATTGAAGTGTGTGCTCCTCTCCAAAGAACCATGCTTATTGTACCTTGCAAACTCCGTTACAAAATTGACTTACACTTGTAAAGCATTTCAATTTGATTTTTTTTTTATTAGACATGTCTGTTCTGTTGCTACCACAGTTCCAGCGTTTCTTATCATTCAATTTTTATTAAGGTCATACGAGTTCATTCAGCATGCCTTGTTTTTCAAGGCCAGCATCTTATGAGATGCTGAAGGCCTTATTCTTAATAGTTCTGCATACACCTGCAAGCTGAAAGGCAGCGCACATGGCCGCAACTGCTTCACACCCGAAACGTGAAAACCGTCAACAGAGGCATGCCACAAAATACGGCGACCCGAATGCAAAACAACTCACATCGACGATGACTGTCGCCTCCGATGGCTTGACTTGACTGGCCCCACTGCTGATACTCGCAGGCACACTGAGCTGTTTGTAGTTGAACGAGCGCCAAGGAGTTTTGACATCGGCGGAGGATGGCAGGTCACATTCTTCGCTTGTGGTGATGATAGTTCCCCGATTCCTTTTGGGCGATCCGACGGACGTCTGCCCTTCTTCTGGCAAGCCGACGAAAATTCCGTAAAGAAAAATGCCAAATACAAGACAAACCACCACAAGGACCTGACGACCTAGCGAGAGCAGGGGAGAGGGAAAGACGACACAGGGTCGAAAAACAGCTCGTTGCATGCATGCCTCACGTCAGTATAGAGACAAGGACATGACATCACACCACAGAGACATGACAGCAAACTGGTGCTTGGCAGTGCAATAAAGCAACACAAAAGATGTAAGAACTTAAGAAGGCAAGTGTACCACAAGCATTAAAGAGAGATTAAAAGTAAGCAGTGAAACAAGGTAGTATGCTACGACAACTTTGCCAGTATCCAATACGCCATTAATAGATTACAAGTTCAGTACCACCACAATAAATCATGAGTGGACACACATGTTCGGAAGGTGGAAGGAGCAAAATTCAGCAACATGGCGCACTCGATTTTCCCTGTGATGCCTTCTAAGGCACCATATGTTGAAAAGAACTTCTCAGAGAATGCACACATCCCTTTTTGAATCAATGCTCTCGTGGTACCTTTTTTTTTGTCCTCATCTGCTTACATGCCTTTGGTAAACTTTCTCTACGACTCACTCATCAGTTGGCATCACAAACCTCACAATGATTTAACAAGTATAAGGTTGTATTATCAGGAACCTAAATGATTTGTTTGCTTTTAATGTCACTTTATTATTCAGCACACTTGCACTAAGGCAAATTCTGGCAATTCAGTAGACCGCAATGGCTACAGTGTTGAAGTGCTAACAAACACTGCTTAAGTACTAAGGAAGCAAAGCAGTGCAGCTGAACACATAGGCACAAAAGTCAAAACTTAAGGTGGGTTGTGCAGCACAGTGTGGTTTTGGGATGTTAAACTCCTCAATTTAATCAAACCACTCTCAGAGGCAATGTTCCATCACAAACACAAAGATAGCACTGATGCAGCTTAAAATAACTAGCCCAAAGGCACACTTCTGGCTAATTTTCAATGTGTATACATAAAAGGACCGAAAGTTAAGATAAGTTGATGGGGATTCATCATGAAAGAAGATAAAGCTTGTAGATACAGATGCTAGTTGTTTGCTTCTTTTAAGACTGTACCTCCATGCCCTAACTTATTTCACGATGCTCACATACTTTTTAAACATTACTAAACTAAGAACTAGCAAATCAGCTTTTAAATATCTTTCCCTCTGTGGCAGCAGCAAAATGTGATTGAAAAGGTCAACATTTAGTTCAGTTTCTGCATTTGTCCAACTTGTGCAACACCCGAATGGTCAACTTAGTGGAGTTGCGGAGCGGGAATCAAAAATAACAAAATGCTTCTCGCATGTTTATCAGCTCCAAGCTGAAGGACGGCTAGGGATTTCGGTAGTGAAAACTACGCTGCTTGCATCGATGCCCTGAAGCAGCCATGAGGTCAGCACACCGATAATCACCAGTAACAACCACCATTGATTGATATGTGGAGTTTATTGTCCCTATGATTATGAGAGACGCTGCAGTGGAGGGCTCGGGAAATTTCGACCACCTGGGGTTCTTTAACGTGCACTCAAATCTGAGCACACGGGCCTACAGCATTTTCGCCTTAATTGAAAATGCAGCCGCCGCAGCCGGAATTCGATCCCACGACCTGCGGGTCAGCAGCCGAGTACCTTAGCCACTAGACCACCGCGGCAGGGCCTTAACAACCACCAACAAGATACCTCATACTTACAAAGGGTGCAAGAAGTCACTTAAGCAGTTTATCTTTGAAAGTATCATAATTCAGACCGGCATACACACAGTATACTACTGCTTAAATGGAGCAAGTGCTTCAGGCAAGATTGGTTTCGTGCTTGTATACTGCACCCTTGTTCATCTCTTAGTAAACAGGACTCCTGTTAAATAAAACATATTTTTCTAGTCCCTTCAGGTTTTGTTTAATGAGAGGCCACTTTCTGTATCCGAGGTGGATATTTTTTCCATCACTGGTGATGACTGAGGAAATGAAAACGCGAAGCAGTGACCACTAAAGGGACGTAATTTAGAAAAACCAAACAGCTTTTGTTGCTGCCAGCATTTACAAACTATGCGAAAGAGAGTACACTACACCACTATTAGTGGAAAGCATAGCTAAGTGATACAGAATGAACGTCTAAATCCTCAGAACATGCAGGGTGTTAACAGATGCAACACACTCTCTCATCTTTCTACTCCTTTTTCCCATTCCCCCAGTGTCGGGTAGCCAACTGAGCATGTGCCTGGTTAACATCCCTGCCTTCTCTTTTGTTGTCCTTGCTCCCGCCTCCTTTCGGGTACCTTTTATTATTTTATCATTTGTAGGCAATGGACAAAATCTGCCTATTTGGTGTCTCGATAAGTTTTTCTTTCCCATTCACGCCCTTTCTCTGATTCATGCTCTTTCTCTGTGTGTCTTCTTGTGGTATTTTAGGTGTTGAAGCTCTTTCTCTGAGTGTCTTTCTTCTTGTGGTGTTTTAGTTGTCTAAAAGATTCCCTCAGTTTTATTTCACACTTTGGATCCACTTAATTATTTAATAATTAAGTATTCTTAAGCAATATATGAATATGTCCTGTGTGTTTGTTTACCATGTTGTTTTCTTTATGTCCTACATTTATCTCATCACTATCATGCTTTTCACATTTTTTGGGAGTCAGCTTTTGCTTGATGTTAAAGTGTACAGTGTGCATACCTTCTTGAATATTCAATTATTTTAAAGAAATAACATTCTTTTGCATTTTTTTCATATAGAACCATCTTCAGTTGCTAGTAATTGCATGATGGGTAGGTATTACTAGCCTTTTAAAAGGACCCTGAAACTGCTTTGGCCTTTTTGTACAAATACCTTAGGCCGGTAGAGCAAGTCCCAAGGGTTATTTGGAGACCAATTTGAGTGTATGCTAGGTCTATGGCACAAATAAATAACAATGTACTACATCTTTATCGTTTTGCAGCTTTGTAGGACCCAGCAGACACCTTCAAAATCCGATGTCATGAGACGGAGATCTCGAAGTGGCATCTCCACTCGCATTTTCTTTTTGCACGTTTTCTCGCTTACTAAGAGTCCCCTTGGGGTAAGGGAGATGTTTTCGGGATTTTGAAATTGTACTTCATTAATGCGTGAAAAAATTGTTTTTATCTCCCGTGTCCCTCTGAGGAAAGCTAAACGCCGTTACATTTTCAGCTGCTATATTGCAGTATTATATATAGAATATCACAAACACTCCTGAATGTTTTCCAGAATGACAGCACCTAGATGTTTCAATTTCAATGTAATGATCTTATCCTGCATGCTGGAACACACTTATATAAACTGACTGCAAAGGGTAAGTTTGCACAATTATAAAGCAGATATCAGAAGTTTGAGTCTGATGATATAGAGGCATTTAACAAACTTATCCACAATCAAACTTATCCACAGGGGCATTTATTATTTAATCAAGCTTATTATTTAATTTATTAATATTTAATCAAATCATTATTTATTATTTATTATTATTTAATCAAATTTATTATTTAATCAAACTTATCCACAAGGGCATTTAACAGCAGAGAATAATGCTGAATCGAATTACCAAACAATGAATACCGATTTTTGTGCAAAGTGTTGAGCTGCAGCACAAGCTGAAAACACCTTGGGCTATTCTACAGCTGTGCAAATTTGTGCAAATACTTATGGCACAGGATGAGGTCACAAAAATGACATAAAAGAGGCACAGATTTCAAACACATTCACTGCGGACTTTTGTGCTTTTTAGAAGAGGCGGGTGTCAGCTATAAATTTACACAGTACAGAGATCAACAGAAGGTGACATTGGTGCCAATTAACGCAGGCAACTTCAAAAAAGTTGGTTGTTGTCGTTGAATCCTAAGAGGAAAAAAAGTATACGGGTGAGTGTCCCCTAACATCTGCTTGACAGGATCTAAAGGCCTGACCCCAGGTACCCGTCCCAGCGCGAGGTTTTTTGAGGAAGCGCAGCGCCCTCTCCCTAAGAGAGTGGGAGTGTGGCTGCGCGAAGTCGCTCGCTCGCTCTCTCAATATCGAAAAGGGCTCGACACCGCGTCAAAAAGACATGCGCCGACGCGCTGTGACGGATACGTGGGGTCAGGCCTCAAGTATGTGCTTGTTGGTGGTGGTGAAGCGTGTGAAGTGAACACGAGTAGCGCACGTGAAGGCCTGCGTACGATGCGCATCGTCCCGTCATTTTTCTTGTGTGTCACGCGTTTGTACGAAAACGTGTGTCATCATCATAGGTCAGCACTTTGAGAGACTACTCACTCACCACAATTTTTTCAGCCTTCACCCTCACTCACGTTCATACTCACGTCTACTCCCACTAATAGACCCTCACTCACGTTCATACGTTCATACTCACGCCTACTCACTCCCTCACGTTCATACTCACGCCTACTCACACTAACTCCTACTCACTCATGTTCATACTCACTCCTTCTCACACTCAAAGTACTCGCTCACGTTCATACCCACTCCTTGTCACACTCAGAGTACTCACTCACATTCATACTCACTCCTACTCACACTCATGAGTGCTCACCCACGTTAAACTCACTTCTACTCACACTGAAAGTACTCATTCACGTTCATACTCACTCTTACTCATACTCATGAGTACTCACTCACGTTCAAACTTATGCCAACTCATACTCTAGGCCCTCACTCACGTTCACACTCACAACTACTCACACTGATGAGTACTCACTCATTTCATACTCACGACTACTCACACTTGTGAGTACTCAATCACGTTCACACTCACGCCAGCTAGCACTCATAGGCCCTCACTCACATTCATACTCACGACTACTCACACTGATGAGTACTCACTCATGTTCATACTCACGCCTACTCACAGTCACTCACGTTCATACTCACGCCTACTCACAGTCACTCACGTTCGTACTCACGCCTACTCACACTCATTGTTCATGGCTCACGTTCATACTCACGACTACTCACACTCTTAGAGAAACACGGACTGCTGGGCTTCATATTAACTGAGGTGCGCGAAAAATTGAAGTACAAAAGAAAGACACCTCGAGACAGCGCGCCGTGTCCAGGTGTCTCCTTTTTGTACTTCAATTTTTCATGCACCTCAATTAAGACTTATAGTTACTCACTCACCTTCATACTCACACCTGCTCAAGATCATAAGCCCTCACTCACCTCTGCACTCACATAAGAAGTCACCTTCATACTTACGCCTACCCATACTCAGGCGCACTCACCCACAAACTTTTACATTCACATACTCATCATCATCACAGCAGGACAAAGGCCTCTCCCCTGTTCCGCCAGTCTACTCTGTCCTTTGCTTGCTGTTGCCACTTCATACCCGCAAACTTCCTAATCTCATCTGCCTACCAAACTTTGTCTCCCCTTTTCCCGCTTTCCTTCTCTTGGAATCTACAAAATAACCGGCAGAAAACAAAAGTAATGAACAACAACCTCGAAAGAAAACAGCACTTCGAAATAGGTGGCAGTGCACTTGAAGTTGGAAAAGGTATATTTGTCTACTTAAGACAGGTAGTACCTGCGGAGCCGAGCCACGAGACTGAAGTAACTAAAAGAAAGGAGTGGGGTGGAGAAGATTCGGCAAGCATTCTCAGCTCATGGCTGGTAGATTGACACTATCTCCTTAAGACGAAGGTAACTAACAGCTGCATCTTGCCGGCACTTACCTACTGAGCAGAAACCTGGAGGCTTACAAAAAGAGTTCAGCTTAAATTGAGGACGATGCAGAGAGCGATGGAAAGAAAAATAGTAGTTGTAACCTTAAGAGTCAAAAAGAGAGCAGAGTGAATCAGGGAACAAACCGTGGTTAAGGATATCATAGTTGAAATGAAGAAGAAGAAATGGACATGGGCCGGGCATGTAGCGCATAGGCAGGATAACAGCTGGTCATTAAGCATAACTGACCGGATTTCCAGAGAAAGCAAACGGGTTAGGGGGAGACAGTAAGTTAGGTGGGCAGATGAGATTAGGAAGTTCGCGGGTACATAATGGCAGCAGCCAGCACAGGACAGAGCTGAGTGGCGGATCATGGGAGAGGACTTTGTCCTGCAGTGGACGTTGTCAGGCCGATGATCAATATTAACATTGAGGTTGCGTTACGTGTACTCAGGTTATTCAAGAAACAATCGAGCTCAACAATTGTCGGTTTCTTTTAGGGTCGGTAGGTTCCACAAACAGGCAATTACTCAGCGCAATTACGCCGCACCTGCATATTCATTTGTGTGCCATGACGCGTAGGAGACGCTGAGACATTGTTTAGAATCTCAGTAATGTGTTACAAGCACTCAAAACGCGCTTTCGTAGGCTACGACACACGCACGCGAAATAGAGACGCTCTCGACAGCTTCAGTATACTACACGGCCGCCACTATGATTACCCGCCAGAACCCAAGGCGTTGCCTTGCCATCCGGCTTGGCCGCTTCGTTCGTTCCACTGCCCCTAGCCCCTTCTGACTGCACTAGCGGAACAGGCGGGCGCCGGCGCCTCGCCCCCACGTCAGCGCCGCGGCCACCCCGGCCGCCCGGCCACTGGTAGGTGTTCTGTGGCCCGGCGCGACCGTCGAGACGGCGCCTCCCCTCTCTGCCTCGCCTTCAGATGGAATGCGTTGCGTACGGCAGTTTTGCATTCGAGAAATTGTGCGCATCTTCATAAATGTTTTTCGTCCTCTGTGGGTCGCGCTTACGCGGAGACTTCGTTGGCTCCGTGCCCGCACTGACGATTTCAGGGGGCCTTATTTATGGATCTGCGGACGCGGTTAAGGTTCATTGGCAGTGTGCGTACGCAGGGTCATCGCGGACAGCCGAATGAAAAGGTAATTAACGAGTTGCATTATGTGTGTTTTTGTACAAGCCCGCGTTATGTGAATGATAGAATATATTATCAAGGGTGATTGGGCGCTTATTGCACATTGTGTCTGCACTGTTGAAGGTATAAGCCGCCAAAAAGTGAAGCGAGGGTACAGATTGAAACGGCGATGCAAACAGAGTCCGATTACGCTATCGCATACTATATTATTGACGACGAAGCTCAACCGTCCTCCAAGCTTTCTTTTTTTTTTTTTTTCTTAATGGGGCACTGAGAAGGCGAAGTTTGCACACAGCTTCGTGCTTGAGAGGTCATGAGATCACTTGAGGTTTTCGTTCAAGGCAACCTTCATTGAGGGACAACGCAGAGGTAGAAACTGCAAAATCGCTGCACACAATGTGCTTTCTCTCGTGGGCCATTTCAGCATTTTTTTTTTGTCGCTTGCGCAGTGGATTTCTTTTTTCTGAACCGGCTCGCGCGGCGATTTTCGTTAAAGGGCTTTTCATGACCTTGTTGTTTTACAAGTATTATCAGCGTGTTGCGTAGACTGAAGGCACAAAAGGTAAGTGCCGCAAGAACGGTAGCTATAGAGACAGGCAGCTCAAAGTTATTCAGCCTAGAAAATTCAAATTACAATAAAATGGACGGCTACTCTAAACTCCAGTTTTGCGCGGTCATCTCGCCCCCCCCCCCCCATCTGATGTAGGATGGCTCCCCCAGTTTCCAAACTAACTGAAGGCTTTTACGTACAGGAAGCTTGCATGCCATAGTGCCCGTTATTTCTAACGTATTGAGGACGCCGTTGCGATGGTTACAAATATTTATCACACTCATAGTAACTCACTCATGTTCCTACTCGTTGCTACTCACACTCACAGCAACTCACTCACCTTCGCAGTCAAGTCTACTCACACTCATGAGTACTCACTCACGTTCGTACTTACTCCTACTCACATTCATGAGCTCTCACTCACTCCTAATCACACTCATGAATACTCACTCACGTTCATACTAACGAATACTCACACTCATCAGTACTCACTCATGTTCAAACTCCTACTCTCACTCATCAGTACTCACTCACGTTCATACTCTCTCCTTTTCACACTCAGAGTACTCACTCATGTTCATGCTCACTCCTCACACTCACAAGCTCTCACTCATTCCTACTCACACTGATGAATACTCACTCATGTTCATACTCACGGATACTCACACTGATGAGTACTCACTTACGTGCAAATTCACATCTACTCACACTGATGAGTACTCACTCACGTTCATACTCACTCATACTCACCCTCAAAGTACTCACTCACGTTCATACTCACACTTACTCACACTCACAATACTCACTCTCGTTCATACTCATTTCCGGAGCCCTCCACTACGGCGTCTCTCATAATCATATGGTGGTTTTGGGACGTTAAACCCCACATATCAATCAATCAATCGTTCATACTCCATTCTACTCATGCTTAGAGTACTCACTCACATTCATACTCACTTATACTCACACTCAGAGTAGTCACTCACGTTTATACTCACTCCTATTCACACTCAGAATACTCATTCACGTTCATACTCACTCCTACTCACACTCATGAGCACCCACTCACGTTCATACTCACTTCTACTCACACTGAAAGTACTCATTCACGTCCATACTCACTCTTACTTATACTCATGAGTACTCACTCACGTTCTACTCACTCCTACTCATACTCATCAGTACTCACTCATACTCACACTCACCATGTTCAATGAGTATGAATGAGTGTGAGTGAGTGTACTCATGAGTGAGTATGCCGAGCTATGGTCATCATGAAAAGGTGTGTCACACGTTTTAATGATGTCATTGACTGTAGTGACGAGATAATCTAGCTTGGCGAAAACAGGGCGTTCTGATCAGTAAGCGACTGACAGGGCAAGTTCATAACACTCTGGTAACTGCAGCGCATAAACTAACGCGTTGTACACTGTGTTTTTCAGGCTCACGGAAAACATCCAATTCGTTATCCCAAATTCCTTCTCACGTTAGGTCTTTCTAACGAAACAGTTGCAAGCTTGCGCGACTTCATGTACGGAAGAGAAAACGTCACACTTTACAGGCGGTGTCAAGTTTGTGCGCCGGTGGCGAGAGAGCGAACCCATTTGCGGGTTGCGGCATGAGTGGTGCCAAGCGAAGCGCTCCTGCGTTTTGCTTGGCACCACGCACAAGGTTTCAGGCATCGAAGGACCAACGCATTGGCACGACACGACTGCGAGTCTCGACGCATTAAACGCCAATTCGCCCGAACATTCAGACCGCTGCCGGAAAGGGAAACATTTCGAAGAAAACAAGCTTTGGCGCACCTGTTCTCAATGCGAAAATGTCATTACAACGTGTAAACTATTCAATACGAGTCCACCTGTAGCTTTTACTGTAGCGGGAGAGCTCGCTCTGAAAGTACGCTCATGTTTTGGCTTTAAAAATTATTATAACAAAAACACGATACAAGCTAGGTGTAAATGAAAACAGCACGAGAAACACAAAAGAGAAAAACGGAAAAACGGGGTAATGAGGCGTCAACATCCCGCGGAGTTTCATATTTGCCGTGAGAACAAACTCTACGGGCGAAAGCACTACGCAAGCGTGAGAAATTACCTGTTGCCATGCTTTTTTTTTTTTTCTCGGTGGCCGCTGCGGAGCTGTTTCTTTTGATTATCGCACACAATTACACATATGAAGTACGAAGGAGAATACGTTGACACGTCAATTAGGCCAAGGCAGGCGGGGTGAATGAGCCAAAGCTCGGGAAACTCAAGGCTCCACGGCTGCAACAAACTACTCCGTAGCAAAAATAGAAAAATTATCGAGCAGAAACTGGTAGGTGTTCTGTGGCAGAACCGGCCGGTAGTGAAGACGACCAAAACTGCGGATTGGCTTGGATGGAAATGAACCGTCGAGAGAGTGGAAAGTGGACGACGCAAACAAAGCTACGTGTCCGTGCAGATGTCGCTGGCTGCCGGCATTCGCTCCGTAGAGTTTCTCACAAGCATATTTGTAAGAAACTTAATGATTCACTCAGACTAATGCCTCTTCTAGCGGAAGCGTTGCTCAGACTCAGACTCACGGCTCGATCTGAGTATAAGTGGGAGTGAGTTCGCCGATTTGTGGTAGCCAGTGGGATGTCTAAAGAATCAAGCCCGCCACCCCCTTCTCGAAACTTATTGATTTGACCTGTGTACACAGAAAGTGTACAATTAGGTCAGTTAGTAATTAATGATCGACGCCTACATACAGACATACGGAACATGCATGAATATTGACCTCCCCCACCCCCTCTCTGTTTGTTTGCAGTGCCGCAACCGCATACGCAAGTTTGCATCCAGCGGCCATGGCAGTACGCGCACTTTATGTTTTACAGTCACTGTTAGCGTTTCCGCAGTCACCACTTTGAGAAGTGAACGTGTTTTCGAAAATTAAGCCATCAGCGCCAGTGGTTGATTGGTGATTCGTTTTGCACATAAAGTTGGCTTTTCGACATCGCTTATTTTAGTACTTTATTACCTCTAGCGGCGAAAGGCTGCACTATAGCAGCCATGGAGAGAAGAACGCCAGCAAACATGCTTTTGCTTAGCACGACAGGCTGGTCGAGGGCAGATCTGTGTTGGTGTACACAGGAGCTGCCGAAGCACCTGTCAGCTGGAGCAGCTGCCGGTGACTTTTTCCCCAAGAGCGATTGTCTTCCTGGGTCAACAGCTTATCCATCAACACCAGTGCTCTAGATTACACAGCGGGAGAGCAAATAAAGGAAGCGCTCGAGCTCGTTGAGTGTCTCCTTGCGCATTCGCCGTCAAGCTGTGCAGGTGAGTGCGCTTTTTTGTTGCCTGTAAATCGTTCGTTATCTTTACCGATTCAGAGCTTCTCAATCGCCGCTGGTAATCTGCTAATTATTAAAGCTCATAGAACTCTAGCCTAGACCGTCAAACGGCGTTAGTGAGCGTTGCAACAGTGCAGTCACATGGAATTAGAATTAACCACGCGAAAGCATGTATTTGAAATATGACTCTAGCCTGTTTTCGTCTTCCCCTCCGTCTGAAAAAGCGACAGCGTGCAGATTGTATGATGGCACACAAGGCATTCCGGTACCCTAGTTGTGTCACTGCGCATATGGCACAGAGTATACACGCAACAATATAATCTCAACGCAGTCGTTATACAGAGTACGATGTAGCCAGTAGAAATTGAGCATTACAAAACTGGCAGTGTACTTAGCAAAAGATAAGCTCCTTCACAGCTGCGGTTTCAAGCTTTCGTTGTTGGATTTTGAGCTCATCATAATGAAACTATGCGGCGCTTGAAGTCTATTTATGAGGGATGGTGCTTGTTGACAATGTAACGATGAGTGTTTGTTTCTTCATCCCTCATTTTTCAGGAACACGACCGACAAAAGAAAAAAAAGCAACACTTCTCGCGGCCTTCGAATAGTCATTTTTCACTCTTTTTACGGCCTGCCTTCAGGCGAAGACTATGGGAAGCAAGAACCGTCAGCCATTGTACCAAGATGTAAATGGCATCCGTCTTCCACACGGCTTCGACCCAGCCAAGCTGCTCTCCTGCTTGGAATACAAGGCTTCCGCTGGCGACATATTCATCGACACCTTCCCGAAATGTGGCACGAACTGGACAAAGCGTATCGTTCAACTTCTCGTTGGTGAGAACTCCAGTCAAGAGAGCGACTATGGCCTGTCCACCTCCTTCTTCGAGATGGTTGGCAGGGAGACCATAGCAGCTTTACCAGAGCCCAGGATAATCACTTCTCACCTTGCTTACGAGCTGCTCCCGAAGCACGCACAGGCGAAGTACATATATGTTGTGAGGAACCCCAAAGACTGTTGCGTTTCCTACTTCCACCACACGAAGAAGACAAAGGTTTATAACTTTGAGGATGGCACTTTTGACGAGTACTTGCAGCTCTTCATAAATGGAGCTACAAGTTTCGGGGACTACTTTGCTCACCTTGTCTCTTGGTACCCACGTGTTAATGAGCCAAATGTTCTTTTCTTAACCTATGAGAACATGAAGAAGGACCCCGCAGCTGCTGTACTCAAGATTGCCCAGTTTATTGATGTTAAAGATCCTGAGCTACTCTCTGTTGACTCCAAGAAATTGCAGGAAGTAGTCAAAAACAGCAGTGTTGATTGCATGAAGGAGTACTTAAACACGAACTACAAGAAGGCCCTAGGGGACCAGGATCCAGAAAATTGGACAGCTAAAAAGGACTACCCTTTGAGCAGGCCACCACCGCCTCCGGAAGTTATGGTACGTAAGGGCATCATTGGTGACTGGAAAAATTACTTTAATAAGGAGCAGTCGCAAGCCATTCAAAATGCTTTTGTACAGAAATGTGGTCATGTTGTGGATCATGCAAAACTCTGGGATCCAAAAGATTGGATGGAAGGAGCTTGACACTCCTGCAAAAAAATAAAAAACAAGTTAAGGTATTATGGGGGCCTTCTGGGTAATGGGAAAGTAATGGGACCAATGTATGTTATGTACTATGGCATTTCTGTATAGGTGTGCTCTTCTCGTTGACAGGGACGTGAAGCTCGTAAGGATGCAGAATGGCCAACTGGGCTAGATGGCTGGCTTGATGTGCTAAAATAGCTTTGTTGAAGGTGCCAGGTTATAGAAGTGCTATAGTGGTAGTCGTTAGCATCCCACGTGCGCATTACACTCTGAGAATATGCATGGGCATTTTCACATAGCAATATTATGCATGAGTATTACCTCAGGGGCAGTTGATGGGCTTTGAGAAACATGATCTTTATTTATGTTTATGCAATATAGTGCCAAGCATAAGCGTGTGTAAGGTTCCCCTTTAGAGGCAGTGAAGGTTCATCGCAGCGCACCCCTTCTATTATGCCAATGTAAAAGGCAAACTTTGCCACCCCCCCCCCCCCTAGAGGACTTAGGTGTGCACGCCTATGGTGCCAAGTGCTTTGATACTCACCACTGGCTGGGGCCTTTTGTTCCTACTTTACACAAAACTTTAAGAGGTCTGCCCATTAGTTAGGACATGATAAACAAGGTCTGATATGATAAACAAGGTAAAAATGCAAGCTCTGTATGTTTCTGAGCTTAGAAGAGCATATGTACTTAGGGCCAACACTAGTGGTGCATTTTTGAACAAACTGTTATCAAATACTCAGATGATCAAGACTGACATTTCAAGTTTCGTGCATTCATTGCATTTCACTGCCGCTTCTGATTGCGCAGACGCTCTTTTACATAGCTACTGCTGTGGTAGCCATATTACTATGGGAGCAAAGTCAGAGAAGTGCCATGTAGTTAGATTTAAGTGCATGTTAAGGTCAAGGCGAATGTAATGACTTGACACTGAAGCATCCTGTATTAAAGTGGTACATAAAACCTCAGCCTAAAATTTTTTATGGCTACAGCTATGTTTGTGTACATGCTGGATATGTCAATTGCGTATTGTTTGAAAATGTGGCCTTTTCCACAGATGCACCAATTTGTGCCCTTGCTACCACAAAGCTTCATATTTTGCCGTCACTGGGAAAGACATTTTATTGTGAGAAAGCAGGATATGTGGAGAACAGTACTTTTTATTATGGCTAATTGTGCAGTTCTCAAATTTTCATGTGCAAGAAAAAAATTAACATAATGTTTTATAATTGCCTGTGTTGTTACAACGCTTTGAAATGCAGAATTTATTGCATATCACTTAAACAATTTTTGTTCTTTATATCTTACTGTGAGGCATTTGTTATATGTGGTGAATGCGTGTACTAATGTGATGGAAGTTTCAGGAAGTTACATGTGAAAGTGATGTTCCTAAACACTTTATACACTACATCTTTATGTCACATTTTATCTACATTTTTATGTGAAAGAGAATAAAGGTGCATTTCTTACTTAGTGTCCTTCCATTTGTCTTATGTGAACAACTTTTTAAAATAAACAGTAGCATCTCAAACTGCCCTAGTGAACTGCAGTATCCCAAATCTTTGCTTTTCATAGTGATATTTATTGAGCTCAGTTGTTGAGTGTGTGTTCAAAGTGTTGTGCAGGTAGTTGTACGGCAGTTAGAAACCACAATAACGGCATTCTTTGTAATATTTTTGCCTTCTCGTGGCTGTAGTGAGTCTACATAAAAGGCAAATGCAGTAAATTGTGCCTTCATTACAGTTGTTCTTTTGCCCACGTGCTCTGAAATCAGTACCAGCCTCATCTACTTTGCAGTTATTACGCACTGCCTTAGACTGCGTAAAACGCACTAAAGTCAAATAACAATTTATGTGAGAGAAAAAGCTCAATGTATGACAACGTCTAAAACGACAATATTAGCACCAGTAGTGCCCTACTTACCGAGAAGTAAAGGTAAATGCACGTGAACGAATACGCCTCATCAGGACGTTCGCAAAATAATCCCGATGACGTCAGACAAGCTGCCTACAGTTAATCATTAGTAATCGATCTAGCTGCACAAAATAATTAACCTTCTGTGCATCAAGAGACGTAATAAAATGCTGCTTGTTCGTTTCTGTTTGATCCTCGAAAAAAAAAAAAAAAACAGGACATCACTATGGGGAATGGCGGAAGTGGTTCAAAAATTAAATTTCCCCTGGTTAAACTGGACAGGTCGTGCCCTCTAGAAGATCCCATTTGATCCAAGCACGCATATAATCTTGAAGGCCATTGCTAAATATTCTTCAGTGGCAGTTGTTGCTGACGTGTCTCCCGCTATTTTCCCTCTGCGGCGGCCGCTCATTAAAGCGGGGCAACGTTGTGCACGGCAACAGTGACGTGAGACAATCCGTTGAGGCGGATAATTTGAAGTGCACTAACCTGATACGAACCGCTAAAGCGCTTTTTTATTTCAAAATAAGCACTTCCTTGGTACAAAAGTAACACTACAAGGTTTCTGGACTACTATTTCAACAATCAACGTCGACTTAATAGTTGATCTTAGTGTCCCTTCAAGATTATCTCATTTCAGTTGGACCATAGTTTCTGAAAATGTGTTGGCACACTCAGTGGGCCTTAGTATTCACGTCTGAGTATTTATTATGTGTTTCGCAGCACTTCACAATTTCCTGGAATTAAAACAGGAAACGAATATTTTTACCAAAACCATGATATCTTGGTCATCGAAAGACACATTATTTGTTGCCAAAGTATGCAATGTAGCACTTGCCTTTGCATTCATTTTGATTTCCACATCTGAGCAGGGTGACTAGAATTTTTGCCACCCTAATCTGGGCACTGATGTTACCCCATATTTGGTGTGTAACACGGAGAAAGGAAAGGTAGGAGAGGCCCTGACGTCACTCGCTGTGAAGCCGTGATGAAGCCGGAAGTCGTCCATATTGACTGGGCGAATTCTCCTCTCTTGTTTACATCAGAATGTAAAGCAGAAAGCACGACTCTCTCCACGGCTCGGAAAGCACGTGAGCTGCGCAGCGCGTGTGTCGTGATGATCCGAAACTAATGGAATTGGGCTCAACACTCTGGGCCAGCGTGACACCTTCGGCGAAATCATTTCGTCCGAGTATTCAAGGGCGAGTAACAGCTCATCGACAACGAGGCAAATACAAGAAAACGCGCGCTAGATGCACTGACAACGGCGAGTGTTTTCACGTCATTAATTCAGCAACTGTACAGACAACACGATCGGTCGTGCACCTTCTACGGTTGCATTACGCCACGCGGCCGATGCAGCGTCCGGCCACTGTGTCCGTGTTCCGCGTGAAACTCACCAGCGTCAGCATTCTGCGACCGTGGTGACTTTGAGCACGGTGCTGGTGACTCTTGAACGTGGTTGCTGTTACGTTGAGATTACATGGAATTCTGGTGGAGAGTGTACGAAGCGGAACAGAAGAGGTGTTTTAATGCGCACATGCAAGTTGTTACTGTACAGACACAACACGAAACTACGTATGTGCACATGGTCCTCATTGCGTCTTGCTGGGCTCAACAGCGTCGTCCGTTGTCACAAGCAGGAGCACTGCCCAACCGTCACTGACCTCCAAGGCGTTCGTCATCGTTCCGCTTCGTCATGGTGCCCAACGCAATTTCGCTGAACACTAATTGCTTCAGCCGCGTCATCCGCCGCACGACACATGGATATGCACTCGTTCTACGCACTGTTGAAACCCCGTAATGGACAAAAGGATTTGTAAACGTTGCTAGAAGTACAGTAACTGCCAGGAGAACACTGCGTAACCAATAACGCGTCGCAGAGCACGGATATTGTCCACCACGACTCAGCACGAGACCTGGCGAGGCACACATGCCGCCGCCAGCCGCGGCCGCTCCCTGCTAGACCAGCTCCACTACATAGCACGTAACCATAGCAACGCCGCCATTGTGCCCCATGAATATGGCCGCCATGATGTCATTTCCTCCCCACTTTTCACGTAGCGCACCGACTGGGCATGCCCTCTCCTACCTTTCTTTCCTCCGTGGGGTGTACTGTCAAATAATGGTTCATTTTATGGCACAATCAGAATAACACAACCACACTCCTCCTTTACCCTGAGAAGGTTTCTATTCGGGATTGTTTTCTTGTGCTGTTGGTGCATATATTGTAGAGAGAGCATAATGCTAATATTTAAATATACAAACACATACGAAACCTGAGACAGAATGGGACTTTTAGTGAAATGAACATCATTATGTTTGAATGAATACATGCCATTTCCCGCTCAAAGGAGGGGAGGTCGCTTGTGTTGAAGGGCGCCTCACCAGCTTTGGACCTCGCAAACGAAGAAGTGTGACGTGAAACTTGGTTGGTTTTAACGATTTCCGCAAAGTACGATACCTATGATGAGTGCGAGTTTGGAATGCAAAGAATAAACCTGCGCGCTATCCATCTCGAAATTTATTCATACGCATTCTTATGCGTAATGGGCGTTCCTATATACATAGGCTTTCCCAAATTTCTTTATAGGGATCTCTGGCGCTAGTGTGTATGGGAGCAGAAACGCATGACACTTCAGCGAGGGTGGGAATTATGGGTATTGCATAGATTTGCCTAGTCTTCATACTTGACGTTCCTTCTGGCTTCGCGTGGCTTGAAGATCCTTTGTGACGAAACAATAATCGGCAAATGTTCGGCAGTTACGCTTCACCTTTTAGGATCACCATTTCGAATCATCTCACGAAGTTCAAAACGGCTTGTTCTTTCATTCGAAACTAAACCGAAAGACAGCAATTAACGAAGCCACAAGTTGCGATTCGCCGCCCGCAAGCACGAAGACTAGACAAATTCGTGTACTACCCATCATTCCCATGGTCGCTGAACGATCGCAGCGCCAGAGTCTCCTCTAGTTAGCGTTAGGAAGCTCTATGGCTATATACGTCACACCGTGAATTTGGTTCTTCATCTAATGAGGAGCGCGCAATGCCAATACGGAGAATGTCGCAGAGCAATGTATAAAGCCCGGCCCCAGAAAAAAAAAAGTATGGCAGCTTCACTGCTCTGAAACTCGAGAATGCGTCGCACGGGCACTGAATGATGCCCGTTCGTAGGGTTCACACTTGAAAATTTTCGGAGGGGAGAGTGTTGAAGGCCCCCTCCTCTGGCCACCGGTGGGATGGGGGGTTCAGAACATCCGGATCCCTCTCATCCTCACTGGACTAACTTGCACTTAACGAAACTCCCTGCAGTTGGGTTTGTCGCGTACTGACGTGCCGGGCAGCGACGATGATGAGGTCGGTGGAGGGGAGAGCAGTGCGAGTTGTTTAGAATTACCATTCATTTATTCATTTCAATTAATAGTTAATTACGTACTTTATTCGTCGGTCACCTTATGATTGCCCGTTCCTCTATTCCCTGGATGCTGAATAATCATTTTCTTCATCAAAATTTGTAATTCCTTTTTCCCCATTACAATAACCCCTGGTTTGATGGTCAATCCCCTGTAGTGGGTACGAACCAAAGCATGTAGGAAGAAACAAGCAAGCGCATGGGCTTCAAAATAATGAGTTGGTTTTAACTTTCTGTGTAGCAGCATCCTTTTTCTTCTGCCTGTCCGCTACAGTGGTGACTACAAACCATAAAACACTACGTTTCAGAAGTTTCTGCCGGGTTGCTAATGAAGACTATAGACACAACCGAGTCCACGCTTCCGTCAATGGGCCACTGCGCATGCAGTGCGGCTACCTCAGTTCTGGCCTGAGCATCCGGACATTTGGTTTATGCTAGTAGAGTTTATGCATTCAGGTATCTAATATTACCTCACAGCAAGCAAAAAAAAAAAGGAGAAAAAAATCTCTGCCGTGGGGATCTAGTGGTTAAGGTACTCGGCTGCTGATCCGTAGGTCGCGGGATCGAATTGCGGCGGCTGCCTTTTCGATGGAGGCGAAAATGCTGTAGGTCCGTGGGCTCGTATTCGAATTCACGGCAGAGAACCTGAGGTGGTCGAAATTTCCGGAGCCTTTCACAGCGGCGTCTCTCATAATCATGGTAATTTTGAGACGTTAAACCCCCACATTTCAATCAATCATCGCAGTAAGCAAAGTACGGTCACTGACTCGGTGCTTTGCCCGGCGATTTTCTACAGTCGTGCATTTCCTCTGTACTCCTCGGTGAGCATCACGCATGAAGGGAGGAAAGAACCTGCCCATCCCTCGCACTGGGAAAAAAATGTAGAGGAAATGACGTTTTAGCGGCCATGTTGGCGGCGTTGCTATGGTTACGTCACTTACGTGGCGTGCCATTGCTGTGGCGGTGTTGGTATGCCCAGATCGATGCTATTTATACTTCAGGTACCACAATGGTATAATCATGATAACTGGCGTTAGTCGTCGGGATGGGGATATGCCAATCAAAAAAAATAAGAATAATGTAGGTGCGTCCACATTAGACGGTGCTATAACCGCCAAACATCAGGAGACATTGTGCAAGCTTTATCAATGGACAATAAACGTTGAGCTATCTTCGTAAAGACGCATTTCACTTTAATGTTATACCGATTGCCTTGATGGGGGATCAACTTTGTTTCGTTTTTTTCGCTTGGACTTTCAGAATTTCCCTTATTTTCAAGCGTAATTTCCAAACTCCTGCCCAACTTCTCACACTTGGACTAGTGCTGTATACTGGATTATTTTGAGGGGGAGGGGGTCTTCTACCTACATAAATCTGATACCTTTCGCTGAGTTTATGGTGTATACAACTTGATAGGTCCTCTTCTTCGACGTGTTCGCAAAAAAATTAAGTGGTGAGTGGGGCAAGACATCCGGACACCCACTTATTTTGGAATATGCCGTCAACTTGGATTTATACTTACCAAGTTTCTCTCCAAGCTCCACTTTATATGGCTGTCTCACCAAATTTCTCAGTCGCGCCCACTCGTACTCACATTCGCCGAAATTCCGCTCGCTCGGACTCGCGGGCGCGCCCAAGTGTGGGTGTGGTCTGATGCGTGAGTCTGCCGAACCATGACCAGCAGTCGGTGACATTTTAATGGTACTATGCGAAGCGCTCCGTGCGAGTTGATGAGTTTTTAAATAGCGTTTCGTTCATGCATATACGGCTCCAATTGCTGCTGCTTCCTGGAGAAGGCTACCACGTACCCAGCTGCAGGTGATAAATGAACTCGTTTTCAAGTGCAGAAACCGAAAAACTCACAAGTATGATGAAATCGTGCTCATTCTTCGTTTTATTTCCTAGGTTTAATATTACACCAGCGATGGCGATATCACAAATCTCGCGGAGCGGGCTCCTGCAAGGCACATTCGTGATAGATTGTCCCAGCAGAATTGTAGTGTGTTGGTGCAGTCACCACTCAAGACACATCTGACGTTGCTTTCACCAAAAGCTTGTCGCGAATTTCGATTTCAAAAGAGAAAGTAAGCGTGGGCCGAAGAGATCGAGTATTGTTTCTTTTTCACATATTTACCTCCCCTTTTCCCTACACACACGCATTATTTATGTGGCGGATGTACGAATGTAGTATATTTTAGAGATAACTATAGGAAATGATCGGGGGACATGAGGTGTTCAGTATCCGGAGTAAACAGAGAGCGTTCAGGTCTTCCTTCCACCGAGTAGCCAGTCAGTGCTTTCCCACAGCTTTGGGATGTCTGTGCCTGCCACCTCGCGGAAGAATCTCTCCTCCAGTCTCCGTGACTGCTCTGGCGAAAAGTAGTTCCTCCAGTCCCCCACGACGCCCTTCCTCACGAACTGCAGCTCGAACTCTTTCTTCATGCTGCCGACGCTCGACTTCTCCAGAACTGTCCTCATCTTGTCTTCGTCTCGATCCAGTTCGTCGGCAATGCCGGCGTCTACGAAGCGCGTAATCTTCAGCACCGATCTCCGAACGTCCGCGTGCATGCCTTCGTAGGTGAGGAAGAGAACATTGGGCTCGTCCTTCTTGGAGTACCACGAGCGCAGGCTCTCGTAGTAACTGCCGAAGTCGGTGCGACCGTCCAGAAAGATCTCGAAGTATTCGTCAAAGGTGCCGTCCTGGAACCTGTGGGCGGCATTGCGTTATTAAAGGTCAGGCAAACGTGATTACTATAACATCTTCAAATATAAGCGCCAGAATTAAACTGCTAGCCTGGTGGATCTGAATACACCACCTTCGTAAGCGAAAAAAAAAAAAAAACAGCGCGTAACACAGGACAGCGACAGAGACGGACGAAGCGCTGTCCGTTGATCATTTACCAACCGGCCCAAATAAACACATCAGTACACCTTCGTAAGGCCTTGCCACAGAGTAGGGAAAGGGAGAGGCGGAGTGTCAGAGGGTTCGAACGTCATTCCGAACGTTGAAGGACGCTGGCCAAGGTGCAACACGTTTTGAGTCCCACATGGGAGCCTTATCCACGATGAAAACTTCCATGGTGAACACCGTCAAAGTACATGTGCGCCTATCCATTGTACAGACAAGCGGTTGCTTAATCCAATCGATTAAAAAAAAAAGCTTAGCAATGCCCGCGTCGCTTTGCTAACCCCTTCCCGCAATGTTGGGTAACAAACCTGACGCGCCTCTGGTAGACCTTCCTGCTTTTTATTTATTTACTTCCTCCTCCTGCTCCTCCACAGGGATGGGAACAAGGCACCCGTGGTGTAGCCGGAAAGTCAGTAATTATTATTGATTTCGTTTTGGTGTCATTCAATGTTTTCACCAATATTTTATCCCAGTCAAACAAGATTTCGTTACACATTCGTCATCATTCGCTGCCAAACTCAGGGTTAATGTGTACATGTATCGGTGTTCGAAGACAGAAATTGTTTTCGGGTGCGGAGGAGGTTCAACTATCTTGTATGTTTCTGCACGCGTTTGCATGAGTGTGAGTGCTAATATACATTAAAATCTGAAAATTTCTTGGGTGGGGGTGGGAGGGTCAGAGCTTTTTCACTTTCTGGCTACACCAATGATATTAGATACATACGCACGTATGCATGTACACATGAGGGGCTAAAACCAATCCCGAATAAAACCGTCGCCATGCCCCTGCCATATGTAATCATAGTTTGCTCCAATTAACGACACATCTGAGTGATGCAGAGGTGCTCTTCAAGAGAAGTTCACTTATTGGAAGGATAAAAGTAATTAATTGGCTCAGGTTGCACGTTCGATCATCAACGCATAGTATTGCACGCACCAGTAAAAACATAATTTTTTTTCAGGTAGGCATGTTTTCCACAAGAAGCATACACGATCTAATTTTATTGGCTGCGTTTACTGCTGAGCGTGGTTGAGCGTAATTAATCCACACAGTACAGCACATCGTTGACCTGAATTTGTGCGCCTTTCTATGTTGCTCAGTCAACGAAACGGCGTCACCATCTGTCAGACGACCTTAATCCTGCAGTTTCAGCGCTTAACATCATCGTGATAACACCGCAGAAACGCTTGTGACACAGGTGTTTTGGCTACTGCAATAAAAAGCAATAGCTTATGTTACCGAGTTTAATACACACGGAAGCTACAGTATTAATTCATTTCCCGCGGTGCAAGTACTAAGGAAGGAAAGGGAAATTCATAAGGAGGGAGGTTAACTGGAAAAGCACCTGGTTTGATAACCCGACGCTGCTGGAAGGGGAAAGGGGAGTGAGATGAGAGAGAGATAGGGAGAGAGGGGCTAAGTTGCAGGTTCCACTAGAGGTACTGATCAAGCCACGAATATCAGAGCTGAGCTGGTCGGTAGGTATGCATGCTAAATAGACAGAACGTGCAGCTTCAAAATAAGGTGTTAAGAATTTATGAAAAATTTCACCGGGCACCCAGGCCCACTACCCATTGCTACCCTATTCATTAAACATAATATGCTAAAGGTGTCCTAATTACACGATTATAAACTCTCCCTTTATATGCATAAAAACAAGCTTCCAAAACATTAAGAATACACTCGTCATGACTACATCATACGTAACAGGCAACCACCAGTACCCCATACACGCACTAACTACGGTAGAGCTATAGACTATAGTATTGCCTGCCAACTCTTACAATGCCTTAAAATCCAATATAAAATTGAATGCCCCTTTCAGTGTATTCACATCAGATGTGCGTGATTACTTGATGAAGATATAATTTTTTTTTCATGTTGTACCAATGCTCCGATGTTCATTGTACGTGACATTTAGACTTTCTTCGTATTACGCTGTTTGTTTTTGTTGACGGTGTTTACAACTGTGTAGAATGCGCTGCATGTGCTGTCCTTTGTAGGACCCCAGGTCTCGTCAAGCTGTTTGCACAGCTTTTTGCCTTGGGGGCCGCCTACTAATCTGCTGAAAATAAAGTAGATTCTGGATTCTGAACACGGGTACTAAAGCGGTTGAGGCCTGTTATATTGATAATAAAGGTATATAGCGCATGCGTGAGCCAATTGTCCATTGATCTGCATAAAGAAGAAATCAGATGCCTGAACAGTTACCTCTTACGCAACCACCACGCGCGCCAGATCGATAGGTATAACCTCTCGTTTGGGTATGCGCAGAGAAGTTTTTGTGTCTGTATACCTTCTTTTCTTCCGCTGAGCGCATTTTCAGTTGTTTGTCGGCGTCTGTGGGGTCTTGACTTTCCTCTATAACTTCACTGTCCGTGTTTTCACGCCTTCTCTTTTTAACTCAATCAATCTCGTTTTTAGCAGCTCGGTGGGGAACTGCCATAAACACAACGCAATACTACAAGGACGAATGAGTGTTCGTAGGTTATAGAGAAGGCAAGCGAGTTAGGGGTAGACAGAAGGTTAGGTGGGCAGATGAGATTAAGAAGTTTGCGGGTATAAATCGGCAGCAGCAAGCACAGGACCAGGTTAACTGGCGAAACATGGGAGAGGCCTTTGTCCTGCAGTGGACGTAGTCAGGCTGATGATGATGATGATGATGAAGTTATAGAGGTTTCTGTTTCAGTACCGTAGCACTCACTTGTATGCTGGTATGGTTTTGGTGTGGTGGTAGAAAGACACGCAGCAGTCCTTTGGGTTCCTTATCACGTAGATGTACTTGGCCTGGTCCGAAAAGGGCACCAACTGGAACGGCAGGTGCGTGAACACGATCCGGGGTCTGGCGCACTTCTCGATGGCATCGAGTCCGAGTTTCTCCAGGAAGGTGGATCCCGGAGTGACTTCCCGGCACACTTGGTATGCGGCCTTCAGGATGCCCAGCACCCAGTGGGTGCCACACTTGGGGAAAGTGTCCAAGACCACGTCTCCGGGCTCAGGTCGATACCGTAGACCGCTGCGGTACACCTCCTCGGAGAAGCTACCCGGAAGCCTGTGGCCGTCTACGACCTGGCAGTAAGGTCTGTCTCTTTCGATCATCGTAGCCTGTATTCCGTATTTTTCTTCGAGAAAGCGCTAAAAAGCAGGAGAAAAAAGCAAATAAAAAATTTAGCGTGGCTTCAAACTGACTGAAAGCTGTAAGGATACCAATGTAAAGCGGAGCTGAGGGGCCAGATTCACGGGCCTGATGTCGGGAAGGCGGAACCAGCTGCGAAGCTCTCTGCGTCGCTGTGCTAAGCTTCGCGAAAATTCATATACATTCAAAAGCAGCGAACGTTCTATACCCAAGAAACTTTCAGTCACTTCATTTATCAATATATTACAACGGGCGTGCGTGTGTACTGTGTCAGGATAAGGAAGGTCTGTTAACGTTTTCAGGTAAAATGAAGGACCACGAAACATAAAGTTACCTCTTTTAATTTGTCTGTAGCTTAGAAGAATACTTATTTAAGATATTCGGTAAAACAAAAGGAGAAAAGTTTTTAAAATCTGAGGGCGACTCGTTAATTTCCGGCCAATGCTACTAATTGATTGATTGATTGATATGTGGGGTTTAACGTCTCAAAACCACTATATGATTATGAGAGACGCCGTAGTAGAGGGCTCCGGAAATTTAGACCACCTGGGGTTCTTTAACGTGCACCCAAATCTGAGCACACGGGCCTACAACATTTCCGCCTCCATCGGAAATGCAGCCGCCGCAGCCGGGATTCGAACCCGCGCCCTGCGGGTCAGCAGCCGAGTACCTTAGCCACTAAACCACCGCGGCGGGGCAACGGCCTATGCTACTAAGCTACGTCGGTGCACAACCGGAAGCCGTCCAGGGCCTTGTTTGTAAACAGTGAGAGGGTCATATTGTTATGATAGTGCTGAAATTGGAGCTAGTTAGTATGTCTTCATGGTTTAATGCGCTGCGAGGTAGATACACGGAGCGATAAAAACGAGAAATAACACAGGGTGTTGTGAAACCTAAACACTACTCCATTTCGATCATGAACATACCTGTGTACGAGAAAGACAGGAATACGGGGTATTCAGGAATAAAAAACAGCAGATAAAATATCAATAAATAGGTCATATGATAATAACGAACTATGTCACCAACAATGTTTGGAAGAAACGCTGTCATCGCACACGAAACTCGTGACACGAGTCGGTGACATTGTTCCGCACTTCGATAGGCTTTCTTTATTTTTCGTCTACTTCTTTTATCACGGATTCCTTTTATCATATTGTGTTAAAAATGCATATCTTTTCTTTTGTCCATTTTGTCTACAGGTACAAAATCCGCCGAAAATATTCCTCCCCTTCCCCGCTTTCGCCCCCCCTGGAAACGCGTGGGCTAGAGGCATAGAAATGTGGTTGATTCCTTCGTCATGTCCATAACGCGGAAGTGAATCGTAACCTAAGTAAAACGTGTCCGAAAGTAAAAAAAAAAAGCAGTAGAAGGGTTACGGCACACTGATATAGGAAAACTTGCGCCGTGTCCGAGAGGATAGCGTATAGGCCCCATGCTGAAGTGGCGAAAAAAGTTTCAATTATGAAACCTTTTTTTTTTCTTGAAGTTCTTCTTCGCCATGCGATCGTTTGCAGTCTTTTTCCGTCATTTTCGTGATGGAAATGCACAGCTGAAGTCTTGTTGGACCCTGGCATTGAACACTTTTGTGTTAATAAGTCATTCGCTGTATAAACACAAGCGCTCAGAGCGTGGCACTCAGCTGTCAGAGCGCGGTCAATATAGTGGATAACCAAAGCACGTGCACGGATTTCGTGTTCAGTAACAGAACGACTCAAAATTCGATGAGCCAACGAGTGAATGGCACATTTTACATTCCACGGAATTAGCTGCAACACCTGCTGGACATCAAGCACTGCGCTCGTACAGCGATCACGGGAACGACGCGTGAATCGTGGATTCTTCTATAACATCATCAAACTCCTGTCTTTAGCTTCGTTCATCCGACTCTATATTTCATGCTTTATCCGGCTTTTTATTTTTCCACTTTGCAAATAGTTCACAGATTTCTGAGCACATATGTAGTTACCTTGGATATATTACGTTAATTATGCAACATTTACACGAAAAATGTCAGTACTTCAAAGCCGCAATGTCTGTTCATTAAGCGAATGACGTAGTTAATGCTAGTCTACTTACGGCTGCAAAATATTGTAGCTGCCGTAAACATGTACAGTGCATAGCATAATAGCGCCACAGTTACGGAGCCACAGTCCCATGCACTTTTTCCTAGAAAAACCTATAGTGTAAACACAGTCGTGTGCGATACTTGAGAGAGCAACGGGAAACGTGCAGTACCTACAGGTGACACAGCAGTCCACTGCACTAATCAATGTACAATTCACCGCACCAGCGCCACTTGCGGCCACCTTAATTTCAACTGGCGTGCTACGAACCGTCGTCTCTCCGTCAACCACGCCCACGTTGTACTACATGCAAGTGTGTGTGCGCAGAAGCGACATATTTGATAAAACGAGCGATTTGGCAGTGCCCGATTTTTCTGGGCCTGAAACGAGCAGAGAGAACATAAATTATACGGGATCAATCACGTTTCCGGTGTCACAAGTAGCACCGACGTGCGACCGTGTATTTTATAGTGGACGAGTCGTACGGCCATACAACGTAAGGCTCGACGCATAGGCCATCACCATCGATGTTTTTATGTATTATTTCTTGTAATTTTGCCTGCCTGGTAAAAGATGGCGTTTCTGCTTGACGTGTGTTACACAACCCCTTCCGATTGGCGCAAGTAAAACATCGCCTAACTGCACGAGTGTATTTTATAGTGGACGAGTCGTACGGCCATACAACGTAAGGCTCGACGCATAGGCCATCACCATCGATGCTTTTATGTATTATTTCTTGTAATTTTGCCTGCCTGGTAAAAGATGGCGTTTCTGCTTGACGTGTGTTACACAACCCCTTCCGATTGGCGCAAGTAAAACATCGCCTAACTGCACGAGTTGCGTTTAGTAATGCCAAGCAATTTCGCGAGGTTTTCTGCGCTGTAGTTCAGCTTCATCTCTAGATGTTGCTCAGACGGCATGAGTAAGTTTGTCACGTTCTAGCTTTTCACTATCTTGATGATTGATCAGTGGGGTTTAACGTCCCAAAACTACCATGTGATTATGAGCGACGCCGTAGTTTAGGGGCTCCGGAAATTTCGACCATCTGGGGTTCTTTAACGTGCACCCAAATCTGAGCACACGGGCCTACAACATTTCTAGCTCCATCGGAAATGCAGCCGCCACAGCCGGGATTCCATCCCGCGACGTGTGGGTCAACAGCCGAGTACGTTAGCCACTAGACCACCGCGGCGGGGCAGCTATTCACTGTCTTAGCTGGCACGTAACACAATAGAACGGCGTGGTGCGGCTTCGCTTGCACGCACATTGCTATGCGCTGCGGCGGTAACATATCCCCTCTTTTTCACAGGAGAGTAAAGACGGTGCCATGCCAGACTGTTGCACGGGGCTCACTCCTGTTTAGCACAGCCAAAGAGAATTATGGTGGCGCCCAGGAGTCTGTGAGAAGGTTTATGTTACGTTGCTATAAAACACCGTGCTTTTATAAAGCTCAGAGAAGTCCACTCACCACAGCACGCTTCAACGCCCGGATCACACGCCGGTGTTTTCCCTCCGTTGCTTCCGTCCCGTCGCCACTCCCCGGCAGAACCTCGGTGACGTCGTCCTTCGTGTACGTGTGCAACGTCGGTCCGCTGCGTTCAGTTGTTTCACCGCCTTGTTGCCAGCGTTCCGGGCGGAGAATCGACCAGCGACTGCCGGCGGCGTCTTACATCTGAAACGTGCGCCCGCCCCTCGCCGTCACGTTCAAGGACCCGCCGCTGGGTCGCTCGACAGCTCGCGCCGACGGGAACGCTTGGACCCGCGCGCGTATCTGGTGGCACTTTTTCGGCGATAGCAGGTTCTTCCGAGTTCTCCGTGAAAGCGGGGCGTTTGTGGCCCTCCCAAACGACGAAGCCGTTGACCGATACTGTTGGTGTATTGCGTTCGGGATATTTGGAGCGCATAAGTGCCTCGATAGTTATAGCTCTACTCGCAGTTATAACACGCCGCTGGACGTTCAGTTCTCTCCGAAAGTGATAAAGGATTGCATGGAGCTCATATGCTCAACTTTGATAAATAGGTCGCTTTTAATTTTTAAACAATGTTAATAGCTCTATGAAAAAAAAAATGAAGAAAAAGGGGGGTGGGGGAGCAGCTGCACACTAGTGACGCGAGGAGTGGAAAAAGTAGAGCTGGCGGCCTTTCCCCCTCGTTTCCTTCCTCACCCTCACATCACTCTTCACTATCACTTCCCTTTCTTGGTTGCTCTACCTTCTCCCCTTCTCGTTTTCCTCTTCACCTTCACTTCCCTTTCCGACATCTATGCAATACTGTTCTATAGGGGCTTGCACTGAGCCTTGATCTCTCAAGAAGACACCACCATCGCCTCGCCATTTTGAAGGTCCTTTCGTACGCTTCAATGCTGCTGTCCGTGTTTCGGCGTGCAAAAAGCGTTCTGGAGGTCTCTAAGCATCCAAGTTGCTGTGCGGATTTTGAACACAGCACGTGCAGCAAATTTTATGCTCGTGCGGCGAGCGAGCGGACCATCAAAATGACGAGCCCAACGCTAGCGATTATCGCGCATGACGTCAAATGCATACTATGCTGGGCTGCACCCTCTGCCATTCTCCTCACCATCGTCGCTCCTCCTCACTTCCATTTCCTGGGCCCTTGCTACTAATACTATATTACACAAGGTTATGTTAAGCTATACGCCCTACCCTCCTTTTCTTTCTCCTCGCTTTCCTCAACCTCACTGCCCGTGCTTTACTATTGGCCCCGAGATCAAGCAAAGTCGCCGTCTGGTGGCTGCTGGCTGAAGCGCGCTCCATCCTTCTTTTCTTCCCGCTTTGCTCAACCACACAGTCATTGCAAGCGCCTCGTAACACAATGCGTGTGCCGACGACCGAACAAATTCTTACGCCGCTCTCCAGCGTGGAACTATCGACACGCCGGTACTGAAGTTGTTTCTAGTAGAACCCGCACTTACCTATCCGACGATATATTGGCGTACCATACCGCTGTCTCCGTGCTGTCTGTATAGCACAAGTGCTTTCTCATTTGCCCTTCTCTTGAATTCTATAGACCCCTTCACTTTTTACAAACACTGCCCTTTGACGACATCCGGTTTCGTCCACTGATGTGTCAAAATAGCATCGGTGGGCAAGAAGTGCTTCAAAAAGATAGCCCGCTAATTTTCTATACTTTCTTTCCTTTATTTGCAAAATATATCCACATAAATGTTCTTTTGAACTACATGGAAATTATAAGAGATTCTTTTTATTTTTACGCACGTTTCTTTTATCTTCATAAAAAGTTAAAAGATTTTTTTTGAACTTTACGCACGTTCCCTTTATCTGAAAAGCTTAAGAGAGACATTTATTACACTTAAAAGGAACATGAAAATGGACTTTTATTTTCGACGTTAAGAGCTGATAAATGAGGTGGCCGGAAGTTATTTTTAGGTACAACCTTTGTGACCTTGAAACCGTCTATACATCACCTAGTGCTTTTTTTTTGTCACGGAGCACAATATGCCTTTTATAGTACAGCCAGAAAAGGTTTTTTGTTTCATCCTTGCCTAAATTGCTTGCTTTTTTGCCCCGCCGCGGTGGTACTTGCCTGCTAAGGTACTAAGGTACTCGCCTTTCCGATGGAGGCGGGAATGTTGTAGGCCTGTGTGCTCAGATTTGGGTGCACGTTCAAGAGCCCCCAGGTGGTCAAAATTTCCGGAGCTCTCTACTACGGCGTCTCTGATAATCATATGGTGGTTTTGGGACGTTAAATCCTACATATCTATCTATCTATCTATCTATCTATCTATCTATCTATCTATCTATCTATCTATCTATCTATCTATCTATCTATCTATCTATCTATCTATCTATCTATCTATCTATCTATCTATCTATCTATCTATCTATCTATCTATCTATCTATCTATCTATCTATCTATCTATCTATCTATCTATCTATCTATCTATCTATCTATCTATCTATCTATCTATCTATCTATCTATCTATCTATCTATCTATCTATCTATCTAAATTGCTTGCTTTATTTTTGCTACTACTTTCACACTTATATTCATCGAGTTCATTCTACTGCAAGGCGATTCAAGAAACAAATATGAGTCAGTCGGTGGTTGGTCGGTTGGTCGGTCAACAAACTTTATTCACGAGTTGTTCTGAGGAGCCGATGCCCTTCAAGAGGGCAGGTCGGCTGCGGGCCGAACCCACGTTGGGACTAGAAGGGCATTCCCCTCCCCCAAACTGCAGGCCCTCTGGACAGCCCGAATTTGGACCTCCTGGTCCGAGCCAGTGATTGCGGTCTTCCAGGCGTTTTAGGGGGTGAGAAGCTCGACATCGCGCAGCGCCGTGCGTTGCCAGAGCATGTGGGATAACGCGCCTCGTCTCTCATCGCAATGAGGGCAGTGAGGCTTTATGCTGTCAATAAACTTACTGAAAACTAAGGGTGACGGGTAAGTACTGGTTTGCAGCGTTCGTAAAGTGATTGACTGGGCCCTCGAGAGTTTCGGGAGTGGGAACCTGGACAATTGATAGTGCTTGTATATTTCGTTGAAGGTGAGGAGGGAATCAAGTTGCTGGAGGCCTTTCCCCAAATTAGAGGCCGAATGCCCGCCATTGTAGGACAGTGTGCGTGCCGCGGGCATGGGCAGACTCGTTTGCATTAGGGATAATAGGGTGGGCATCATTGTCCATGTGGGCAGGAAACCAGGTGATGTGACCATCGATTGCAGTGCTATTTTTGAAATTTCGGTAAGAACATGGGCCGCCTGCTCACAAATAGACCCCGTTATGATTGCTCGTACAGCAGCCCGAGAGGGAGGGAAAATGCACGTGCGCGTGGGAATAGCCACGGCCAGTGCTATAGCAGCCTGCTCAGCCCTGGCCAGTGTGGTATCTCGAAGGGATGCTGCCGTGAGGAGTTTACCATCAAGGTCAGTGACCGCAACCACGAAATTGGCTGTTCCAAGATACTGTGCTGCGTCAACTAATGTTAGAAGTTCAGGAGTGGTAGCAGCGGAACTGAGGAGCGACCGAGCCCTAGCAACCCGACGGCCTACATTGTAGAGTGGGTGAACGTTTCTTGGAATTTGTGATACTGTAATCTGCTCCCTAAATTTAGCACGGACTTCTATCTTTTTGTCTGCGACCAAAGTGGGCTCGCAGCCCAGGAACTCCAGGATGCGCCTGCCAGCTTTGGAAAACGAGTCTTGCCGCCTGAGCTGTTCGTTGCGCTTCTGCAATCTCGTTAAATGTATTATGCATACCAAGGGCCTTGAGCTTCTCCTCATTAGTGTTGTTTGGAGGACCTAAGACTTTCTTAACGTATTTTGGAATAATAGCATCCAATTTCTTTTGCTCTTTCTTTTCCCATCTGTGTGCTGCACAATGTAATTTATGTGACTCAAGAGAAAGGCGTGGAAAAGCCTCATGAGGTTGGCCTCACGAAATCCTCCATGCCTGTTAAATACCCGCAGTATAAGTTTGACCATGCTGTCCGCTTTCGCCGTAATGCGGGTCAAAGTATGGGGGATCGCCTCGGGGGATCGCCTGCCCTTGTCGTGTGTGACTTTCGATCCTTATCTCTTCTGGTGGAACTGGGATTGTAGCGGATTTGCGTTCCTCTGGCTGTGTCTAGAGAAGAAGCTCTGATTTGGCAGTGAACAAGTGCAGCCCTGTGCTATCCAGAAAATCTTCCGTGCACCTGAGGGCCTGCCGGAGGGAATCCTCAACGTCTCCATCTTTACCCCCCGTGCACCATATAGTAATATCATCTGTATAGAGCGCATGTCCGATGCGGTCGATACCAGTTAGCTCTAGCGAAAGTTTCCTTATCGCGATGTTAAACATTAGTAGTGAAATTACCAATCCCTGAGGGGTTCCCCGAGCTCCAAGGTGAAATTCCTTGGAGCAGAGGTCCCCGAGCTGAATGGTGGCAACGCGATCCCCGAGAAAAGAGCGGACGAACCCATAACAGCGGGACCCCAACCCCAACTCAGAGATCAAATGAAGTATGGGAGCATGTGTAATATTATTAAAGGCTTTCTCGAGATTGAGTGCCAGAATGCCACGAACATCTCTGGTGTCCATGTCGAGGATTTGATGTTTAATCCTTTGCATAACATCCTGCGTATAGAGCGCAGGACGAAAACCAATGAGGTTGAAAGAAAAGAGCTCGTTGTGTTCAATGTAGCGGGAGATTCGGTTAAGGATAGCATGCTCCGCGACCTTACCCACGCAAGACGTGAGCGAGATTGGTCGGAGCGTGTCGACCCCGAAAGGTTTACCGGGCTCAGGAATGAGGACAACAGAAGCCGTTCGCCACTCCTGCGGTACCTGCCCCGACTCCCAAACCCGGTTGACCTCATCAGTTACTACCGCAATAGATCTATCGTATGCAGCAATACACATTCTGCTTACTGCTTGGTAATATGATGAGTCGGCGTCGAAATAATGGGAATAATTAGGAGCCACCCTAAAAATGTTAGAAAGGGGATTCGAGAAACATTATGTCAAATGGGCTGTTCCTTATTAATGTTCCAACGAGCCATTTCAGGCAAATTTCCATAGGCACTGATTTTTTTATTATCTTACCTTAGCAAGTACGTTGATGATACTTCACGGGTAATTGTCACAGCGATATGTGGTAATCGTGCATTGCAACTTATTAACCAGAAATGCTTGAAACAGAATGGCTTCTCTATTTCAGTTACAGTTCTCATTTTTTGATCCTACCTATTTTTTTACTACGCTTACCCCACAGTCAATCTAAACCGCACAAATCAACCAATTCTCGAAGTCGATTCGAAAGAAAGGGAAGTGAAGAGAAAAGTATGCCGTTGTAACTGTATCTCTCTGAGGAGGTCACCTCAACAATGTCACGTGGGGGATTGGTAGCGGGGAAGAGAAAGGAATGTGAAAGAGAGAGGAAAAGAAGAGGGTGTCAGTAAACGTTTATAGAACCTGGGTGTCAGTGGTGTTTGGTCTGGCCGTGTGTGAACGCGCACCGCCTTCCAAGGCATCGGTTTTTCGGTGATTATAAGAATGCTCACTAGATAGCGCGCCGTCACTCATGGCGGTGCACACCACTCTCGGCACGTCCGCTTCCTTTATCTTCGCCGGGAGCTCACGCAGTGTGAGCACGCTTGGTCAGCGCTCGGCCAGATGTAGTACGACCGACAAGTGGGCTCGCAACGCAGCTGCAGCTCGTGCTCGCCGCCAAGACAGCCCGGAAGGTCGAAGCGAAGAGGGCTCGCTCGCAAGCAAACCCGGAGCTGCGGGTTGTGTATATAAAGTGTATGTAGTTCATCGAAATGTATGTAATGCATCCAATCGTCCACTTTGTGGATATGGAGGTGATTTTTTTTTTCGTAAACCAAACGGCTCTCAATTTTCGTATGAGTCTCGTATGTGGTATATAATGAAAGTACACTGTTTGGCTAATAAGATAAGCTTGCTTGTGCAATATTTATTTTTGATTGTTTTTCTCTCGCACACACAACTGGCGAGTGATAAAGACGCAATAAAACTGCGTAATTTCAAAAGCATCTATAACGTGAGCAACAAAAAATATTCGCGCCATATAGAGCAAATGCACGACGTCGCTACCGCTTCCGGTCGTGATGTCATATTTTACATATTACTTTCTGCCTGCTGTTAGTTGTGCCTTCCATACGTAGATGACGACGGTGGCAACTAGACAACTACTTTGAAATTTCTATGGAGGTTACGCTGCCAGTTTACACATACATCTTGACAGTGATGCCAACGCCTTGAGAAAGCGCTCGTGTGGTTGGCCTTACCTGTTTCAATTTATTTTTTTCTTTATTCCATTACTTTCTCTCTGTTTCTTGCTGTTTTTCTGTTTCTGTAACAGCGCAGAGCCGGTCACGTTGAGTACTCTTTATTTTGTATCTGTTCGTAGTTAGTGGGCCACCCCATCTCTCGTAAGGGATGATGATAAGTGTTATCATTATATTCCTTTTTATTAGCACGCCTCCTGAAACCGTGGAATAAAAAAAATGATTGCCTACCCGTTTATTTTAGGATCATGTTTGAAGGAATTTATACTGAGTATAGCATATTCAGCTATTTTTGCTTTCATCATTCAATCTTTAAAATGCAGCAGTTCAGGGGAAGACGAAAGCTTGAAGGGATGGAGAATTTGTGAACGCGGAGTTGCCTTCTTTAAGTTTGAGCCTTGAAAAAGGCAAAACCGCTTGCCGTCACGTCGGCAACATCGGCGCCCCCGTGTTCCAAGAATTTTTCATTCGATCCTATATTTCTCCCTGTTTTCAAACGTATACTTACATATGATTCGAACCCGCAATCCTGGATTGCTCAGTATTATATTTCTATATGAGCAAAGCTATATTTCTATCAGCGTAATGTTACCTGAAACTGCTCCGCGTCTGTCGTCCAGGAGACCGCAAGATCCGGTTAAGTGCGACAGCAGCAGGACGTTTTATCCCTAAATCTGACAGCATGCCTACGCCGCGAGACTTCAATGATACCAAGAGTGGTCACAGCAATATTTAAATTTATGGGTAGCCCACCATTTTACTCGGCGGCTCGCGATTTTAATTGCCGCCTACGGAAGCTTGCAAGGTGTGGTTCCACATATCTAAAAGCGTAATGACTTTGTCCGCTCCCTCGCTGTCCTTGAGTTACGCCACGCGCTTTTCTCTTGACGTCTTATGCGCGGCAGGTAATTGCTGCTGTAACGATTACCTAATAGCACCCGTTTTTGGACACCAGATGTCACCGAGGGTCTCCCCCTCCCCCCTCTGCTCTTAGGCTAGCAGTTCGTCGTTGCCATTGAATTACAGGACGAATGTAACTATATCCAGCATATGCGGACATTTTTAGCGTCTTTCCCTCCTTGGCTGAATTCATGACGGCCATTGCCACCTTCGCTTTCTAAATTAAGGTGGTCCGTATATAGTGACAGCCATCTATGTCCGTTATTGAGGACATTATACGTGAAGTGACTCATTCGCTCCGAAAACTACTTGGTACACTGCCCATAGGATTGGTACCACGACTCGTTACGCGCGAAGTGTGTCGGTGTTTTTATGGAACGGCAAGGTCTAATGGCCCTGACAGACTCCGCATACGACAGAGTGCGACCATGTCTTACAGCGTTGTGCGTTGCAACTACGAAAGACTAATTCATGAATAGATGGCAACAAAGATAACTTTGTCAGGTTCAACATTGCGTGCTAATATTTTCCTCGGTGTATGCTTAAACTGAACACGTGCACTTGTATTCCTGAAGTAGGTTACGTGTCCTTTGTTCAGAGCAGGACCCACTAGATTGACTGTTTTGTAACTTAGAAATGAGCGTGCAGTCAATTGTATCATGTAGTGTGTTGAAAAGTTTGGAAACACTTTCACGGCACCTAATTGGTGTTGCAGTGTCGACCAGCCTTGCATTAAAGATGCCATTATCAATATGAACGCAAAGCTGTGCATGGTAAGGTCATGCATGGTATAAACAATGTCCGCGCTTCGTGAAAAGCAAAGACACCCCCCCCCCACTCCCGAATACACATTGTTGGGCAATAAGTTTGTATATAACTGTTACAGACAGCGCCTTCGTTATACCCTAACGAATCTATCTATCTATCTATCTATCTATCTATCTATCTATCTATCTATCTATCTATCTATCTATCTATCTATCTATCTATCTATCTATCTATCTATCTATCTATCTATCTATCTATCTATCTATCTATCTATCTATCTATCTGTCTGTCTGTCTGTCTGTCTGTCTGTCTGTCTGTCTGTCTGTCTGTCTGTCTGTCTGTCTGTCTGTCTGTCTGTCTGTCTGTCTGTCTGTCTGTCTGTCTGTCTGTCCTCTCTGTCTGTCTGTCTGTCTGTCTGTCTGTCTGTCTGTCTGTCTGTCTGTCTGTCTGTCTGTCTGTCTGTCTGTCTGTCTGTCTGGCGACAATGATAGCTTTTGCGACTGGAAGTCCTCAATGAGAATTTGCGCAACTTCTCTTCATCTGAATTTTGCCCATATTAAGTGCAGGGCGTCACCTTGTACATGCTTGTTCGAGCCTGCTGTGTAATGACACGCGTTTTCATTCACCCGAAGGCTAAAAATATACGCAATGATTGCCCTCTTCTCTCATCGATGTAAGTGCATTGGGCATCGTCGCTTGCATTCGTTCCAAGTTGGCAACGCGCTCGAGAAACCCCTCACATTACAACTGCATTTTCTGCCCAATAGCACTGGAGACTTAAAAAAAGAAAAAAAAAAAACGTCCTTCGCGGCGTCAGCCATCTGTACGAGCGTTGCTTCGTCCTCACCTCGAATGAATCGCTGCAAGTACTTTGTGTTGCCAAGCGCGAAGGTTGTGCGCGCCCGCATGACTGCATAACCGTTGGCCATCAGCTATACAGCCGAGCGTCGACCGATTATCTAACAGGGTCCCTTGACGCCCTCCGCTCTCTCTTTCTTTTCGGGCGTGCTACTTTACAAATTGAGAAGGAGAAAGAGAGCGGCTTCAAGGCCTTCGGCACCGGAACAGAAAGAAAAAAAAAACTGCTGCCTGGCGTTTTGTTGGGGCCAGATACATCCGCCTACTGTCGGCGCTGTCGCTTTCTCCGCGTCGCGGTGTAGAAAGCCGCAACGTCGCTCCGTCCACCCTCGAACGCTGTCGCAGCTGATACAAGGCCTACAGAAGGAGGGCACTGAAGTGTTTGCTAGCGGTGAGTCGTACGCCTTATCTATCGCTCGAGTAGCGAGGTTGACTGCGTGTAGCACCGTTTCGAGGTAGCGGCACTGCGGGAAGCCAAGGTATGGCAATGCTTTCTGAATGTAGCGCACGTGCACAGGCGTAGCACGGGCACTGATGAACTGGGAAACTGGGAGGTTGAGTGGAGATGAGCGATCTATAATGACTATGATTAAGCAGGAGCAATGACACCGTTTCTAGTTCATAGTCCATAGGCAACGGCAGCGGTGCACCGCAGCTGGGCAGGTATGTAGCAGCTGCTTCGATCCCTATTAATCGGAAGCAGCGCAGGCTGCGGTGTTCATTGGCGGAACATGCAGTAACAGGCTCTGCGAGGTTCGTTGGGCAGGCTGCACCTCCATATCCGGCACGTGCAGTGCAGAGCATGTACAGCTTGGAACAGTGATGTGGCAATATGAGTGTGTCAGTGTTTCCGTAGACGCAGCTTAGTCTGCGCCGTGTCTTGTTTCACGCGCACAACTGCGAAGTGTTATGAAGCAGGTTTTTGACTTTATGTCCCGACGTCGGTGATGCTGCCGCGTAATCCCGCCAAGATGCATGCGTGATGTGAACGTGATAACTAAAACGTGGTCTTTAAATTGTGAGTACATGCTATGTGTTTCTGCGGTGCAACACTCACAATGGGACGAAACTCGGTTGTTATAATTTCAGTGTGACGAGCGACCTTGGTTCGGGCGGCCATCAACACGCAACGATATCGATTGTGCTCGCTTAATCCGGGATAGCTTGCAAAAAAAAAGCATGGACACCACAAACGTACTTACAATGTCTCGATTCGAATAGCAGAATTAGCAGATGTCCGATGAAGGAAAAAAAATCGTAGCATGAAATCGCTGTTCCTGGAATGCAAGTTACTGGTGGCGCGTTGTGAAAGGCAATTTGACGACCGGAATTTACAGAGTGCCTGCGTGAGTACGAAATATTGTCTCTTGGAAGCATTTGTCCCACAACCTAGCCCGTGACTGAAAGGAAACTTACTGGTTTGTTTCGCAGAGACGAAGTTTCAAGACCGAAGCGACGATGAAAGACAGGGAGAGGCCGTTTTATAAAATTTTCCACGGCCACCGTATTCCCGGAGCCTTTTCAGAGGAGGTGCTCGGAGGATTTCTACGCTACCAGCCGGCCGACGACGACATATTCATCGTGACATTCCCGAAATGTGGCACCCACTGGGCACACATGATGCTCTCCAAGACCCTGCAGGTCTGCCGAGGCCTGCCCCCGAGACCGTTCATCCTCGCCGAGCGAGAGGGTGTGAACGCCATCTTAGCAGCGCCCAGACCCCGAATCATCTGCGCGCACCTCCCTTTTCATCTGACACCTCGAAATGAGCGAACCAAGTACGTGTACGTGGCTAGAAACCCGAAAGACTGTTGCGTTTCGTTTTTCCACCACACGAAGTCACTTTCCAGCTACGGGTTCGCGGACGGCTACTTCGAAGAGTACTTCGAAATATTTCTCGAGGGCCAGACAGACTTCGGCAATTACTACGAGAACTTGAAGTCCTGGTACGCTCACAAAGACGACCCGAACGTATTGTTCATGACGTACGAGTCTATGAAATTCGACACTAGAGGTTCGGTCATCAAGTTGGCCAGGTTTGTGGATGAGCAGCTTGCCGTTGCGCTGGAAGAAGACAACGACAAGATGAAGTCTGTGTTGGAAGCGTGCAGCGTGGAAAGCATGAGGAAAGTAGTTCAGGGACCCTTTATCAGGAGAGGCGTGGTAGGCGACTGGAAGAACCTCATCACTCAAGAACAGTCAGAAAGGCTGGAAAAGAGATTCATGCAAGAAATGAAGGGAACGGACATACCTGACCTCTGGAAAGACGTCGACTGGAAACTTCACGGACCGAATGACGCTTGATGGATTTAGCGGATGTTTTTTTTTTTAAAAACGGCATATTGGAAGACGGTCACAGTGAAAAAGAGAATTTCGTCGTAAGGAACTGGCGTTTCAGAACGATTCATGTAAACAAGCCGCTCTGTTGCAGGTTGTGCTACATTATGTGTGACATGTGACTTTTTTATCTTATTTAGAATGCTTGACGGGCGAAATACTGCAAGTAATTAATACTCATTTTTCGTGCCAACACACAAGCAAGAAATGCTTTTTATGGTGTTGGGTTAACGTAAATATGTACACATTTCTATACTCATCTTTATACCAACACACAAGGATGAAATGGTTTGTATGGTGTTGTTGGGTAACGTAAATATATATGTGTTTCTATTTTCGCTGGCTTTTTCGTTATATACCAACACACAAGCACGAAATGATTTTTATGCTGTTGTTGGGTAACCTAAATATGTATGGGTTTCTATTTTCGCTGGCTTCTTGGTTAGATACAGCAAATACTCTACGACACTTGTTCAGTCTAGTATATACGTATATCCCAGTTTTTAATATGTATATTCAGTTAATAAATTTGACTGTCATACACTAGTGGAAATATACTGATTGTTTTGCGCGTCATCCTACACATTTTTTTTCCGTTATTTTTCAGACTTTATTGTTTGAATATGTTAAGCTAATGTTAGGTTCATTTACAATGCACTGGTTTGAAAAAAATGTCACCTAACGTGCAAAGCAACGAAAATTAAGTCAACTGATTAAGACGCAGGCAAACATTTAAGACTCTATATCTGCCACAATTAGTCAATGCAACGGTCACTGATAATGCGCTTCATTTATCGAGCGGAATGCGAGTTAGTGGCCCGCGGCGTCTTCTGCAGTGTGGCGTTCCATGTAGAAAGAGTAGTTTTCTTTGAGCTCAAGAGAATCAACGAATGAACAGAGAAGGGTCAAAGAATCACCCCCACCCTCCGATAATTACTGTTGAATAAAAGATTTCTTCGAGACCTCTGTAGCAGCTGGTAGCGCCTGAGAGTTGCTGGATCATAGACGATGGTGCATTATGGTAGCGGTGTTCCCTCAGGTGGGCTTAGCCTAGCAGACCCGGTTTAATTCATTGCAAGTACGCAGGTTGTTCATGGCGCGTTTGCTAAATACAATATTACAATCGAAATTAACAGAGTGCAGGTGTAAGTATAAAATCTGTCAATTGGAAGCGCTTATACGACACGAAAGCCTGTGACTTAAAAGAAACGTACTGGTTTGTTTCGCAGAGACAAGGTTTCTTGATCGAAGCAGCGATGAAGGACAGGCAGAGGCCGTTCTATAAAATATTCAATGGCCACCGGATTCCAGGAGCGTTTTCGGAGGGGGCACTGGAAGGATTTCTACGCTACCACCCGGCCGATGACGACATATTCATCATGACCTTCCCAAAATGTGGCACCCGCTGGACTCACATGATGCTCTCGAAAACTCTACAGGTCTGCCGACACTTGTCACCAAGACCGTTCATCCTCGCCGAGCGAGAGGGCGTGGCCGCCATTCTGGCAGCACCGAGGCCCCGAGTCGTCTGTGCTCACCTCCCTTTTCGTCTTACGCCCAGAAACGAGCGCACCAAGTACGTGTACGTGGTCAGGAACCCCAAGGACTGCTGCGTTTCGTTTTTCCATCACACGAGATCACATGCCAGCTACGGGTTCGCGGACGGCACCTTCAAGGAGTTCTTCGAGATCTTTCTCGATGGCTTGACAGACTTCGGCAACTACTACGAGAACTTGAAGTCGTGGTACGCTCGCAAAGACGACCCGAATGTCTTGTTCATGACGTACGAGTCTATGAAATTCGACACCAGAGGTTCGGTCATCAAGTTGGCAAGGTTTGTAGATGAGCGGCTTGCCATTGCGCTGGAAGAAGATAACGACAAGATGATGTCTGTGTTGGAGGCGTGCAGCGTGGAAAGCATGAGGAAAGGACTTCAGGGACACTTGATAAGAAAAGGCGTGGTAGGCGATTGGAAGAACTACTTTTCGCACGAGCAGTCGCGAAGGATTGAAGGGAGATTCATGCTTGAAATGAAGGGGACGGATATACCTGATCTGTGGAGGGACGTTGACTGGAAACTTCCCGTACCGAACGGCGCCTCAGTGCTCTGACGAATATTTATGGAAGCTTGCTGCTGGTAGAAGGCCACAAAGAAAAAAAAGATTCTTGTCATAGGAATAACAATTCAGAACTATGCCTGTAACACAGACGCTTCATGGCAGGTTTTACAACATCGTACATCGTATGTGATATAGTAGTATTGTACTGAGAACGCCTGACGGGTGATATGACACGGATGTTTTGTACTCATTCTATATGCAAGAATTTAACCAAATAAACAATTTACGATGTTTGTTTTACACACCATTGGGGTATTTCTGCCGGCTTGTTGCTGAGCATATATGCATATATGAATATGTGTATATGCAGCCTGTATATTCAGCCAATAACTGCACTGCACTGCAGTAATTGGCTGCAGTAAGGACGATAGTTGAACGTCTTTCTTGTTTTTCAAGTTGATACTACCGATTTCTTCGCAGTCTTCCTTCGCGCTGTTGCTTTTGTATACTTTGAGATAACGTTTGATCCTCAATGCACCGACCTAAACAAAATGTCATTTAATGTGACGGGGCCCAGCGGTGGAGAGAAATGTGAATTGTCAAGCGGAAAAACACATTTTTATGACTGATCTTGTACCGTGTTTGAGCGTTATATGATTCTAGTCAAGAATTATGTGCAATAAATAGATCCACGCCGTCGTGACGTTTGTTGGTTACTCGAGCTTCACAAGATAAAAAAAGTTCGAACGCGCTTCGTTCTTCCAGCAGAGTGCTAGATATCTGTTCGCAGAGTCTGCATAATGGCACTGCTTATGGAGCGATTTGTATTTCATGACCTTAATGAATATAAAGGAAATGAACGAATTTGCAGATAACGCTTGAAAGAGTGCCTTCGCAATTTTCGTTGACTAAACCATCTCTTCGAGAACCGTGCAGTAGCAGGTAGTGCCTGAGAGATGTAAATTCATGCATTGGTTCAAATATGAGTTGAAGGATACAATCACTGACCACCTCGGAAATGACAGTTCCTTAAATTTTTTTATCCCTTTTTTTCTTGTTCAGAAGGATTACCTAGTAAAGCTGCGTATTTGGATTCGCGCTTATGTGTAACAATTTCTTCAAAAGCATGTAAACTTTTTCAGGGTCCTCAACTTATGCAGCGTAGGCTTCTATTATGAGTTCCATGTGAGCATGCCTATATATATATATGAAACAGCTTCACCGAACATGGTGCACCCATGCAGCAACGCGCATGCAGTCTGTGGTGAATATCGCTGTGGAGTGCATGCACTCATGCAAGTTGCTTGATTTAGAATAGTACTAACCTCAATGACTGGGGTTCTTGCAAGATGGTACACGCAAACGAATGCCGCAACATGGTACTAGTTAGACCGAACTCATGACATAATGTGTTGCTTATACATTGTGACCGGTGTTATTTGTGTTTGTGCATGTTCTATTATATTTATTACCTGAAAGCGCAGCCAGTGGGCCATGGTTCTGCCAACGCTTGTCACTTGCTATATAGAATAAGCAGCCGAGATGTGTAGAAATGGTTCTGGTTTTCAAAACAAAGTGATGTTTCATTGTCCAGGCGAAATCCGAAGGCACCATGACCACAGATACCGGCAACAAACTTAAGCCCATCTTCCAGTTGATTGACGGCATCAAGATACCACTCGGCTTTGACGGTGACAAACTACGCTCGGCGCTCAAGTACCAGGCCTCGAGTGGTGACATCTTCATTGACACGTTCCCCAAGTGTGGCACCAACTGGACCAAGCGCATTGCGGAGTTGCTGATCGGTGGCAATGATGTCGCGTCTCAAAAGGATGGTTACGGCTTGGCGACCACCTTCTTCGAGATGGTCGGCAAGGAGACCATAGCGGCCCTACCGGAACCGAGGATTGTGACCACGCACCTGGAATATCAGCTCGTGCCGAAGCATCCAAGTGCGAAGTGAGTGATCCCACACTGTCTGCAATGGAAGCACAATACTTTACCTTGCAGCATAAAATTTACGGTTCTTTTAGCCTGAGCATACTTGATTCAGTGCACTGCTGTGGATAAACTGTTGCTTAAAGTAAATTGAGTATGTGATTCAGAGCAGAGGTGTTTCCGTGGGCTTTCGCAATCGCTTTCTTCTGTTGGCAATCCGTAACGACGACGTGTCCATGTGCCAATCAGTGTTAGCAATTAGGCTAGTTGTTATTTATTTATTTATTTATTTATTTATTGCAGTGGCAGATATTAAGAAGAAATGACTGGGACAAGCATTAGCATTCGTACCAGACTTGACTCTTGTCTGTGTTGCTCCTATTTTGCATCGTCATCTAACTGTTTCGGTGCTCCCAAGCTATACCTCTTTGCGCTGTTCTGCTCTGAGCCTCTAACACACCTCAGAAAGAATATTTTAAGAGAAAACGTTGTCCGTCTTGTTCATGAGAAATGTCCTCAAATAAAAATTACGAAGAAACGCGCTCAGATAGAGTGTCTGTAAGTGTAGCGTGCTTATCATGATCAATGCTGCTTCTTAAACAATTATAAAATATTTCATCACAGGCACTAATATGATACCCGAGGGTTGGTTTGAGGGTTCCAACTAATATCTGTCAATTTCGAATGCGTTTATACTCACGCACGCATACAAACGCACGCACGAACATAAGGTATTGCGGAACCCCCCTCTCTAACAAAAATTTCTGGCTGCGCTACTGACAGGTACATCTACGTAGTGCGGAACCCCAAAGACTGCTGCGTGTCCTTCTTCCACCACACGAAGAAGACCAAGGCGTACAACTTCGAGCAAGGCACGTTCGAGGACTACCTACAGCTGTTCATCAAGGGCGAGACGAGCTTCGGCGACTACTTCGCGCACCTGGTCTCGTGGTATCCCCACATAAACGAACCGAACGTGCTCTTCCTCACGTACGAGGGAATGAAGAAGGACCCGGCGGCCGCCGTGCTCAGGATTGCCAAGTTCCTGGACGTCCGCGACGCCGAGCTCCTCGACTCGAACTCAAATCGGTAATATTTTTTAGAGCTTAGCGACAAATGTTACGCACGCATCAAAAAAGTCAAGTCAAATTCATAAAATCATACCGGAGCACAGCAAAATAACGCTCGTATGCACCCTCTTCTGCTGTTCCATTGCAAAGCTCCGTATGTTTACCTCAGAGGCTTTTAAACAGCAAGAGGAAACTGCCGATCTCCTTTATCGCAGTCAGCGCAGAATAACCAGGAATCGTCATGTCTTGCTCTAATTTCACTTAAGTGGCTTAACTAACAAACTAAAAAAAATCAGGTAAGCTCGTTTTTGAGAATTAGCTATTGCTTTTCGCAAGAGTTCGTGCCACGTGTGTTGCGTTGCTTAATGAAATAGCGCTTTGTCGTGTATATATGTGTGATGTGTGGGCTGTAACGCCTGCATTCTGTGTGAACTGAAGCAGAGTTTTTGTGTTGATTACATAGATTATTTCGATCTTACGTCCCGATGTTCCACGCCTAAGGTACAAGGAGATCGTGAGAAACAGCAGCATCGACGCCATGAAGGAGCACTACAACGCGAGCTACCAGAAGGCCCTGGGAGGCAACGGCGTCGATCAATGGATCGAGAGGAAGGACTACCCGCTGTCCCGCGCTCCTCCACCGCCCGACGTCATGGTGCGCAAGGGCATCATCGGCGACTGGCGCAACCTCTTCACGGCCGACCAGTCGCGGCGCATAGAGCAAGCCTTCGTAGAGAAGTGTGGTCGCGTGGTCGACCACAGGGAGATCTGGAACCCGGAGGACTGGATGGATAACGTGGCGTGAACGTAGCCAAGTCCGCTCGATAGCGTAGTAGTCGCAGTGAAGCGGATGTTCTGTTACATCCCTCATGGTTAACTCATGTCATATAGAGGAAGACCTCAGAACTACTGTCGTTAGGTCAAATGAGGCACCCACAAAGCTTAATAGTGTCCCTTTAATAGCAATTATAGACCAAATGTTCCTGCGGCCTCTCTATGTACAAGTATTACCGGAGACACATTTAAAACATCGTTAGAGGGCATTTTAATACCGCATCACCAATATTAAGGTAACACCAGACTTCATATGCACGAATTATTAATGACTGATAGGTGACACACTGGATGGCGAAGTGTATATAAAGAAACATTGATGACTCTGGTTATTGAGTTATGGGCGTTCCGATGACAGAAATGCCATTGAGTAATAGGAGCGATACATTGCTACACGTTGAAAATTTTCATACTAAGAAGGGCTTCTCTCGAAATACACTCACAGTGTATTATATTCTTCATATTCGAGTGTGTCGTATTTGTTAGCATATTATATTTGTTGGTCATCTGTGTACGAATCGTAGCATGTTGTCCCTGAGCATGCACATTTAGAAGTACTCATTCCAAGCAAAGGCGCCAAGACTAACCGGGATGGGTTTGCGAGCTCGCATGTTGCGTCGAGGGATAGGGCCCAATGCTATCTCTCAATTCTGATTTTTTTAGAAACGGGGGTAATTCTGAAAGAGAATAGTCAGACGGAACGTTCAAAAGAATCAATTCCATAAAAAGACCGCAAGCTGTTTACGAAAGTTTGAATCATGTAGATTCGCCATGCCTATCTCTGTAATATATCATTGCTTTTGTAATGTTGCGTCTCACATAATCATATGGTGGTTTTTGGACGTTAAACCCCACATGTCAATCTATAATCAAATGCTATACCATCACAAATGCTATAATCAAGCATTTGTAATGTTGGAGTTGGTAATTTAAATGGTTCAGAAATATATTTTAGCTTCTACAGTGATTAGGTTTCAACTTATAAGACAGTGTGAAGTGGGTGCCTACGTATAGGCCAAATACTCGCGGCTTTTTCCGTTTTCCCAGAGGACATAGTGGGCGGGTATATAAACTCAGAGTATTATAACTTCATACCACCGCTTTCCCCAGAGATCTGCAGGATAACGTGGATATGTAATCTTGTACTGTTCGGGTCTACGTGTTACAAAATTCAAACAACACATCGAACTGCACTCCATTACTGGCAGCTGTGTTACTTTTATTATAACGCTACAAAGTTGATATTTCAGCTAGCCGGCAAGTCGCGACGTACGAAATAAAGGTAACGCAAAACATTAGTAACACAGGTTCAAGGCGCCATGCAGCACTTTAACGATATGGTCAGGAAAAAGCGCCAATCGGTAACCGAGGCTTCTATGGACACGCCGTGGACCAAAACATTATAGCGTTACTCGTGACCTGGAGTTTGGAAATATTTCTCAGTGAGCTAGAATTAGGTTTCTGTTATCTCGACAAATGCTGCAATAAACCCAAACGACCACACCATAAAGCCGAAGTGCACAGCCATTGTCTGATATGAGCATGGTGAGCAGATACCGTGCACGCCACGGGATGGCGCAACGCTTACCCGCACGCTAGAGTAACTGTATACGGTGGCTATATAGTTACATTACCGCACGCGTCCTTTCGCGATAACATCAAAGTGAGCCGCGTGTTTGAATAAAATCAGAAAAGGAAAAGTTCAAAATGATGGCTCTTGCTGACTGAAGGACGCATAATCTTGTCGCTTTGTCATCCACTTTGAAGAGATAGATGGATAGATAGATAGACAGAAAGATAGATAACATTTATTCTGGTCCAGAAGAATCTTCACCCCATTTTATAGGGGCAAGACTGCGGCCCACTCCCACGTTGGGACGGGAAGGCCAGGCCTCACCGCCGCTTCGTGCGCCTTCTAAACAGCCCAGAGTCGGTTAAACCAGTTGTGGCTCTTGAGAAAGGAATGAAATTCTTCCTCCGTCGGTCAGTGGTCCGTGGGGTGCTGCAAAGAGGGGCACCTATAGCTCATGTGCCTAAAATCACTAACTGTGCCACAGTCAGGACATTGAGGGGAGAGTTACGTGTACCTGTTGAAGACGGAGAGTGTTGTATATGACTTCGTCTGCAGGAACCGAAGATTCACGGTCTGGGGCCTCGCGAGATTTCGATGTGACAAGGGGAAAACCCTGCGACTCATCTGGCAGTGGCTAGGGATCTCGTTGAAAGTAGAAAGAATGTCTCGGAAGCGGGGTGGGTTGGCGTTCGAGAAGACTGGTCCGAGCCCGTACCGGGTCCCACCCGGCACACCGGCGTCCCTATGCCCGGCGCGGCCGGCAAGACTTCGCGGCCGGGCATGAGTCAACTCATTTAAGTCAACCAGCCCACATACTTCGCGCGCAGGGAACTATGTAACTATGCGATAAGTAAGCACGTTACCCTCAAGTGCCCGAGCAACTTCTTCACAGACAGCCCCAGTCGAGAAAGCTCGAAAGGCTGGCCTCGAGTGCGTATAAATGTCTGTCCTGTTCGACTAAGGCGCGCCAGGGCAATGGCCATCTGCTCCGCCTTGGAAGCCGATGATACCTTGATTGACGCGGCCGTTAATACTCGGCCCTTTATTTCGACAACGTTTGCAACAATGTGACTGGAGTTGCCTTCGTACTGGGCTGTGTCTAGAAAACATGAATCAGCCTCGCGCGCATGCGCGTGACGCAGAAGCGCAGGCTGTCCTCCTGCCAGTATTGAAAATTGGATGCATGTTCCTTGGAAGAGAGCTGATCTTAATAGCCTGCCACACATTATCAGAAAGCTGAACGCTCCTATCTTTTAACGTCGTCGAGTTGATTCCAATCTTAGCCAGTACGTGCTTCTATCTAATAGATCATGTTTGATGAGAAGCATTACGTCCGGCGTGAAGAGGTGTGGCTTGAAGTCTACCATGTTGTTCGGAAAACGGCCCTCGTCCTCAATGTGCTTAGATAACCGGCTATAGATCGAATAAAAAGGGTGTCTTTTTGTCTCACAACAATTATCATCTTCTTTCTTGCTTGCGCTTCGTTTTTTTTTTGAAAACTCGTCGCTGGCCACTTTCCTATCCAGAGTGATAAGTCACGCTGATAGCGCCCATGCCGTTCGGGACCTGAAAAGGCCAGACGCATGGCGATAATGTAGGAAAGAGAACGCTAGACAGATGACGATTATTGTGAGACGAAAAGACGTCACCTCTACTCAATATTTTCTAAGAGTGTCCCCCTGCCTGCATAGCTTGCAGCACGCTCGCTGTCACGAAAGGAGAGAGAAGAGAGAGAACTTTATTGAAAGGCACAATGGAGTCATTGAATTTAGTTTGACGGTGGTTCGAAGGGTGGTGGCCATTAGCTCGCCACGATTCCCGTCTATGTACACGTATTCTAAATCATTGTCTTTCCTACATCACTTCAATACTTTTTGATTAGAGTTCTCAATTACGCAGCGGGGGTGCCTCGATCTCCTTTCAGCCAGCTGCTTCATGAAAATTCTTGACAAATGTAGTTTACATTGTCATCCCTTTCAAGAGAAATGAGCTTACTGGTTCGCGAGCACTCGCAACTCGTATGCGAACGTGCTTTATCAAACGCGCCAAGAAGAGCTCCGATTACATGGGATATTGGTGTTTGATAGCATCGGCACCAGGGTCGAAAAAGCTAATTTTAAACTAACACACTCATGAGTCGACTCACTTGCACTCACTCAGACTCAGATCGAGCCGTCAGTCTGAGCGAGTGTACGAGTCAGTATTATTTTGGTGAGTCCGCGTGAGTTTGGTTGAATAAAATTTGCGTGAGTATGAGCCCCAGTAAGTCTGGCTCAGGAAAATTTCGGTGAATATTTGTCCGAGTGAGCCCGAAGCGTGAAATATATTTCATTAGTGAGTCTGAGTGAGCTTCACATCTTTTGCCGACCTGTTTTTTTAAGTCGTAAGCACGAAGACTAGGCACATCCGTGCACTATACCCATCATTGCCATCTTCCATGAATGATGGCAGCACCAGAATCCCCTGTAGTTAAATTCATAAAGCTCTATGGGCTTAGGCAAATGTGGCATGCGACATTCTAGGCAATGACACTCGGTTCGATTTGGGCAGTGAGTTTTGAAATGGCATTTTTCGGAGCACACATTATCCTGCACCATGCGGAATGACGTCATTCGCCACGCATTAAAGTCGAGATCGCATATCTGTCAGCATCGGCCTCGTTAAATTAAATTTTTGGGGCCCTTTTGCATCGATTGTAAAATATTTATATTCGTTTTTCCACGTGTCTGTTTTCCGACGTGGTCGCAGCTCTGCGCAAGCCGACAAGGAATTACGGAAACCAATAAGAAAGATTTAAAAGTAATTAATAAGCATGGTTCCTGACTGTATATATACGCCAAATTGATAACGTTATCGCGGACATACAAAAAAAAAACGAGAGTTCGTCTACCCAAACTTCAGCAGCAACATGTCTTGACAGTAAGCGATTGATATGTGGGGTTTAACGTCCCAAAACCACCATATGATTATGAGAGACGCCGTAGTGGAGGGCTCCGGAAATTTCGACCACCTGGGGTTCTTTAACGTGCACCCAAATCTGAGCACACGGGCCTACAACATTTCCGCCTCCATCGGAAATGCAGCCGCCGCAGCCGCGATTCGAACCTGCAACCTGCGGGTCAGCAGCCGAGTACCTTAGCCACTAGACCACCGCGGCGGGGCTTGACAGTAAGCGAAGCTGCAAAATTGTTCTTATCACGTCTTGCAGTGTGTGCACTGTCCCTATACTCTAAGCGCGTGCGCAGAACACTGTAAACGGTGGAATCGAAATAAAGGGCCAATAGGGTCATTGCGGTTGTATCCCGTATAGCCTCGCACTTGGTCCGATAAAAGCGAGCGACTGAAGAACGCATAAAAACAGATGCCGGCTCGGCATATCCTCGGGCATCTTTCGGTAAAAGCGAGGAACCAAGGAAAAATAGAACGAATAATATTTTGCTCAAGACGTTCTGAATGAGTGTAACTAAACTAATCATCGAAGCACGCTCTCTGACCGCCTTTGAAGCGCTTTGCGTCATATATCGAATCACAGGCCCGCACTCAGTTGAATGCAAGCGTGAGCGCCGCCGGTCGCATCAGTTGCACTCGACGGTGCAGTAGTTGTGGTCTATTCGCGGCACTACGTCAAGCGCCGGGCGTAAAAATCACGCTACGTCTTTCTTTATACGCTGACAATGAGAATTAGAGGATGCTTTGGCTGTGACATGCTTTGAAACGCGAGGAGTGTACAAGTCAGCAGCTGGCGACGACGCGATGATTGCGTTGCGTCACACCTGACCGGTTTTCTGAACTGACGCCATACGGATGGTACGTATACGTCTTTTGTTTTTATTGAATTAGGGACGACCTCTTAGTTTTTAGTACGGTTTCCCGCAAAGCATTGCTATTCGTAAAGGCCCGACCACACTTGCGCGCTGCAGCGTGACAGCGCGTGGTCTTTTGGCGCGGCAGTGCTTCCTCTACGAGAGAGAGGGGCTACGAGAGAGAGAGAGAGAGGGCGCTGCGCTGCGTCAAGAGACCACGCGCTGACATCCCGCAGCGCGCACGTGTGGCTAGACCTCAAGTGTTGAATGACAGGACGACCTCTGGTTTGAAGTATGCGGTATCCCGCAAGGCATTGCTATGGCGTAAAGGAGCCCTCTTATCTTCATATAGGGAGAGGGAGCGGCGCCGCATCAGAAAAGCACGCGTGGACACACTGCAGCGCGCACGTGTGTTCAGTTCGTGTTTCTAACAACAGTTGGCGTTTTATGTTCCAAAACCACGATGTTCTTACGAGAGACGCCGTGGTGGAGGGCTCTGGAATCGTGACAAAGTTTAAATACAAGCACACGCGCCTCTACAATTCGCGTCCGTCTAAATGCGGGAACTGCCACCGGGGCTGGATGCTATACGACTTTCGCGTCAGCAATGGAGCACCATAACCGATAGACCACCGCGCCTTGTGCGCGAAAGTTTCGTTGAAAGGGACACCGTGGGATGAAACTTTGTATGACGTATGCCTGTTTTTTCAGATAGTGCCAACGCAGGGCAGATGGCATGCGAAAATGTATAGGATCGATTTAATAATGAGTGTAACGTAAACACTGGCAAAAACAGCTTTTTGCTGGCAGCTCAATGACTGTTATTGGTAGTGACAGGAGTGACAGAAAACGGGGCTATCTCGTGTTTGTTCTCTCTCAATTCGTTCGGCGATTGTCGTGTTGCTAACAATATTAATCGTTAGCGACATTGAAGCACATGTCCAACCTGCGCAATGAGTTTTGGATGCCGGAAATGAAAGATAAAATAAATGTAACACTGCCGTTAGCACTTTCCGACGCTGACGCACGACCTAAAGTAGCGACCTATAGAATAGAAAAGCTCCTAGGCATAATCCCAAACAATGTGAAACCAGTGTAAGAAAGAAATAAAAGGAGGGGGGTAACAATCTGTGCTCATTATAGAACTAAAAACTTGTTTATGAGGTGACCTGCCGCTGTTTACGAATCACTCATTGAGGACGAGCTATTCGACGAGTATATTGACCGTCCAGAGTTTGTACTGAATTCTACAAAATATTGCTTACACCAAACACTCTGTAAAATTGAAATAATGAAGTCCACGCTGTGAGCCTCGTGCAGTGTACGGGTAAAGAAACAGCCAACGTAATCTGCTCATGCAGGTTGTAATCTTCAAGGTACATCCGTTGTGCTAGAAATCGAAAACCATCAAATTCAGTGATCTTTTGAACTCACGTTCTCAAAAGATAGACACGTACTACCTGCGGCTTTAATCAAAGAGACAACTTTTGAAGTTTATGAGAAAAACTGGTACTCTGGAAATATAGCACTTTAATGTTACTGTGAGTTTTCATATACGTCAGACTCTGGAGTTTTGCAGAGACGCAGCACCACCTGTGGACGCAATTTTGGGTAGTGCAAAGCATGACTCCCTTGCACAGTTGGCTGCACAACCAGGTTAAACTACAGCGTACGAAACAACGTTTGAGCTAACTATTAGGTGTACTCTTACAAAAAGAGTTACGAATTTCTCTCCGTTAGTGGGATGCGTAACCGAACCACCATGAAGTACTAGCGTGAAGTACTTTTCAGCATACAGAAAGGAATGACAAACGTCCACACAACATTCTAGCACGCGTAATAAAACAGTTCAACGCACAGGAAGCGAGAGATAGATTGAAAATGAAACTGCAAAGTTGGCAATCGGGAGGGCTATTCGTGCCAGATAAAGCGAGCTTCGTACCACTGATCGTAAGATGGATCGCTCGCGTATGCACTTCATCACTTTGGCATCATGTGTATGCCCAATTTTAACGCATTCAGGCGTTACAAAATGAACGTCGGAGTGCTTGTGTGCTTGCCTCGAACTCGATGTCATGCGATGCTCACTCGCACTTATAAGTGCCAGTTGCAGTACGCAGAAATAACTGGGACATATTTCGCATTGTGTCCGCAGTTTGTTTTGATGAGCTTCCTACTTTTCTGAAGGGAAGTGGGATTGAAAGAAGAAGCTTTTCAGGTCTTTGATTTTCAGGAAATCGCGCCTTAAGACCAACGAAAGAGGAGGGCCGATGCACGTTCGCTCGCGGGGCTCACTTTGCACTACCCATATATGGCCGGCACGTCATGGGGGCGCTGGTGGTGGCGTTATGGGCTGTATCCGTTGCACAGCGCGTAAATCTCTCCATGCATTCTCACAGCCACCAGAAGGAGCTTTCTATATAGATATTCCGCTGGTCAAATCTCTCCAGTACTCATTCAATAAAATATGTCTCTCTCATGAGGGCTTGGGTGCGCCCTACCTACACACGGTATAAGCATGCCGAGACTTCGTGCATGCTTGCGTAGAAAATACACGTCCTCCTACACTTCTATAGTCATAAGGCAGGCACGACAAGCCGTAAGTGTTGTACGTCACTGGCCAAGCGAACAGCAGAGACATCTTCTTGGAGACGCCTTGAGCTCATATGACACCGTATTGTTTCCAGACCTCGATGAACTCCATGCCCACGAGCTTCTCGTAGATCTTTCTGTTTAGCCTCTCGTTCATTTCAGGCGTGAGGTGCGACTTCCAATCACCCACGATTCCCTTGCGGACCAGCTTGGCATCACCGGGTTGGTCGTGCGTGACCTTGTGGAACAGCTGCAGGCCCTCGGGAACTTCTCCACCTTCAGTTTTCAAGGGCTTTGAGAAGAACTGTACCAGAGAGTCGTTGGTGTATTGCTTCATGGCAGATACGTCGCTGTACCTGCACGGCACCAAACTCCGTTTGCTTAAAGGGACGTGAAGGAAACGCGTTCACTGAATGAACACTCATTGGGGAGGTAATTGGGGCCTTAGTTTACTGATCTACTACTCTTGAGCTACTCTTGAGATCAACATAACAGTGCGCAAGAACATCATCACATGAGTTCTTGTTTTCTTACTTAGCGGTCTTTTTTTGCGACACGGAAAAAAATAGACTATGAATAGACTACGTTTGAATTTTCGTCTCGGTGTTTTCTGAACGTGTTCGACAACTACACATAATTTAATCGGGCCTTCAGGCAATAACTAAGATGTTTGGTAATGTAAACATAATTATTGTCTTAATTAGTATGAAATACAAAGATAGCTAGTACGTATCCTGAAGAAAATACAATAAAGTCCATTTACTTGGCTCCCGACGCGCCTTTAATGTTAAAATTCGTGGCTCGAGTTACAACCTGCATATATAGCGTTTTCCACGTGGACTATTCCTTCCACTTGCCGGTGGAATACCATCTCCCGGCCAGCACCGAATCTCTTACAAACGGAACTTTTGTAAGCTAAACACTTATTGGGCGGTTTACTATACCTGAGAACATTCTCGAGGTATGGGGCGTCCTCCTGCAGCCTTTCGTAATACGACTGGCCCAGGAACTTGGCGATCCTGAGCACGTTCTCCCGTGGTTGTGCCTTCATGTCCTCGTAGTGCAAGAAGAGGACGTTTGGGTCGTTTCGGTGCTCGTACCAACCCAGGACGTGATCAAAGTAGTCGCCGAAGTCCGTCTGGCCCTCGCAGAAGATGTCAAAGAACGTCGAGAACGCACCACGGGTGAAGTCGTACCCCGGGAATCCTCTGGTATGATAGTAGAAGGACGTCACGCAGTCCTTGGGGTTGCGGCACACGTAGACGTACTTAGCCTCGGGAGACATGGGCATCATGGAGTATGGGAGGTGGGACTTGATGATCCCGGGCCTCTTCATGGTCTTCAAGCAGCCGACTCCGGTCATCTCGAGAAACGGGCTGTTCTTGAGAAAGTCCAAGCCGTCCTTCGGTTTCTGGCCGTCGTTGTAGATCAGGTACGCGATGTGCTGCACCCACGTCGTGCCGCACTTGGGATACGTGACGACGAACACGTCGTCCGAGCCAGGCTTGTACTCCAGCGCCGACTTAAGCAGGTCGGCGTGGAACGCGCAGGAAAGTCGGTAGCCGTCGAAGTCGACGTAGCGAGGTCGCAGGTTCGGGTCCTCTTCGGTGGCAGCCATCTGCGTTAATTAATGTACGGGGTAGCTGGATTCAAGCGTTCCGTGAGCGCAAGTTGGCTGTTTAGGCATAATCGTAGCGAAACGATGCCACAGTGACGGCTCACCAAGGTTAGCGGCTACGGCTTTGCGTGCCGGCAAACTGCCCTTTTCCGGCGCCGTGGGTTCGCACGACGGTGATGCTGTTTTTACGCATCACTTACATTACGCGACCTTATTTCAAGTCGCTAGACGATATGCCCAACGACTTAGATGATATGACCAACGAACGCAACGTTAGGCGAAGAAAGGTTTCGGGCATTGGTGGTATAGAGGTGGTTTAAACAGTGAACTGCGATATAAAAAGAATAAAGTTACTTTCGTGTTTGTGTCATCTTAGGCAAATGAATAAGGAACCGCGTGGCTTGTGCTTCCTTTGTATATGCCCATATATTCTATTTCTATGTATCGCTTTCCTAAACGTGTTCACATACCAGCCTCCTCTCTTACCGGCCCCTCTTACCGCTTAGCGTTTGACTGTGCGCGAGACTAACCCGTGAACGCTAAGTCGTGGTTAGCACCAGACGTTGGTTAGTACCAGACGTTGAATACATCGCGTATTAACCTTAATTCTTCTTTTCCATGTCTCTTCCATGTTGCCGCCCGTCCGCAATCATCGGCAAAGCTCGCTTCTTCCTTGCTTATTTGATTAGCTCGGAAATTGAACAACGCACAATTTTTCGCAATACCTCTTGAATTATGTTCTCTTTACAATATGTTGCCCCGCGACGGTGGTCTAGTGGCTAAGGTACTCGGCTACTGACACGCAGGTCGCGGGATCAAGTCCCGGCTGCGGCGGCTGCATTTCCGATGGAGGCGGAAATGTTGTAGGCCCATGTGTTCAGATTTGGGTGCACATTAAAGAACCCCAGGTGGACAAAATTTCCGGAGCCCTCCACTACGGCGTCTCTCATAATCAATAAACCCCCGTACCCCGCACCTCCACCACTCTGTTACGCCTGAAGTAGGGGTACGGGGGTTTATTGAACGGAAGCTGGGATGGCGAGGCCGCACCGGATAAAACTGCCGAGAGATCTTCTTCTTCCCAAGTCCACACTTCTATTCCCTCTTATCAATCCGGCACATACACGTCGTAATAATATATTGGTTTTGGGACGTTAAACCCCACAAATCAAACATAATGCCAACACACCAGAAACGCTGCTTTACTAATTCGATTTGATTTAATTTATACTGGTTTATGTTTACACGCATGTATACAACAGCGTTTCAAATGGACGTGATGAGGGAGACTCGCGGTTTCGAAACGGGACTTGTCGCCGCTGCGCGGCAGACGCATCGCGAGACGCACGCTCAGCGGAGCCCGCCGCGGTGTGAAGTGTATGGGCTCTAGCTGCGAGGAGTGGGCGTGTCTGAAGTGCGTGCCAAGTTGTGTCAAGGCTGAACTCGAGGCGCCCCGTCGCGCGCAGTTCTCGAGTCGACAACGCTTCCGGGCTGCGGCGGTCGATACTCCTAGCGCCGCGGCGACCGAGAACAGGCGGCGCTCAGTGTGTTGCTTTTGGCCGCGAAGCCATCCGAGCTGTTGGAAGCACGTGTTTTTCCCCGAGAAACATTTCGCAATGACGCGACCGAGCAGGCTGTGCGGGAACGCATACCTAAGAGTATGCGCCCTCAAGAGATGTGACTCTAAGATCGCGCAATATATTTGCACTGACAAATTTAGCTGTTTAAGAGACGTTTAGAGTCTGTTGGTGCCCGACGGATGGTGTGAGGAAGAACGCGCTGGCGGACTAGTTGGTGCATAGATTTATGTACAAGAAGTATCTGCAGTGCAATGTAACGAAGGCAAAGTGAAGACACACAAACGATATATCGTCCATATGTCGCTCCTTCGTCTCCGCAAATTTGAAAGCGCATGAGCTTTAGCTTGTTGGTACATAGCCGTAACCACGAATTTCATATTGAACTTTTGTTCGCCCTTTCTTGTTCCTGTTTAGTTGCGCTTAACATACTTGGCATATATCAAGGCGCAGGGAAAACTAAGTCAACTTTTGCAGAAACAGCACTGAGCCTTCGTGCCTCCAGCAAAACGTTGCGTTTGCCAAGGTTGTATTCGGTTTCCATGGTTTGTAGGGAGCACGCAGTAACCTGCTTCAACCGGAACGCCAGCGACATGCCAAGACACACCGGCCTTGCAGAGGCACGCGGTGCGTGCTCGACGACAGCACTTGACACGCGTCCATCGCCGCACTCGTAGCGGAGCAAACCACGCGCACACGTGGACAAGGACGGCTGGGCGACCGAAAAGTGAAAGTACGCAACGGAAAAGGGAGGACGCGACGGCGAGCTAAAAGAGGCGGAAGAAACGGAGATACCGATGATTTCGATACTCACCGCTGCAAATCAAACCTTGCTCCTTGTTCCAGTCGTGGGCGCAGGGTAAACAAATGCCGACGGCGAGCCGTCCTAGCAGGGTCGATGGGCTGGGCGCTGTGTCCGTGTCGCCAACCCGCTTGGCTCGACTCCAAATAAGTGATGATGCTGCCGACGACTGGAGCCGACGGAGTGCGAGAGGAGCGCGTCGTCACCTCTAGCAGGACCACCGCGTTTTCTTTTTGCCGTGTACGTTGTTCTCTTCCGGTAACATCCTTTCCTTTTCTTTTTTTTTTCGCACTCTTTTCTTCACTCGGTGGTCGTCCCAGATATTGAGCGGGCTTCCCGGTTCTCATCGCTTATGGCAGATGGCGGCACTGCCAAATTCCCGCAGCAAATGGAACGCCGTGTATGGACGCGAAGGTGTTGACCGCTGAGGACAGTGTTATTTGCGATGACTCTCTTATATCGGTCGTCGTTATATAGCTTCCTGTCTCGGTTTGCTGTATATATTTTATTTTGTTAGTTCGCACATTCAACACACACACACACTTACATATATATATATATATATATATATATATATATATATATATATATATATATATATATATATATATATATATATATATATATATATATATATACACATTAAAGAATTTGAAAAACTATACACACACACACACACACACACACACACACACACACACATATATATATATATATATATATATATATATATATATATATATATATATATATATATATATATATATATATATATATATATATAGTTTTTCAAGTTCTTTCAATGAGTCAAATGGACTTGGGAAGAGATGAAACACAACTTAGCGGTTGTCTCCTAATTTATTTTTAACGGTTTCTACCGGTGGAAATAAAACTAAGACATCCGCAAAGTTGTGTCTCATCTCTCTCTCTATCTCTCTCTCTAGAGCTTCCCTGCAGGATGAGTTCAATTACTTCAATATCCAAAGAAGACAGTCTAAAAAGGCAAAACACTCCTGATTTTAAAATTTCATCGCTGAGAGGGAAGTTTACTGCCGCTCCCAGCTGTAAAACGGCGAAACCCTTCACGAGCTCGACGGCTGTCGCCTTGACGTAACAGATTTAGGGCTAATGAGGAAAAAAAAAACAGAGAACGTAACGCACCAGATCCCAAGTGTCCCATTTCTGTTGATGTGGAGATGGAACTTCTTTTGTCAGCAGTCATGTTGCTGCGCAGATGTTGCGGGTTCGAATTCACTCTGCGCATGAATTTCTGCATTCCCAAAAATAAGAAGAAGGGGTCGTTTGTTGCAAAACATTTATGAAATATATCAGTTAGTTTAGTTCGCGTATAACAGGGTTATTGTTTATATCATTAGGCAAAGCGATGACGTTTGAACTACATAGGCCCCTTTGCAGCGTTACTGACACCTGATAAAGTCTAGAATTGCGTTTTCTACATATTACACTGCATGAATAGAGTATGAATACCGGCATTGTCGAACGGACTAACCGCAAAAGCACTGGAAGATACCATATTCTCGGAATCAAATGAACCATTAAATCTTTTGCTTGACTACTGTTATTCGCAGTTGCTGGAGATAACACGTCATGTCACGACGAATCTGGCCTTTGAATATATTGCTGTCTCTGATCTACGCGCTCGAGTGGAAATTATACGCCAATGTTACCCGAGTTGAAAACGGGGGAGACGAAAGTATGTGCCTATCAAGCCTGAGTTGTCCTAGTACAATGTGTGAGTACTGTATACGTTCAGCGAGGCCTTCTCTTTCGAGAATTTGCGAGAGATCGCGTGAATAGTGTTTACGTAATTAAGTCACGCAACTATGGCTCAATTGTGGCTGCGCTGTCTGAGGGCAGATTTAGACCCCCACTCGGTTCATATGCTGTGACGCCTGGCGCGATCTTTAAGGAGAGACCTACCACTACATGACATTCTTATAACATTTTTTACGAAGCAGTTTCAATGCCTAGAGTGGTCATACATCATGAAGATCTTGACGCAATGCCAATGACGAGTTATTCTTGCAAATGGGTTAGCCAAACAACTAGAATGTACAAGCTCAACGAGCCAGGACTTGGACTATAGCTACTGAAGTGAAAAACGCTCACGGACATGCCTGAGTAATTATGTCCCTTCACAGTCTACGCACGAGTTCTCAGATGTTAACAAGCAAGTAATCACCATCAAATGGAAGCCCAAGAGAAGCGTTGTGACTTCCGTGAAGAAGTTCGAAAAATTCGAAAATTATATAAATTTTTTACATCCCTAAATCATTTTAGTACAAAAAATTGTCACTGAGTAATAAGGTTCGTTGAAAAAATAATGTTTATTATACTGCATATCGATAATATGCTCAACGACGAAAGAAAGTGCCAACATAAATAATAAAATTGTCACTATGATAGTCATTATTCGGTTGACTGCACATATACCAGTATTGATTAAGATTATACCTGTTCGTTGCCTCGGCAAATGTTTGACTTCACCACTCGACTGCTCAATTCAATCGACAAACGCGCTATTAGTGAAGAAGAAGCGTGCTATTGATGAACGTGAGGAAGACTAAAATAATTTTTTTTTGCTGGGAAAATGAAAGAAAATCCCAAAAATGTGACGAAAGAAAGGAGAATCCTACAAGCGGCTAGGCGCCAAAAGAGGCCAGATGCGTTTATTACAAGCAGTGCGGACAACTCCGGTCTATGCTTATCTGAAATGTTTGTGGCTCATTTCGAAATATTGAATTAAGTTTATTGCGCAAGAAGGTTGCGTGGAGATCAGTCGAAAAAGCTGCACTGAACAGCTTGAGGAGATTCTGGCCACCTACCACACCGAGCAGTTACAGCACTTCAAGGCATGCGCTATAACTAATGCATGAACAGAACAGCAAAAATAGTAAGCAAACACGGGAAGAAATAATGAACAAAGGTATTGTGTAAACAGTTGAAGACCAAATGAAAAAATACCCGTTGTGATGAAGACAGCAAAAAACAAAAAGAACAGGTGAACCTGAGGCAATACAGGCAATCATACGAATATGTCACGTACGCTTTTCAGCGACAGATTGGATATATCGAGACCATTTTCTTTATGTTACCGATTTAAAATAGTCGGTAAACAATACTGTAGCATTTGGTCACCGTATACAGTTGTGTTTTTGTTGACAATCCAAGGTTCTGTCTGACGAAATTTATAAAAGCAATTATGTTGCTGTAAGGATGCTGGCTGTATTAAAGAGTCATCATTCTTAATTTTGCCCACTCTATACATGCGAGAAAGCCTATATGTATACAAATATTCAAAATTTATGTATCGCTGGGAAAACTTGTTTCGTGGCCTGAATCGAATGACGGCCGTGACTAACGAGAAACAAGGCGTGGCTTCATAGGGGAACACCTGCTCGCCACAGAGAAGGCCTGGGTTTGATTTTCACTCCGACAGGAGATTTATTATTCATTCATTCGCATCTATCTCGAACATTCGCGAACAGAACGCGACGATTCTTCGCTCACGACCAACGACGCCAACACCGGTAACCGATGGCGACACCGGAGTTCGCAAAATGAGCTCTTGTGCGATATCGCGTCGTATGTAGTTAGAAATCGATCTTGCCTAAATATTTTTTATTGCGATAGCAATTATATGGGCACTCTCGGCTCGATTTTGCCAGCGGCGTCGGTGTCGCCGTCCCTCACTGTACATGTATACGTATCTATATACATGAAAATGCTAGGAAGAAAAAAACAAGGAAAACACTCCGGTGAGCGGATTCGAACACAGGACATTTGCGTCGTTAAAGCAAGGCGTTAACCACTGAGCCACCGTGCAGCACCTTCTTCACTATTCAAATGGCAAGGTATTTATATCTGCCTCTTACCGCTGCTCACGAGCATCTCGGGGGAATTGTGTTTTCAGCATTACCAGCAAGATGAAGGAGTGAGCGAGCGTCGCCACATCGAGCGGCGGCACCCGCTCTGATATCCTGCGCATACTTTGCCCGGCTTAGAAAAGGGGAGCAATGCTCCCTCGCGCGCCTTTATCTCGCGGTGGCGAGTAACGGAGAATGGTACGTCTCTGCTGCCCTCGGGCTTTACCTGGAACGATTCTACTGTTGTTACCGGGCACACAAAGACCACTGCAATCATTGCAGACTCCGTTTGTGAAAAGCGCACGCTTTTCAGACACTGCGGAGTAACAAATGAGACGCTTATGCGCGTGCATCCGTATCTGTGAGTACGTTTCGTGCGTCATTTGTGCGTGAGAAACGCGGGGCATGTTTCGACGTACTTTCTATTCTGCGCGTGACCTTTCAATTTGTTGCTATTGCGTTCATTGCTTCGCCTGTGCGGCAAAGCTGTGACTCTTTTTTTACACATCCCCGTATAAGCGGGGGGATGGAGTGGGTTAACTAAAGTATGTAGTCAAGATTAAGTTCCGCGTCGTCTGTGAGAAACTTTTTTGGAGATGAACAGCGCTGCTTTGTGGCTCAACCCACTCGTGGCTCGTTGGTGTATGCGGCGAGATGCAACCGAGAGCAAACCATCAGCCTTATAGAAAAGCACTGAAAAGATATTTTTTTTTCATTGCGATAGCAGTTTTATAGGGACACAAGGTGCATGTTGCCCATCGCTCTCATGTTGCTTATAAAGTTCAAATTACATCAGGCGCTCTTACCTCTTACTGAGGTTTTAATATATTCAACAAGCTTGTACCTGATCTAGGAATAATTATTTACTCCCGAACGGAACATCGCTCATGCTATTTTCTGAAATTCTCTGATAACTTCTAATAGTAAAGTGGTTGTAATTTCATAGTTAGGTTACTGAAATTTATCAACATAGCTAGTTTCTTTACGCCGTTCTTGCTTAACAACACGAATGGCAGGATAGCTTGCAAACTATTCTATATCGGACGCGTGTGCGAAATTATTTTTCACTCTCACCATGTACGGAAACGCTCTGCTGATTTCAGCTTTTATGATCTAATATTATAGGTCTGCTTGTGGAATCTTGCATAAGACTCAGTACGAGTCAACTTGTAAAAAAAAACGCTTTAATTATCCCAGGACTCGCTGGGATTTCACCGACGCGCATAAACTTGCAATATCACCTGTTGTACAAGACAGCGTTCGCCACGTCACGTCCTATCTGTTCCGTTCGGTGAACCACTCTCTTGGCATCATCAGCTGTGATGACATCTTTCCAGGAGCCTACTTTACCGCTACGTACACAGCGGACACTAGACATTGCGTCCAAGAACCCTGCACACTGCACCGATGCGTGGAAGGACTTGACCCCTTCGGAGTACCTCATATCCGCCGCCAGGTTCTCGAACGGGATGTACAGAAACTCTTCCATGTATTTGTTTGTTTTCGACTTCATGTAAGACACCGTGCTCTTCTCCTGGCACTTCTTGAACACGCTTCTGCTCTTGAACAGCTTGTGTTCCACCCCAAGGAACGCTGACAGGCGTTTCACGGTGTCTTGAAAGTGGGAATGCAGTTCCTCGTAGGTCAGCCAGAACACGTTGGGGTCATCCCGGTGATCATACCAGGACCTCAAGTGGGCGAAGTATCCCCGGTAGTCGACGGCGTCACTACAGAAGAGGTCCAAGAAGTCGCTCAACAGGCCGTCGTTGAACTCGTACGCGGGGTACGTTCGGAGACGCCGATACATGCCTGCGCAGACGTCGCGAGGGTCCCGCACGAGCACGATGTACTTAGCCCGCAAGGACTTCGGGATGAAGTCGTACGGAAGATGCGACGTGATTACCCGCGGCCTGGGGGCGTCTTCTACGGCTTCGGATCCTTCTAGCTCGAGCAAAGGAAAGGTCCCGAAGAGGCTCGCGGCGTCCTTGGGCGAAGACCCGTCGTGCAGCAGAACGTAGAGAATCTGCTGCATCCACAGCGTGCCACACTGGGGATAAGTGACGAGGAAGACGTCGCCGTCCTTGGCCTTGTACTGAAGGCCCGAGGCGACCGCGTACGGTGGGTAGAAGTTGGCGAGCCGGAGTCCAGAGATAGACTCGTAGAGCGGTAACACGCGCTCGTCTTCCATATTCGCCCACTTTTTTTACTCCTCGGGTGTCTTGTACGCTGATTTCGGTAGACCACGGATTTCCTGTTGACCCAGAACGTCCAAATGTCCACGAACGCCACCAGCGCTGAAATGCTTGAATAACGGATTCCTGTTGGTGAAGAAAGAAGTGCTCTTGTATACCATTTGTGTTCACGTTTAGACACTCTCGCACACAAGGAAAGAATCATTTGAATGTCGTTTGCCACCTATATAAATTGTATATATAACTGTTTAACTAAGCACTTGAGCGTTTAACTAAGTCGCGTGACAGACGACCCTGTAACATAAAGTTAATTTGCCGCTTAGAAGGGAGTTACAGTACATGTGATAATTACATACGCAGCAAAAAAAAATGTCCAATTACTTGTTCATTATTTTTTCTGAGAGTATAATAAATGAACCCGAGGCTGCTAAGAACACGGAAATATAGCACTGGAATAAAGATAGACAACTTTTGAGGCCAATTTTGAGACGCGTATCTTGTGAAGTGTCCACACGACCCAACGTGTGCGCGAAAACCCTGTTCAAGTCAAAATTTCAACTACTACGTCGACAAATGTTTGTAGACGTAGAGCTGCTTGTTTTGAACCAAGAAACTCTGTCAATTACTTTCTTGCCGCTGTCACTTTTACATTAGCATGTGGCGCATGTAGCGCCAAAAGTTTCGGCAAATTACGATACACGTGACCATTTTATAGGAAGAATCGAGTATTGCAGCTCACTGAAATGCAATCTTTCTTAGTACTTAGTTATTTGCCTAAACTTTTAGAATAATGAAAACATTTTATTATGCAAATTTGAAGAAAACGGGGAGTCCCTATTTTAAGACACCTATGGAAACCTCTGAGACAGCCCGGGCCTGCAGAACAAGCGCCCAACAGACCTCGGGGGCGCCTTCGCGAAGGGTCTCTTCCTATTGCTCTGACGTATGGTTGGACTAAAGGATTAGAGGGGGGGGGGGGGTGCACTCTACGGTAACGTAAAGAGCTGTGGGGATAGGCATCATTGGACAGGCATCAGTATAATAAGTGAGGTATATTTCATGCATGACGTGGAGGTTCGCAAAAGTTCGGGTCTGCAGCCGGTGCAGTGCGACAGCCTCCTCTCGTGTGAAGGAGTCTTAGGAGAGAACTCACGTTTACTAGTGCCTCGTATGAAGTGTACTAAAGAGAGCGCAATGTGTACTGTTTCACAGCAGAGTACCGTTAATTTGTAGGGATCGGTTGAATATTTACTCACGCATGAACCAGGTGTGAGAACACACTGCAAACAAATTGGCCCAAATGGTACGTAAATTTTAATCAGTGAGAATATGAAGCACGTCCGAACGCGTTAGCGCCTTGACAGGTGGCACGTTGCATCAAATCACAGGTGCGTAGACTGTGGGCGATGCGAAACAACAGCGTGGTTTGAATCTATTGCTAGTAACGTTGCGTGGATTCTTGTTTAGCGCACCCTTAGAGTTACATCGATGTCGCAAATAAATGACACGTTTACGTAACTGGCGCTATTGGTCACAACGTCCACGATCTGGAGACGCCATGGTGCCAGGCAGAATTGCGTGAACCATCACAGCCTGCAGCCTTCCCAGCCTTACATTATCATCATCATCCTCCGTACGCCCACTGCAGGACAAAGGCCTCTCCCATGTTCTTCCAGTCAGCATGGTTCTGCGCTTGCTCCTGCCACTTTATACCAGCTGAAACGGGTTGTTGAACAAGCAGGAGTTGACTCGGCGAAGGAGAGCTTTATTTAGCGCAAGGGCTAACTGAACGCAAGCCTGCGATCACAGCAAGTCTTCTTCCTTTTCTATCCTCGAGCTCCATGCCCACTGCCCTCGTTACAACCACCCCCGGCCGATGAGGGAGCCATCCTGGCGACCTAAGGACAGGTGTAGACAGAAGGGTCATGGTATGGCTTGAGCCGAGAGATGTGTACGATTTCTTTTCCCCGACGGCGCTTGTCCGGAGATGCATCCAGCGGCTCGACAAGGTAGTTGACTGGGGATGTTTGGCGTACAACTCGATAAGGGCCATGGTACCTGGACGAAAGCTTGTGGGAGAGTCCTGGTATCACTTCCTAATATCATCTGTTTACCTAACTTTATGTCTCTTACCCGCTTGCCTTCTATGGGAATCCAGGCAGTTACCTTTAATGACCAGCAGTTACCCTGCCTACACGCAACGTGCCCGGCCCATGTGTATCTTCTTCTTGATTTCAGCTACGATATCCTTGACCACGGTTTGTTCCCTAATCCAATCTGCTCTCTTCTTTTCTTTTAAGCTTACTCTTGTCATTTTCCTTTCCATCACTCGCTGCGGCGTCCTCAATTTAAGCTGAACCCTTTTTGTGAGTCTCCAAATATCTGCTTCGTATACGTAAGACCGAAAAAATGCAGCTGTCTTAGACCTTCCTCTTGAGGGATAATGACAATCTATACCAGTCATGATTTCAGAATGCCTGCTGAATGTGCTCTCCGTCATTCGTTTTCTTCTGGCTTCACATATAATCTACCAAACCACCCTTGGATACCTGTAGTTTACGAGTTTGAAGATATGGCGTTGATGCATTTTTCCAGGCGCTGTTATTTTCGATTTTTCATATTTCGTGCAGAAAGAGGAGGATTTACAGCAGTGCAATGTTGAGTAATGAGATGAATAACAAGACAACACACGCAAGTCTGCAGCACTTCTACGCATTGGTTAAGTAAACTTTTCTTAGAGAACGGAAGTATGAACAAATGCTGTCGCATGAATGGCACAGAAACTCTAAGCCACATTTCAGTGCTCGCACACACCGCTCGACAGTTTTCGATAACCGTCATTAACTTTCACCTGACGTGTTAGCTGTGGTGCTCGACTGCTGACTCAAAGGTCGCGGGGTCGAATCCCAGCCGCGGTGGCCGCATTTTCGACGAGGCCCATAAACGATTGAGGCCCGTGTCTAAATGATCCAGGTGCACGTTAAAGAAACTGACTTAGTCGAAATTTCTGGAGCCCTCCACCTATCAAAATCATATCGTCGTTTACTGACGTAAAATCCCAACAACTACTGCCACTTTCGGACGATATAGACACCTCTGAAGACGTGACAGATCGTGGAGCCTAAACGAAAAGCGAGACCGACAAAAGATATTATTGATCCAAACAACACCGAAGGCAGATGCCAAGCTTCGTAATGGCGTAACATATGTGCGTTGCCGTCAATCACGTGCTCCTTGTGTTTCATAGTATTGACTCTCATAGAGTCCGTGCCGCTTACCTTACGTGTATCCTAATCACAGCTCCACCTTTTGATGCGCACTGTCGATAACGTATATCCACCGGGCTAAAACTCGTATCCTTTGGTTTGGGACAACAACGTATATGGTCGGCCGCTCGCTCAGCGAAACCGTCGAGCACACGACGATGTGAGCTTCCTTCTAACGCACTGTGCACTGCCTTGTCAGCGAGCCACTCTCGGAGCGATGACCTACCTACCAGGCTTTCCGGCAAAGGGGCACTCCTCGAGACGGGAAAGGTGAGCAGAAGAAGGAGGAACCCTGTAGTGAAGAAAGTGAGAAGTCATAATCAGACTGTGACCGAACGTATAGCAAGAAGGGAAAGGGTACAGGAAAACAATCGGTGTCTGAGTCACGGGGCTGAGAAAGTAAGGGCGAAAGGTGGTGGTGCGTATGCAAAATGCCAAACGAACACGCTTGAGGAAATGGCTTCGGCTTGCTGTATAACTCGGTGGGAGCCATATTCAGAGCCGGTCAAGCAAAGCCAGGACGACGGAAGAAAAGAGAAAAAAGTGAAGAACTTCGTAACGATCTCTCTCCCCCCGTTCTCTTTTTTTTGTTTTTTTTGCACTCTCTTTTTTTCCTCGGGTGGCGTGCTCCTACTACGGCCGAGTTCCGCATTGCTGTGCAGCGTGTGCGCAAATATATTGCGTCGCCGTCATGATGGCTTCCTTCCGCCCAGCCATCAAAAATACTAAAATGCGAAAAAAAAAATTGGAAGGTAATGGCGTGGCGTCAAGTGGTGAAACGTCCCTTCCGGAAAGAAACTGGTCTCATTTTCGCTGCGTTTTTTTCACTACTATTTGCTGAGTTAAGTCGATTCTTCAAAAACTCTCACAGATCATGCAAGAAGCTATGGGGAGAGAGGGTAGAGGCAGTGACAATGCATTCTGACGTCGATTCGCGGTGGGCCTAGTGCATCATCCTGCCGGGCTACGAGGTCGGCGACCATGACTACGTTTCCAAAAGCTGCTACGGTTAATGTGCAAGAGCATGGCGACGAAAAATATGGCTATCATTGTAAAAAACTGTCAAGCTTGCGCTGAACGCGCAGCACTGTCACGGCGAAAGCTAGAAGAGCGGCCTTTAAGAGCCTTTTTTAACACTCCTTGGGTAGATGCTGCAAACAAACTTGCAGAGTATCCACTACGCCATTAATCATAGTGTAATAGGCAGGCATTCACTGTGTCATCGTTCGTCATTCTTCAGAGAAGCGTGGTATCCGCTAAACACTTGCAACGAAATTCGTGCCAATTTTATTTTTCATACAGTGGCTGACGACGATGAAGAATTACGCCTAAAGTGAGTATGTGCAACAGTTAATAGGTGATGAATAACAAGTTTTTTTTTTTAAATGTGTTGGAGCATTGGACGACACACTCGCTACGCAACTCGCATTGTGTGAAGCATGTTGATTGATATGTGGGGTTTAGCGTTCCAAAACCACCATATGATTATAACAGATGTCGCTGTGGAGGACTCCGAAAATTTTGACCACCTGGGGCTCCTAACGTGCACCTAAACTGAGCGCACGGGCCTGCAACATTTCGGCCTCCATTGCAAATGCAGCCGCCGCAGCCGGTATTCGATCCCGCGACCTGCCGGACAGCAGCTAAGTACCTTTGCCACTAGACCACTGCGGCGGGATGTGTGAAGCATGTTGGTCTTTTGCTGTTCTAAAACGCTATATTATTCATATTAACGCCTTTCTCGACATCACGCCTGCCGAAGGCAAGTTTGAGAACGAGTCCCAAGCGCCGGCGTGGTTCAGCGGTAGAACAATGGGCACGCAGTGGCACGCAGTGGACTCGGTGTCGAATCCCACAAGTCTTTAATGCTTTTATTCAAGCTTTCTTTTACTTATTTCGTGCGATAGTGGTTTCGAACACCGTCGGTGGTGGCGGACAACTACGGCACCGTATGCGACCCGTGTTGTGATCTCATAACAGCTTTCCCTGTAAAACAAAAACAAGGTTAGGGGCATTTATACCAGCTTGCAACGTGGGAGTGGTAAATCACACGTCCTAACATGATGATCGTAACATGCGTGTCACGTGAAACTTGAGTTACTGCTATGCTCATAGCGTGCTCGTGGCTGTTTCTCTAGCTCCACATACAAAATTTCGTATCACGTGACGTGAATAAACAACAAGATTAGGGGAATTTATACCAACTTGTCACTTGGGAGCGGAGATTATTTCCCAATAAATAAAATCAGAAGATTTGCCTATCCAGCATGTAAAGGTCTAGTGGCTCAGCGTCAGCTCAATTCCTGGAAACGGCGGCAACCTATATATTGTAACAAGCGTGTTCTTCGGAGGAGTTTCAGCAAGAAACTCGCCAGGGCAAGCAAGACAGCTGCAGCACAGGAAACAGGAGGCCGAGAGCGTGACACACGAACTTCGTCGTCTTTCCTCTCACTGGCACAGAGCTAGCGCCGATGTGCACCGGTACAATATATAGGAGAGGCAAAACGCAGTAAGAAGACACACCACACAAACACACACATACACACACAAAAGACCGCTTTTGCTTTCAGATTTAGGGGCAGGATAGCGCCCCCCGTGAATTAATGTTATTTCCGGTGCCCCTATGTACTACTGCGTGCCTGGCAATAATATCGTACATTTTGTGGCCTGAAAATGTTCAGAATTAAAAAAAAACAATGCGCCAGTTAACTATAGGTATGGACTGTATATAATAACTACAGCCGATAGACTACATATATATTTGCCAATATTGAATACTTGTAGCTTGAGCACAGTCTAATGTTGAAGAACACCGCCTGGGTAGGTACAATACTCAGAGATTTAAAGGTGACATAAGTTTTTTTTTTTTTTAGTGTAACGAGTGGTATGCGCAATTACTCGAAATAACTACGCCATGTGACGACGAATCTGGTCTCTAGATATGATGTCTATTATGATCTACGCGTCCTAGTTAAAATCACGCCGATATAATCAGAGTTGAATACTGTGGAAACAAAATGATGCGCGTGCTACGTAACCTGATGTTGTACTATTTCAATCCGCGAGTATACCGTACAAAGCATACATTCACACAGAGAGGAGAAGTTACTGTGGTAGGATTATCTGTAAGAGGGAATACGAGACGATCCTAAAGCTAGTAATATAACATCGACGAATCTGATGAAAGACTCTTGAACACGACCAGTGACAAACCGTGTCGAAAAACTTTTTTTCTCTTGAAGCTTCCGAATTCCTTGAGCTTCTGCCTCAGAGGGTAGTCGAAGACATATATGACCAAAACGCTTTGCGAATAATAAAGAAAAGTATTTTCAGTTCTTTACTTTCGAGGACATCGGCTTTGGCGAATGCAAACACAGGGTAGCAGAAATAATCTGTAGTTTTATCTCAAACGTGATGAAGATTGATTGATTGATGGATTTATTTGTAGAGTTCAACGTCCCGAAACCACGATACGATTATGAGAGACGCCATAGTGGAGGGCTCCGGAAATTTCGACCACCTGGGGTTCTTTAACGTGCACCCAAATCTGAGCACACGGGCCTACAGCATTTCTGCCTCCATCGGGAATGCAGCCGCCGCAGCCGGGATTCCAACCCGCGACCTGCGTGTCAGCAGCCGAGTACCTTAGCCACTGGACCACCGCGGCGGACCAAAACGGAACAAAAAAAAGCCAGCGTGGAGGATGAAATAACTTGCCGCTGCTCGAATGCAAACGCACATCCCACGAATTAGAGCCGGATACTGTCCACAATATAATCTACGGCTTTGCTTGTACTCACGTAACATCTTCGTGGGCATTAGAGTTCTGTGAGTATTAGTGATAACTTGGTGTGGGCTCATGCTAAATTTTCATGATAAACATCGCTCGGAGATACTTTAAGCAAATGCTTCTTTGTGCTACCATTTGAAAGAGGGAATAAAGACTGAGTATTTAAGAATACCACTTAAAAACGCACCCGTACAAATAACATAGAAAACGAAAGTAATGTACAACTTCGGAAGAAAACAGTGCTTCGAGGTAGGTAATAGTGCACCTGAAGTTGTAAAAGACTATGTCTGCATGGGACAGGTAATAACCGCGGAGCCGAAAACGAGACTGAAGTAACTAGAAGAATAAGAATTGGGTGGAGCGCATTTAGCGAGCACTCTCAAATTATGACAGGTGGATTGCCCCTATCCTTCAAGAGGAAGGTATATAACAGCTGAATCTTGCCGGTACTTAGCTATGGAGCAGAAACCTGGAGACTTACAAAGAGGGTTCAGCTTAAATTGAGGACGACGCAGCGAGCAATGGAAAGAAAATTGGTAGGTGTAACTTTAAGAGACAAGAAGAGAGAAGAGTAGATTAGGGAACAAACTGGTGTTTAAGATATCATGGTTGAAATCAAGAAGAGGAAATGGACATGGGCCGGGCATGTAGCACGTCGACAGGGTAACCACTGGTCATTAAGGGTAACTAACTGGATTCCTAGAGAAGGCAAACGGGTTAGGGGGAGACAGAAGGTTAGGTGGGCAGATGAGATAAATTAAAGTTGCGGGTATAAATTGGCAGCAGTGGGCACAGGACCGAGTTGACTGGCAGAACATGGGAGATGCCTTTGTTCTGCAGTGGACATAGTCGGACTGATGATGATGATGATGAATAATAACATGCCTCAGAAAATAGCACCTCAGTCAGGATCAGTGGCAGAGCTGACGAGAAAAAAGGACGTGGTGGTGCCAGGTGGATTGCCGCTTTTTCCATAGACAGCGATTCTCCTGTGTATTGGCTCAGAAAGGGTTCAAGCAAACGGGTTACCGGCTGCTAAAGAATGCTCGATAAGAAACAACAAAATGACGTTTCGGCTCGGGTACAGGAGTAATGGTCGGAATTGTTACATGTGAGGTACGCACGTGGTGCACACAGGTCCTGTTATCAAACGACGTTTCGGTAAACGTGAGTATAGATCTGTACTGCCTTTTCTATATATCGGCTGCATGCCGTGGTTCGAAGAATCGGCGTATCCAGAGAGTTCAAAAGTCCCCCCCCCCCCCTCTTCGGACATCTTTCAATTTTGCGTGTGTGTACTAGATTCATGGTGTTCAGAGAAATCTGTCTAAAACAATCAAAATTTAGGGAAATGCAATATTTGTGCGATGCCTTTAGAATTACTTCCGTAGTGGCAGGTATGTTAAAATGACTAACGACTTGATTGCGGACAGCATTCAAAAAGTGTAATTAGTGAACGTTATATCAGTGTAGTCAGGCGGTTATGACAAATGGGAGAATTGAGGTACTTTATGCGAAGAAACCCACTGCAGCTTTGAGATTTCAAAAATAAAAAAAAAAATGTTCGTTAGTAACAATTGCCCAGTAACAAAGTCTTCCCTATTTCCACGACGAAACCAAAACGTAGACACATCAGAGAGCACTTGTCACACTCAAATGTGCCGAATGAGTGAGCGTCGGGACACTTCAACTATCAATCGACCTCGTTGTATGGGTTGCGGGATGCGCTCGCATTTACAGCTCGAATGGCGCACATACGTTAACGAATGCAGAATACGTTCCATGCACATACGCTCCACGTTAACGGACGTATAAGAATTCATCATCATCATCATCATCATCATCATCATCATCATCATCATCATCAGCCTGACTACGTCCACTGCAGGACAAAGGCCTCTCCCATGTTCCGCCAGTTAACCCGGTCCTGTGCTTGCTGCTGCCAATTTATACCCGCAAACTTCTTAATCTCATCTGCCCACCTAACCTTCTGTCTCCCCCTAACCCGCTTCCCTTCTCTGGGAATCCAGTCAGTTACACTTAATGACCAGCGGTTATCCTGTCTACGTGCTACATGCCCTGCCCATGTCCATTTCTTCTTCTTGATTTCAGCTATGATATCCTTAACCCCCGTTTGTTCCCTAATCCACTCTGCTCTCTTCTTGTCTCTTAAGGTTACACCTACCATTTTTCTTTCCATTGCTCGCTGCGTCGTCCTCAATTTAAGCTGAACCCTCTTTGTAAGTCTCCAGGTTTCTGCTCCGTAGCTAAGTACCGGCAAGATACAGCTGTTATATACCTTCCTCTTGAGGGATAGTGGCAATCTACCTGTCATAATTTGAGAGTGCTTGCCGAATGTGCTCCACCCCATTCTTATTCTTCTAGTTACTTCAATCTCGTGGTTCGGCTCTGCGGTTATTACCTGCCCTAAGTAGACATAGTCTTTTACAACTTCAAGTGCACTATTACCTATCTCGAAGCGCTGCTCCTTGCCGAAGTTGTTGTACATTACTTTCGTTTTCTGCAGATTAATTTTAAGACCCACCTTTCTGCTCTCCTTGTCTAACTCCGTAATCATGAGTTGCAATTCGTCCGCCGAAGTTACTCAGCAATGCAATGTCATCGGCGAAGCGCAGGTTACTAAGGTATTCTCCATTGACACTTATCCCTAACTGTTCCCATTCTAGGCTTCTGAAAACCTCCTGTAAGCACGCGGTAAATAGCATTGGGGAGATTGTGTCCCCTTGTCTTACACCCTTCTCGATTGGTATTCTGTTGCTTTCTTTATGAAGCCCTATGGTAGCAGTTGATCCCCTGTAGATTTCTTCCAGAATGTTTATATATACTTCATCTACGCCCTGATTCCGCAGTGTTTGCATGACGGATGATATTTCTACTGAATCAAACGCCTTCTCGTAATCTATGAAGGCTATGTATAGTGGTTGGTTATACTCTGAGCATTTCTCTATTACCTGATTGATAGTATGAATGTGGTCAATTGTTGAGTAGCCTGTTCGAAATCCTGCTTGTTCCTTTGGTTGATTGAATTCTAATGTTTTCTTTACTCTGTTAGCAATTACCTTTGTAAATAGCTTGTATACTACAGAGAGCAAGCTGATCGGCCTGTAATTCTTCAAGTACTTGTCATCTCCTTTCTTATGTATTAAGATGATGTTAGCGTTCTTCCAAGACTCTGGTACTCTTCCCGTCAGGAGACACCTCGTAAACAGGGTGGCTAGTTTTTCTAACACAATCTGTCCTCCATCTTTCAGCAGATCTGATGTTACCTGATCCTCACCAGCAGCTTTACCCCTTTGCATGCTCTCCAAAGCTTTTCTGACTTCTTCTATCATTACTGGTGGGGTGTAATCTTGGTTACTGCTAGTTCTTATAGTATTAAGGTCGTGGTTGTCTCGGCTACTGTACAGATCTCTGTAAAACTCCTCCGCTATATTTTAACTATCCTATCCATATTGGTAGTTATTTTGCCTTCTTTGTCCCTTAGTGCATACATCCGACTTTTGCCTATCTCAAGTTTCCTCTTCAATGCTTTGACACTTCCTCCGTTTTTCAGAGCGTGTTCAATTCTCTCCATGTTATACCTTCTTACATCGCATACCTTACGTCTATTAATCAACTTCGAAAGCTCTGCCAATTCTATTTTGTCGGTTGTACTTGACACTTTCATGATTTGACGCTTCTTAATTTGGTTCTTCGTTTCCTGGGAAAGCTTGCCAGTGTACTGTCTAACTACCCTGCCTCCAACTTCCACTGCACACTCCGTAATGATACTCGTCAGATTATCATTCATTGTATCTACGCTAAGGTTGGTTTCCTCACTAAGAGCCGAGTACCTGTTCTGCAGCGACACTCTGAATTCCTGTACTTTCCCTCTCAGTGCTAGCTGATTGATTGTATAAGAATTACGCCTCTGTAATTGCTATCTACGCCGGCATGGGCTGCTTCGAGTACGAGCGACGAAGAAGGCTGAGAGGCGGGCTCGGAAACCGGCTGTAGCACGCGCTGCAGTGAGAGCCCGCGAAGCCGAAGCTGCGCGGAAGAGCCGGGAACACGATCCCGAGCTGAGAGCCGACGAAGAGGCGCTGAAAGGCGCACAAAGTGGTTGCCGCGTCTTTACATGACGATCGAGTAAGCAGGATTTACGGAGCCTTCACGGTTTACCGATGTGGCTCCGGAGCTTCGCCCACTCATTATCATTCAATGCGTAGATAAGCTGCGATTTTTTTTCTTTATTACTGCCGGGAATCGTCACCATAGACAAGGTGCATCAATGCATTACTTCGCCAGAACAATTATTTTTACCTCGTACAATAATTGAATGTAATTGTATAGTCGAAGCTACATCATAATGCTGATTATTATTCATTTTTTATAATGTTTCGCCAGACATAATAACTTTAGTTCTGTGTTAATGTTTTCTGTTTCCTTTGTGCTTTCATTTTTTCCCCGATATGTTGACTGTTGTACCATTTTATTGCCTTACCTGCTAGGACTACGTGTCAGGAGTATTTTATAAATAAATAAATAAATAAATAAATAAACAAATAAATAAATAAATAAATAAATAAATATTACCTTATTACGTGCCTAGCTACGCAACACTTATTTGTGATGGCGATGATGAGTGTAGCAACGCAATACAGCAATAAAAGACAAGATTGAAATGTGGCAAAGTTGAAAGGCAAGGTGACCTTCGTAAAAAACCAGACTTCCACACAAGAAACGGGTAGTCCCCAACACGCCCAAATCAAGCATGAGGTATTTAGAAACGGCTCAAACAAATACGTGTGTAATCGGGCGCTCATTCCAAGGATGGATTTGTGGAAACGCCTATTTCTGTGCCCTCAGCGAAGCCCGGGTTTTCCGCGAACGAAGCCGCTGTCGGCACCCATATCTGTTATTCATAGAACCAGTTTTTCACTTGATAGGTTACTGAAGAAATTAATCTTGTGCCAAAAGACAAAAAGAAACACACTTTGGAAGTATCCCAATGTCTATTTGGTTCCGCTTACCGGCAAATTTTTTACGTACTGCAGCCTTCTCCTATCAGCTCCTGAGGGTAGTAAATCAGGAAATCACGGGTGTTTTAAATACCACAGAGTTTTATTTCCTTTTTAATTTTTTTATATGGGCTAACGAGCTCCACTTCGTTTTTATTTTCTGATATGGGCTAACAAGCTCCATTTCACTTGAAGTACACAAAATAATGCCTAAATGAAGGTGCAACTTCTCTTATAAATTTTTTTGTGCGTAGGATGCCACTGTACAGTGGCACCACATGCAATATCTGTTGTACCAGCATTCTTTTTACCTTTTCAATGGTCCACCTTTTCATGAACTGTTACTTGAAATATAGCTGCATGATCTATCAAGAACCAAAGATAAAAGGACGCACTCGCACAAGAAACGCCATTTCTTTTCAGCATATGTATGATTACAGAATATAAGCATTAACTATTGTCCAATATCAGAAATTGGTTGTATTATATTTGCAGTATGTGTACAAACCTCTAGACAAAACTAATGAACATTTCTAGTAGCACAATCATATTTGCTGGAAAACAGAAAACGTATTCTCGATTTACAGCGTACGTAGGAGTACAAGAAAAGCTTTCTGAAAGTAAGCACTAGTTTGACAAGGTGATTAAGGGTTGTACAATATGAGAACAATTTATGCCGCGAATTGATTACATGACAGCGTGTTTTCGCCACGTGTCAACCAAGTCTGTATTTGACAGTCGCTCTAGAATCTTCTTTTCCAGCCTTGCGTTTTGTTCTGGAGAAAAATGATTTTTCCAGTCACCGACGATACCCTTACGAATGAAGCTGGCAGTGGAAGGATTCTTCTGCGACACCTCGTGGAAGACCCTGAGACCATCGGGCGCCTCTTTCTCAATCTGTTTCGTGAAGAAGTTTGTGAAGTTCCGCGAGGCGTAGTCCTGCATAGACTTAACGTCGCTGTACTTGATCACATTCTGCAGTATGTCCTCGTTTTCCAGCAACAGCTTGTGGTACGTCTCGTCGAAGAACTCTGCGATTCGAAGCACGCCCTCTCTCGGCTGTGCCTTCATGTCCTCGTAGTGCAGGAAGAGGACGTTCGGGTCGTTGCGGTGCTCGTACCAACCCAGGACGTGATCGAAGTAGTCCCCGTAGTCCGTCTGGCCGGTGACGAAGACCTCGAAGAAGTCGTCGAACTTGCCGTCCGCAAAATCGTATCCTGTGAAACCCTTCGTGTGGTAGTACATGGACACGCAGGTGTCCTTAGGATTGCGGCAGACGTAGAGGTACTTTGCCTGTGGATGCATGGGCATCAGATGGTACGGTAGGTGGGTCTTGATCACTCCTGGTCGCGTCATGTCCGTCACGCTGCTGGCGCCGATCATCTCGATGAAGGGGCTTCTGTGAAAGAATTCCAGCCCACTGGACGGAGGCACGCCCTTGTTGAAGATCAGGAAGCCGATGTGCTGAGTCCACGTCGTTCCGCACTTGGGAAAGGTGACGACGAACTTGTCGTCCGGCTGAGGCTTGTAGCTGAGCGCAGAGCGCAGCATTTCGACCGTGAAGTTTCGGCTCAGCCTTAGGACGCCGTCCATGTCCTGGTACAGTGGACCATTGGGGATGCGGACGTCGACGACGGGCATGTCAGACTGGTCAGGAACGTTCGCGTGTGAATTTCGAGGGGGAGGTACACCTGCGCTGCTGCCCGGTTTGCCTGCGTGGGGGAAGTACAAACAGCTTATTCAGTAGAAGTCCAGATAAAAAAATAAATAAAGAGTTTTGTTATAGCGAACCATATTTTATTAAAAGTTGTTTCCGATATTTTCAAATTTGTACCTATAGTACAGCCTAGGTTCTAAATCTCTTATATTTTTGCCAATGGTCTCTATCGCTGCCTTATAGTGTTTTAGGCGGTCTATATGGGAGTTAATGTATTCTAGCGACAATAAACTTTCATCATTCTAGGTTCCACAAATCCGAGAAAGAAAGGACTTCCTGGCAAAAAAAAATATAAGCTGACAGCTTGACGGGGTTAGAGTGGCGGGCACTTATGGGCAGTACTGACAGTCTGCTTTTTAGAGTATAAGAGTTCCTAGTACATGGGCTGTCGCAAGGTTAAATAACCGTACTAAAAGAATGTCAGTCATTTAGGTACTGTGTATATAAGAACACGAATACATTCAGTACATATTAATACTAATAGTACCTACCGACAATGCACAACAAAAAGTTACACTGCACGAATGAAATACATTCGAAACAAGTGAATTGCGCAATAGGCTTCGTGAAAGCCGGACCCCCATTTCTGTTCGCAACTGTATCAAGTTCATTATTAGTACAGGTGAATTACGAGTTGCAGACTTCGAATGACCATAGGCTCTAGGGCACGCCGTCAACAGTCCTCAACGTTTTATTTTGTTTCTTTCTTCAGAACACTACAGCAAACCTCTAGACTATTGCATATCATAGGTTGGAGTTGACCGTGAATATCCTCGCAAATATAAACGTATCATCGGCTGAACCGCTGTTTCATCTGAACTGCCTTTGCACAGATGCGTCGGTGGCTGACTGTTCTCTCTGTAAGCAAAGCCGGGACATAGTAATTGTGGTTGCGTAATCGTAATTTCATGAGTAGGCATATGCTGTCCGAGCCACTTTGCTCTTTGGTCTATATATGATAGCATCAATTTTTAAAAACAAGTGGCTGAAAGCAATACTGCTTTATCCACCAGCCACATACTAAATAAACGTGAAGGGCCTAGGACGGAGCCATAGGTTTTCCTTGGGCCAAGTTTCGAGATTGCATTAGTTAGTTAAACTTATTCTTACACCGTGGTTGGTAATCCAAGTTTAACAAACATGATTGTGAGGCCAAGTGGCCTTTTTTAAAGTTCGAAACAACAACAACACACACACAAAAAAGGCAGGACCAACCGTTATGCTCTCAACTATCGTTACTGGGTTCGCAGTGCATCAGTATTCCTAGTTGAACCTTGTTTAGCACCGAACGTTCTTTTTTTTAATGCGAAATTGCGCGTATACGCTTCTGGTATCTGGTCGGTATAAGCTAAAGATTCAAGTGAGGCAACAATTGATGTCACTTGAGAGTAGTTCTTCATGCTGTCTTCATTTTTTACTGGTCGTTTCACACTAAAATGTCACTATGGGTTCAAACCAATTAGACCACCACTGCATTGTATTAAACAGTGGGAGAGGGGACAATGGGTGAGGAAGGAAATTCTGCTTGCATTAGTGCGCTTCCTTTTCCGTTGTCCTTTTTATAATTCCCTCAAAGAACTTTAGAATCGGCGTACGCCGATTTTAAAGTTCTTTGAACAAAATAGAACGAAATCACGTGCGTTGACGTCTTTTCAGCGTAGTTCGCCCATGACACGCGGTGCGTGTGAAATATGGCTAGCCACGAAGTGTGCAATACGGAGCCAGCATGCAGATTTTGAGAACGACATTCACAACAGCGCTAAAATAGCACGCCACAATGATTCCATAACAAACCCGCAAGCAAAACACCAAACGAACAGCGCGTTATTTGACGGCTGGGTGAATATATGCACGTTATTCTTCGACCAAACCGTATACCCGTCAGATGTAGCCCGCGAAGTTTTGTAATTAATATGGGCATACAGATGTGATGCATGAGGGGTGGAGCTCAGTTAAGGGGCAGATGGCACAGAACGAGAGCGCGCAACAATGCAAGTTGAGTGCATGCGCTTGCACGAGCAGTTTCGCAGACAGAGCTGTGTGTTGCATAGACAGTGAACGCCTTACCGGAACGTGCATATAATTTACACGCGCACGCGCACGCGCACACGCATTATATATTGAAATAGCAGGTGTAACCTTAAGGGACAAAAAAAGAACAGAGTGGGTCAGGGAACGAATGGGGATTTAGGATATTATAGTTGAAATCGAGAAGAATAAATGGACATGGGCCGAGCATATAGCATGTAGACAGGATAAACGTTGGTCATTAAGGGTAACTGACTGGATTCCCAAAGAAGGCAAGTGGGTGAGGGGTAGACAGAAAGGTGGATAGATGTGATTAGAAACTGTGTGGTTATAAAGTGGATATAGCAAGCGCAGTGCAGAGTTGACTTGCGAAACATGGAAGATGCCTTTGCTTGTCTTGCAGTGAGCACAGTCAGACAAATTATATATATATATATATATATATATATATATATATATATATATATATATATATATATATATATTGTAACGTTTTTCAGTATGTTATACAAGCTTCGAAATAAACAAAAATTGCTGCGCAAAAAGTGCTACAAAAAAAGGAAAGTTTATCACCGCCGATTTGTAGGACGAAGCCAAAGTGAAATCCGTACGGATTCCTTATAGAAAAAGACCTTCATAGTTGGCGAAATATTCATCCAGAGACCAGGACAAATTTGGCGGCAACTAAGAAGGTTTATCTTAGTACCGATCTATTTTTTTTGTGGGTTCTCGCAAAAAAGTCAGACAGTCAGTGTTTGAACGCCGATACAATTTTTCCTCGCACAGAAAACCAGTCAAGGCATTATTGAACTTCTTGCGTGGTAGTGGCCCATTGAATACGCTAGAGCGCCCCCGCTCATGTGAATTTTTTTTTTCGCGCTACTACTTTTCTCTTCACTGTGCTTCTCATCCGTGCTCGCCATTTCCCCTCCGCTTATGTCAGGATAGCAAACTGGATGCTACATTCTGGTTAACCTCTCTGCCTTTCTCTCATTTTATTCTCTCTCTCTTTCTCTCTTGTGGCTTCGTGACACAAACCAGTACTTGTTTTAATTTTCTTGACCCTTCCGCCACCTTTCGGGATCCCACAGAATTCATTTGCATGAAAAAGCGGAACGGTTGAGAGTAAAGTCCGTGAGATCCCTCCACTTCAATGGAAATATCGATATCTGGGGTTTCTAAGCCCGAACACCTGGGTATAATTACGAGAGACACCGTAAAATTTCGACCATCTGCTGTTCTTTAACGAGCCCCGGGCATCGCACAGCACACATGCCTCTACCTTTTCGCCTACATTCAAATGAGACCGCCGCAGTCGTAGTCGAACCCGCGACATTTTTGACAGCAGCCGAGTCTCGTAACACTCTGTCCCACCACGGCGGACGTGAATTAACTTCGGAAGAGCTGCGCATCAGTTCACCGCGACAGAATTATGTTTCACAGTATATTAGAAAGCAAGTGCTGAAGGAATGGCTCCTAATGGGTCGCACTGTTGACGCGAAATCATACTACCGACGATATCAAAGAAACTATATAAGCGAACGAACACGAAATACAGTTGCAGACAAAGACCAACGCTACCAATTTGTCCAGGTCCCTTTTACTTGTTTCTAGTTATGACATGACACGGTATAGCGGAATCAGCCATTGTTAAATCGTAGCCCGAAAAATCGCTCCTTAAGCTTTCATGGTAAATCTTTCACAGCCAGAATCGCACCATAAACGTGTTTGTTTAAAAAATGCAAGGAAAGAAAAGTGAACAATATACGTCCGACCTGAAAAACGCGATATTAATTTTTCAGAAGGATCAAACGAAATATCACAAAAAATAAATGTGGCAATGGGCTACTCGTTCAAACATGATCAACTCTCTTTGTGCAAAGTAAAAAAAAAATTCTACATGCATGTTTCTTTGAAGTGCCTTGTACTTTCTGTAGTTCGGACAAATAAAGTCGAGATATTATACCACATGGCGCACAAGGAAACATTACTTGATGCACTTCTACATGCCAGCGGTGAAAAATTATGATGCGACATGACGACATCGACAAAGATTTCGATGGGGACTTTCACTAATGGCGTCGTATGCAGTCAAAACTTCCCACCTAGGCGCCCTTTGTGACCAAAGCGCGTCGATTTGAACCGAGCGCACTTAGCTGGAGCGAATGCCGAGTTCGTTCATGCCTACGAAAGCTTAAACGGTGCGAAAAACCCGGAACTCAAGAAACTACAGATAGACGCAGCGCTGAACTCAACCATTTCGATAGTTAAGCGCTGTATCTGTGTGTCTTTCGTGTGTTCCGTCTTTCGTACGCTGTTTGTTCGTTCTAAAACACCGAATTTCTCCACTCGAATTGATTTCACGTCCGCAAGCAAAAACATTCTCCACATATCGACGTTTCCCTGCCGCTAACGCGGACCTCCTGCTAGACGGTGCACGCACCTACGGCGACACTGACGCGGAAAAGAGCAGAGCGGCCGGTGAAGTGGACCTGGGCGTCCTTGTACTCACCACCGTTAGCGTCGCTGGACTGCCTCGGCGGTTCGGCCGAACGTCGACGCTGAGCTCGCCCGACTGCCTCGTAACGGCGGGATCGTGTGTCGCGGAAACCTGCGTCACCTCCCGAGAAACTCTCGGGCGGAGCGGTTAACGCCAGAAGGGCTCAGCGAGACCGCGCCTTAACGAGGGCCTCGCACACTTCCGAAGCGATAATCACGTTCGCTCGCCGTCCAGCAAACGGTGCCTGCAAGCCGACGCGTGCGAGAGGGTCTGTAAACGCGGTCGGCGGTTCGGAACGTACGGGCCGACGGTTACCTTATTGCTCAATTCTTTTCCTCGACAACAGCGAAAGCATGCACCATAAAAGCAAGGAATGCGATTCGCTGCGATTTTTTAAGCGTAAATATACCCAGGTGTGCGCAGAGTTTCCCTTCAGGGTGGGGTGGGGGGCGAAGGGTATTCTCAGAGCCCCTTCCATATTATATAAATATATGGGGCAGATTTTGCGTTCCTCTCTCTTATTTGTGAATGTATAGGGCGGAATCCGCACTTTCCTGCAGCCCCTAGTGCGCATGCCTTTGTCGATACGACACAATATAAGGATTGTTGCAGCTTTCTGGCAAACGTATGCCACTCGCGACTTTTGAGGGTGGAGCGTGTCAGTTTGCTATGTTTCAATCTCGCGAAACTTCCAACCTCGGAAGGATGCACTTTAACAGGCTTTTTGTCTACCACGACACTCGGGCATGTTCGCCCACGATCGCTGCCGACCTGTCCCGCACCGCTCCGTATACTGTTGGGTGCCGAATGTGGACACCAAGCATCAGTTTCCACGCGAAAAAAAATGTATAAATTTTATAATGAGGACAACGGCTTGTTTGCCATGTTTGTTCCATGCAGTGAAGGGCAGAATCCTTTCACATGGGTCCATGCTGGTTCACGTTCTGAAATTAAGCTTGTCCGCCTTTTTTTTTAAACAAGCACCCGACCCAGAACGCTATGGCAGTTTAAAACATTTCTCAACCACTTTAAAACCGTATTCTTTGATTGATTGATATGTGGGGTTTAACGTCCCAAAACCACTATATGATTATGAGAGACGCCGTAGTGGAGGGCTCCGGAAGTTTAGATCACCTGGGGTTCTTTAACGTGCACCCAAATCTGAGCACACGGGCCTACAACATTTCCGCCTCCATCGGAAATGCAGCCGCCGCAACCGGGATTCGAACCCGCGCCCTGCGGGTCAGCAGCCGAGTACCTTAGCCACTAGACCACCGCGGCGGGGCCCCGTATTCTTTGTCACTACAGTTTACACACAGTGTCTTAATTAGTATGGCAGTTATCGAGTACTAAATTGGTTAGCACACAATTGTCACAAGATTCTTTAGGGTCTCGTTAACTACCCCCCCCCCCCCCCCCGCATCTTCGTAAAAAGATCCAGAAAGGTTTTGGATTTGGTAGAAAGTGTATCGACCACGCGGAAATTTTTTCCGCTGGTACACTGACGCCGCCGTCGCTTCGTGCGTAGTACATCCTTTTTTCACACCTTCGTCCCCTCTATCGATGCAAGGTCGACGTTCGAAACTTTGCACTGGACGTTCCTCACAATCCAATCTTTGTTTAGGCATGCGAAACCCCCACAACTTTTTTATATCAATCGAAGCACGCACAGACACGCATTTGTCAGAGAAAATCGACCGCGAGAAGTTTTACCTCAGAAGTTTAGTATACTCACGCGGTTCGTGTCTTACAAACGGAGCCCTCCACGCTAAGCACATATCGGGATGATAACTGAAGACAGATAGCGCTATCGTGGCGTTTATCTGGAGCGAAGGTTCGCGCGTGAACGATAAGAACAAGGGGCCGAGAAGTGCCAAAAGCACTTGACGTGCTTGCAAGAAGAATGTGGCAAGGCGAGCGAGGAAGTGAAACAGCAAGAACAACAAAACAAACATGAAACGAAATAAAGAAGTAGGGGTGTGTGAGATGTGAATTTCAGAACCGAATCGAACACAAATCGAGCCGTGATGTCACTGATTCCAAGACCGTTCGAATACTATGGAATGTTTTTCACAGCAGGTTTAGAATGGTAATGCGACCATCTTCTACAGAGCTCGAAAACTCCACAACGTTTAACTGAAAGCAAATGCTCACTAGCTTTAACAAAGAAACATTGCGATTACCTTTAACCAATAAATAAGTAAGCCTATAGCACCATTGTGAAAACTGAGGCAGGTTTGCATGCAACAACGACACGTTTAGAAATATTTCGTAAATGCGTCTTTAAATACCCAGTTACTTTACTCTTCGAGAACGGGTTTTGTGCCGATATTTCGTAAGCGGACTGAGTAACTTCAGAGTTGCAAGTGCCGGTTGCAGCTTTGATGGAGACAAGACCACTTGTCGGGACGTTAACTCCAGCCCGCCTCCCGTTGAATTTCTTTATCACATGCTTCCATCATCCCTTGACTCTTGCGTATATTTGGATTTAGTATTCTAGGTGCCACATTGTTAACAGCATCTAAATAAAAGTGATATATAAATATCAAATATTAATCATGAGTCAACATCGTCATGAATGTCACAATGTGGACGGGAGATTGACGACAATGTCGCTGTGCCGATGCTTAAAGAAAAAAAAATGCCTTCATCTTGAAATGAACACACGGCTGGTACCACGGGCTGCATGCATCTTGGTACTAACTCGACGGTTAAAACAAGAAACGTAGTACCTCTGTGTTCAAACGTTTTCTTCTTTTCAGGGGTTTTTCATTAGGGCTTATTATTCGAAATATATTCGGTATGTCTAATTTGCACTGTCCGACTCGAGTACTTAGGCGAATGCAACAATTTTCAGTCAGTTATTTGATAATAGGTGCTTTTGGAATAGCGTATACGCAAAGATAACATTCATTGCAGTCACCCGCTATTAGGGAGGTTTAGAATAGCGCACCGCGAGCTTTTGCGGTGTGGTCGCTGTCACTGCGCATGCGTCGTAACGCCAGTCTGCGTTCGCGGCCCGCATGCAGAAAATCTGAAATAGCGTACGGCGATCGCGGCCCGCAAACACTGTATTTGTGGCTACGGTATCGCTGCGATCATGCGTTGCGGTTCGCCGCAAGGCAAAGGCTATTCTAAATCTTATATGGTGTCCGCTACGCCCGCAGCGCTTGCAAACGGTATTCCAAAACTCCCTATTTATGACATTTAACAGGGGCCCGCAAGGCGCAAACCCGCACAGGTGCGTGCACACTGCACAGCGGGAACAAATGCTAATTAACACAAAGCATTGTGGACGCTTTTCTAAAGCTGCCTGATTTCAAATATTGATTTACCCCTCGTAGAAATGAAGTCACTATATCTACAATAGGCTGACCACCAAACCCTAGTATTGCTAGCAAATTTGGTAATGATCCGTAAGGCACCTGTACTCACCTTGAAGGGTTCGAAAAAGCCGAGTTTTACCAGAAAAGCGGCAGAACCCGTACGTATACCTGCAACTCTCGGCGCGCGGTCGTCACACGAGATGCCCGGACTTGCCGTCCGCGCGTTAAGTACGGCACGGTGTAAACGTATATTTTCAATGTGGTGCAGGTGTATGTATGTCGCTAGAGCAGCTGTCTTCTTTCGGCTTGAATAACGTGAGCATACGTATGCAATTACGAGGCAAGAGGCGTCATTCAGCACGCGCCCGCAGGTAGAGTCCCCCTCCCATCGCTCTAGCCGATAGCGAGATACAGCAACCGCGAATTATCGCTGCTAACGCAAGCGGTTTCGGGAAAACTGCTTGCTTAGAAAAGGCCTCAGCGTAGCTGTTTCGAGGGGGACGGGAAGTGGGGCAGTGCGAAGTGCAATAACATGAGTATAACTATAAGTTTTAAGTGCATGTTGGAGAACATCAGGTGATACGAAATAATCAGCGGTTCGTCACCACGGCATGTCTCAAAATCGTGTCAATGTTCTATAGTTAGCAAGACGCGGGATTTTATTGTTACCTAATTATACGATACCCTCTAGAAAAGATCGAGTAAAGAAGATGGCTTTTTTTTCCACAACAATGTTCATCATCCAGATTGCTCACGCTTCCTTTCCTGAAAACTCGGCGCTAGTGCCTTTTTTATCAAGGACTCTATGCCACACTGATCTGCCACACTACCTACTGGTCTGCCTTTCTCCTTGTGTTCTCCCTCTCTCTATACCACGCTGATAACGCGCATGTTCATCATTACCTGAACGTGTCGGGCATGTGACGGTAGTGCTCAGAAAGGAGCGCAAGATAGATGACGATTATTCTCGTGCGACACTTGACTACAACTGATGTTACCCCGAAGAGATGGCTCTATGGTAGGAGTAGATATATAATGTTTATGAAATTGGAAATCCAGCACAGCAACCACAATTGTCGTTTCACGAACACTATAGAGTCTATTTGAAAGGTAGTTCCGAGATCTGGCGTGGCTTTGTTGTAGAACTCTTGATTGGCACACAGAATGGGTTCAATTCCTTGACATGGAAGTGACATTTATTTTAAGTACGAATGCACTTTATAAGCGACCCTGAATCCGCCGTCCACGGTGCGCCTCCTCCTCTCCCCTAGCAACGGCGCGAGGAGCGGAGAGGAGCATCTGTAGCAACGGCGCAGCGACGTCACACACCACGTGATTGCGCGTGCTCCGCCCTCCGCTCCGTGGCTGACTTGCTCAAGTTGTCATAGGTATGGACCCATCGCAGGCATCAACCTCGACTGCGATACTTCCAACAACGAGTATAATGCAATCGAATGCGAGCATTGCACGCGTCGTTGAAGATGTCGCACCAGTTGAAGAGGCAGCGCGGCTAATGGCCCGTGATGCCGAGCGCAAGTGGGCCGCGGACATAGACATCATTATAGTGCGAATTTACTCTCACATATACGCGTAATCTCGCCAAGATTTCCCAAGAAGGTCTAATGGTTCCTGGGAATCGCAATGTGATCACACGGGGGAGTTTACGTTAACTCACTGGTGAATGTCAACGGATTTTAACTTCACTCCCCTTCATAGCATCACCCCGTGCATTCGCACTTAACCATGTTCATCCTCGGGGAAATGCTTGGGAGTTTTTTTGCATTTGTGTGGTGAACGCTGCCGATGTCCGCTTTTTCTTAATGATTACGTGCTAAAATCACCCATGCGTGTTCTCGCCATTCCTGGGCAGACATAACACCTGTGGCACATACCACCATACCAGTGGCCCCGGGCATGTGCCACTGTTTTTTTAAACTGATTGGAACTTCAACCTCCATACGGACTTCGTCAACGTGAAGCTTCGCTTCTTTGTTGCCTTTGGTTGGGTGTTGCCTTCACAAAAGCCCATACAACCCTCATTGTATTGAACGATAGTGCGGAATGCGACATCTGCGGCACCGAAGAAGACATCGACCATCTGCTATGCCGTTGCCCTTGATTTGCTTTTGAGAGACAAAAGCTTTCTGGCGCATTGCGGCCATTGGACGATCGGCCGCTTTCCGTGCAGATGCTGCAGGAGAACCTTTCTCCTCCTCCGTCGGCTCAAAAGGCAGTCAAAGCTTTTTGAAGACTACATGGCCTATGTGAACGCCTTTAACTTTTGTGTAGTGTCACCACTGCATACGCGTCACCCCACTGACTGACAATTTTTTGTCTCTTTCTTTTCCCTGTCCTCTGTCTCTCACATAAATACTCCCCCTTCTTATTACCCCAGCGTAGGCTAGCAAACCGCGTTGTGATTTTTACGCTCTAGGATATCGCAACCTCCGAAGAAGCGTGATTACAGCTAATAGTTTTGAGGACTGGCATCGTTTGGTATCCAGTCGGAAAACCTGCCGATGAGTGTCTGAGCGTGACCACGCACGTGATGCAACAGGTTCACTCTACTTAATGACAACTCAATACGGCATTAGGTGTTTAAGCTGGCAAATTTCCTGTTAGCAAACACATGTTTCTCAAGAAACGACTGCATGGCACACCAAGCTCCACTGATGCGCCGATTAAAAACTGTATTTATCAAAAGCCAGCCAGAGGTGCGCCGTGCGACCGTAGATTTATCTACTCAGTTGATGAGCTGATTTTCAGTTGTTCGACTAGAATACTGCTGTCACGCCAATCCCTCATCTTCACCCGTCCGTCATGCGTTCGGGATTTTCATCAGTGGCTAGCGATACTTGTTAAACATGTAGAAATGTCGAGCGCCGGACAAAGGTCTGTCAGCCACTGAAATGGCGCCTCGTGTTCCCATTGAAGATTGGCGATACATCACCACACTTTTTGTGGAGGCTGTTTCGCAGAAAGAAATCGCCCGAAGAACTGGGAGGTCGAAGACAGTGATCACCAAGATTATACGCGCTTTTAGAGAAGACGGAACACTTGCGGATGTCAATAATCGGTCCAGGCGGCCAAGAGTCACGACGCATGAGGCCGACATTTCGATTTTGCCCCCAGCTATCGTAGATCCTCTATTATCCGCCAAGGGAATCCGGTACGAGCTGTCACTGCAAATTTCTACAAGGACAGTGAGCCGACGATTCAAGGAGACCGAAATTCACAAAAGCCTTTTCTTTCTGAGTGACAGTGCCAACAACGCCTGGACTTCGCTTTGTACCCCCAGCATTGGAAGGAAGAAGAATGAAAAACACAGCTTTTTCTGACGAGTTGACCTTCTGCACTCAGTGGGATCAGCAGAGGAGGGTGTGGCGGTCCTTGAATTCAAGGTAACCAATGCGTTCACTTTTCACGGTGTTAATTTTTTGCTGTTTTGAAAATGCCGAAATACTTTCTTACATGTAATATTCTTGACTTTTTTTTCAAACTTATTTCAACGAGTAAAGATACCCCAAAATGTCAATATAAAAACAAATGTACTGCAAATAACAGAACGTCCACATATATTTCCTCGTTAGCAACACGTTAAATACACCTGTTTTAAGTTTTTCACACAGCGTGTTGTGCGCGTCCTTCGCTCGGCGGTTTAAAGCACACAACAGTTTTAAGCAAAACGCGCATAATCAATTCCTAAATTATTTTTCTACACCTTTTATCGTCTTTTGAAGTTGCAGGTACCACCCTGAGTACACTCAGACTGTCCTCTGAAGTGGCCGGTGTTCAGTGTCCGTATGGGGTTCTTTAAGCAAAGATGGGCAAGGGCCACTTGTCCGCATTAATGGCGAACTCACAGCGGCCTATTACAGTTCCCTGCTACAAGACACCATACTCCCATACGCCCTGGACGGACCTTTCCCCGATGGCTGCTTCACCTTGCAGCAGGACAAAAGCCCCGTACACATGGCACGTCAGGTGACCGCCATGCTTGAAGACCTTGGCGTACGCATCTCGCTGTGGCCTCTCTGTGGCGCGGTCGCAAACCCGATCGAGAATGTGCAGGCTCGAATGGAGTGGGGTCTGTCCAGGCGCAACTTGTCCAGGGCAACGTCGGACGCGCTGTGGAACGCGATTGAAGAATAGTGTGAGGCCCTTCGGTTGGACGGCGATTATGTCGCCTCGTTAAAAAATCTTTGCCAAGAAAGATGCCAGAAATATATTTCTGTGAACGGCCACTTCACGCATTAATAAAATTTTGTTACAAACGGGGTGAGGGAAGCAGAAATCATAAGTTACGCTGTTGCTATTTTTCGCTCGCCCTCAGTTGCTTTCCCTTTTTGTTCTTTGAAGGCCAACTCATGGCCTCGCCTGTGAGAGCAATGGTATTTTTTCTCTTTTTTTCTAGTTTCTTCACCCCTTTTGTTGCATGTGCAAGGTGATTTGCCTGCGTCTTGTTATATTAGGGTGATATACTGAAGCATTCTTTAGGCTCACGCTTTTTCGTTTTCGATGCCCTCGTTTGTGTTTCACTATCACATGGCACGCTTCAACTAAAACTAACGTGCAGAGAAGAGAATTAATGACATGTGAGGCACCGGTTTGCCACTGAGACAAGATATGATATCCCTTTAATCAGGGTGCAGTGAGTCACATACACTTCACTGCCACCTTGCCTCCATTTAACTGAGTGCGTCACAAAATGAAGAAAATGATGCCAAGCACAGAACGCTACATTTAATCACTGGTACGCTGCAAGATATTAAAAAAATATGGCTGCGAAATTGAAAGAACGCAACAGACAATAGGATTGGGCGTGTTGGTATAACATGATAAGGAGTGCTTACCAGCACAAACGACAGGGCAGGAAGGGACAGGCGCTCTGCCTCGTCTCTTTTCCTGTACCCTCCGGCCCTGTCGTTTGCGCTGGTAAGCACTCTTTATCATGAAGGGGCGCGCACTCTTCACGTCAGATGGCGCGGCGATGCAGTTTCATCGGGTTGCGGTCGTCGCTCGCACGTCCCGACTTATTTTGTCAACGGGTGTACATCCCAAGACAAAATCCTGCCGATGATCATGCGCATAGTGATGTGTTCGTATTTATTCGGGTAATTTTTTGTGACTGTGTGCTGCATCGTGCTACAAACGCAGATTGTTCTACAGGCCCGTGTCACCACCGACCCTAGCTTGAGGCGGCACAGTGAAGTTACACATGAAATTCGAAGGTCTATGGAACTTGCAGCTTCAACGAATGGTCAAGTCTGCGGATGGAATTGCTTGAGACAGTCAGGTTGCTCTGGGAAGTATGCCTGTTGGA